CTCCTGGCCCATGACACCCCATCCCCGGTTTATGCAAATAAGCCAGAATTATGATTTGAAGCTTGCTTATTAACAAACCATAGTTAAAGCTAACCACAATTTGTCAAGGCTCAAGCATAACAAACCATGGTTAACTGAAAATGGAAGCAAATCCTTCCACAATCCTTTGCTACAGCTTTGCCAGTAGCAAAGGCCTAGTGGCAAACAAGTAGGCCCCCTTTCCTCAACTTGCTGATAGTTACCGTAGTTAGAAAAGGCAAAGGTCAGAGCTGAGTTGTGTGTGTAAGCTAGAAGCTGGAGGAAGAAGGCTGAAGCCTGCCAGGTAGAGAAATGCCCGATTTCTGCTTGCATACAAGGCTGTGGCTTTGGGGGAAGCAATACCTTCTTGGAGTGTTAATGCTGTGAACCCCTCCATCGTAGACTCAAATTGTATATATGTGTGAATAAACCATTTGCCATAAAGACACTACAGTCTTCACTGTACCTCATTCCGAAGGAAACATTAACCCTGAGTAAGTGCCTGGAACTCCTGGAATCTCACACTGCTCAGAGAGTGGGGTAGCGTGCAACAATATGTAACACTAAGCTGTTTATTTACTATCTTGCTTTCCAGGCAAAGATTGTCTCCCTAAGCAGCTCACGTCAAAAAAAGAGAAAAACAGACAGGCACTGGCCTGAGGCTTATAAACTAGAAAGTGAAGACACAAGGAAAAGGGGGTTGAGGTGAATAGTGCAGGAGGGAGATCAGTTTGACAATGCCAGAACAAAATCATAAACTGCAAAAAAAGAAGGCATTTATATCCATGTGGATCTTGCTGCTTGTCTTGCTTGTACAGTGGTACCTCGAGTTACATACGCTTCAGGTTACAGACTCCCCTAACCCAGAAATAGTACCTCAGGTTAACAACTTTGCTTCAGGATGAGAACAGAAATCGCACTGCGGCAGTGCGGCAGCAGCAGGAGGCCCCATTAGCTAAAGTGGTGCTTCAGGTTAAGAACAGTTTCAGGTTAAGAACAGACCTCTGGAACGAATTAAGTACGTAACCAGAGGTACCACTGTATAGAGGTGCTGAAACTGACCCAGCAATCCTTGTTCCTCTGTGTTGTGGCAAAGGCTTCTTCTCACTCCTGAAGCCCAAGGGCAAGTGGTAGTTGGAGCGAAATGTGGCAGTGAGCTACCTGCAGCTCCTAATTCTCATCCTCTGGCAGATGTGTGGGGCTAGGTTGGTCTTCTTTTTGACAAGATATTCATCCTAGAAGGCAGGGGATGCAACCTGCCAGTGACTTTTCTCCCCACAAGATAGTAGAGACCAGAGTGTTTCCCCAGTTCAAACTATGATTTAGTGTTACATGAGAACAAAGCCACAAGCTCACTTTGTGAAGCAATCTTCATGGTGTTTCTTTTTTTAAGTAAAACTTTGAAAGTCAAGGAATAGCAGTAGTAATACTACTAGCACTGCTATTCAAGGACACTGAATAGGATTTCAAATACAATAGTACATAGAAAATAGATCAATATAGTAGTTTTGAATTAAATCCAGAATTGTACTGATCCTATATTCTTATCTAAAGTAAGGCCTTCCAGAGATCTTTACAATCATTATTCACCAATTATTTAGTTGACTGCCTCTCAGTGAAGTCACACTTAAGCTTAAAATAGGGTTAGTTTGAAGTGGATTATACCAGGAAAATACATAACCTTCCACAAGCCATATAAGCCAGTGGAAAATAGTTCCCTACTATATTTTGGAGAGGTTCTGAACTGCATAACAGATTAAATGTTTATATTCAGGGGACTATAGGGAATGATAGCTACATCTGGTTTATGAACCCTGTTTCTATTGAAATGATTTTCAAAGTTATGTAGCAGCTATTTTCAGGCTTTCTAACAGAATTCATCTGTATTTGTCTCACGGGGTGTTGTGCATCGGCAATGCATCTACAACGCTTTCTTGCCTTTTCTGTATAACGCTGGCTGTATCAGTTGACAACAGGTCTGTGTGCTTTTCCTTTCTAATGAAGTAAAATTGCCTAGAACATGGTTTCAGAGTATAGTGCTAAAGAGAGCCTTTCTAAATTTTTGAACACTATTTCTTAGTGATGCAGATGCTTTGAATGTCTGCTCTTGGGCAACACTCAAGCTGAATATAAACTATTAGTGGTGAAATTCCACCCTGATATAACATGTTGCTTTAGTGCTAATTTTGTTGCCATAGTTACCAAGTTCCTTTTGATACAGTTAGCAATGCCAAACATTTTGCTTGTTGAGTTCTCCTATCAGAACATCTCAGTTGACTCATGTTGGAGAATTATCTGGGTGTTCTTAGAATTATGCAATCTCCATCATGATGTACCAGTATCTTTTCCATCATGGAGAGTGAATCTGAACTTTCTTCCCAAATGTTCTTTGGGAAACACACAATGGCAAGACCTTTGATGTGCCTATTGATGAAGATAGGAACATAGGAACCTACCCAGGAGTTGGGTAAGTTAATATATGATAGCCATCTTCAAATATCTAAAGGGCTGTCACAAATATATGGACCTGTTGCTCTAAAGTAGGACTCCGACTATTGGGTTCAAATTTAAAGATCAGGAGGAAGGGCATTTTGACAAAACATTGGGAAGAATGCCCTGGTGGTACAAGCTGTTCAACAATGGAACATACTTTATTGGAAGATAAGAGTATCCTTTCATAGAATTGTAGAGTTGGAAGGGACCCCAAGGGTCATGTAGTCCTACCCCCTGCAATGAGGAATCTCAACTAAGGTATCCATGACAGATAGTGACCCAATCTCTGCTTAAAATTTTCCAATGAAGAAGAGTCCTTCATTAGACATTTTTAAGTAGATACAGGGTTTCCTGCATCTGGAGGCGGCTGTACTAGTTGACCTCTGAGGTGCCTTTCAATTCTACAAAAAAAGCACAAGGCAGGCTCAATAGCACTTTTCAGGGTCATGTAAGAGTCAATACAACATAGTATGCTCGTAAAACAGGAGTAGAATTCATCTGCAAGTAATGGATCTATGAACTCCGTTTACTGGAAATACAGTGGTACCTTGGGCTAAGAACTTAATTCGTTCTGGAGGTCCCATTCTGAAACTGTTCTTAACCTGAGGTACCACTTTAGCTAATGGGGCCATCTGCTGCCACTGGGCCACACAATTTCTCTTCTCATCCTGAAGTAAAGTTCTTAACCTGAGGTACTATTTCTGGGTTAGCGGAGTCTGTAACCTGAAGCGTCTGTAACCCAAGGTACCACTGTATAGGATACAAGAATAAATACTACATGGAAGTGAGAGCTGGACCATAAAGAAGGCTGATCGCCGAAGAATTGATGCTTTTGAATTATGGTGCTGGAGGAGACTCTTGAGAGTCCCATGGACTGCAAGAAGATCAAACCTATCCATTCTTAAGGAAATAAACCCTGAGTGCTCACTGGAAGGACAGATCCTGAAGCTGAGGCTCCAATACTTTGGCCATCTCATGAGAAGAGAGAACTCCCTGGAAAACACCCTGATGTTGGGAGAGATTGAGGGCACAAGGAGAAGTGGATGACAGAGGACGAGATGGTTGGATAGTGTTCTCGAAGCTACCAGCATGAGTTTGACCAAACTGCGGGAGGCGGTGGAAGACAGGAGTGCCTGGTGTGCTCTGGTCCATGAAGTCACGAAGAGTCGGACACGACTAAACGATTAAACTACATGTAGCCTCTAAGTGCAATTTCATAGCAAACCAAAATTAAGGTGGGAACGGGAAATATCTGTAGCTACCACAAACTAATTACTAAAACACTATAGTTTTGTAGTGGAAATGTGACACTGGCATCTACATGCACATGCATCTTCTAGTTCAAAAAGGACAAAGGAAGCTCCTTGTGCACCATCCTGGCTGGATCAGGACACTTAGGCATAGAGTGGGAGTACACCAAGCATGATTTTACATCAATTTCAGTGTACCAGAAATCTTTGTGCTTGACATGCTGATTAATTTTTACCCCTTCTTACTGTAAAAAATATTTTGAATACCAGGTTGTTGTTGTTTTTTGAAATTTGTATCATTAGGAAATGCACCAATTTGAAAGAACTTTTTAAAAAATAGCTGGAAAACACTCATAAAATAAGATTTTAAGTATTTAGACTACATGGTCATTATATCCCAACCTAAGCCATCTTATCGGTATTGTGCCCCCATCCACATACACAATTGACTGAACTGTGAGAGATTTTACAGAGAGGGTTTTGTGATATGTTAAGCTGAAAAAGAAGATTCACAAATGTGAAATTATACCATTGTGTATACAGAAAAAAAATTAAATTAATAGAAACCTGTTATAACTCAGTTGGTATATCCTGCTTACTTATAAAATGCAGCTATGGTTTTATTGTAGCTGGCAATCCTTTATGGTGATTAGTGCAGAGGGATGTCAATGCTGCAGAGATTCTAATGGCAAACAGCTGGAACAGCTGGTCAGTTCGGATTTTGCCAATTTGTTTGATCTTGTGGGAGATATCTGGCAAGTTTGAGTGACCTTGCAGCTGAGCTGCTATTGCAGCAAGAATATGTCAGCCTTACTTTCACTGAGTTTGATTTTTAGCTCAGCTGGCTGCTCAAAGCAAATTAATAATTGCAATAACCTGCTTTTGTATAAATAGTAGAGGATGGTTACTTTTTAAAAATCTCACCAGGATCAAGTTCATCTGAGCACTATAAATCACTCTAAAGTCATCTAGGGGAATGATAAAAACGTCCAAATGACTGCAGAATGGATTTCCTTAATATTCTATTAAAATGGCTGGAAACAGTGAAAGCATGTTATTCTTCATAACAGGACTTGGCTTTATGCACATACAAATCTAATTGATGAATTAATAAAGTGATTAACGGTGCAATCCTGCCTACCCAAAAGTAAATCCTACCCAAAAGTAAATGAGACATACATATGAGCAAATGTCTGAAGTAAATGACTAAAGTAATAGGGTTTTAGTCTTAAACCTATGGGCCAATAGACTGATATTTCTTTAATAAAGCAGCTCGTATTTAAATTTAGAAGAACACAGGCATCTAAGCTTTTGTGTTTAGGTGGAAAATGTGTTGTGTTTAGGTGAAGTTGTGTTTAGGTGGAAAATGAACTAATACAAACATCCTGAGAAGCAGGGGTAGGGGAGTGTGAGTGTGGGGAAAGCATATTCAGAATAAATTTCTTATTGTAATGTTTAACTTCCCTTTCTGGCTACTAGCAGAGTCGAGGAAAGGAACTATACGGAGAGAATAGGGATCAAGAGGTTAATGCCTACCTGAAAGTTACACCTTGACTTCTTATCCTTCCAAACTGTGTGTGGGCACAGAAAGGCTGCCCTTTTTTCTGGCAGGGCTCTAGTGTTTTCAACAACTGCGTAACAAGCTTGAAAACACTGGACGCTAGCCAGAAGCTTCTCCTGCTACTACATTTCCAAGCCAGGAAAAATAGCTTCAGTTGTTTAATTTGTGCCTGCTCTATATTTATTTTAAAAACTTGTACCCTGCCCTGCATCACAAGACACCAGGGTGGGTTACAACAATAAATACTTAGAACAATAAACATGAAACACAGTAAAATATCAGCAATCTGTCAATTTCCTCACATACAGACGAGATCCTCATTGTTGAAAGGATTGAAGAAAAATCCAGGTATTTTGCTGACATCTAAAGCTAAATAATGTTAGTGTCAGCTGAACCTCCAAGGGCAGTTTGTTCTACAAGCAGGATTCTATTTCAGACTTCTCTCAACACTGCAAATATCAGCAGGCACTGCCTAGGTTGTTTGTCCCTTATTGCCTACAGCCACTTGAAGGGATGTAACTCAGCACTGAAAAACATACTCTGCATGCAAAAGGTCCCATGTTCAATTCCTGGTGTCCCCAGGTAAGGCAGGGAAAGATTCCTGCCTAAATCCCTGGAGAGCTGCAAGCCTGTCCGTGCAAGCAATGCTAAGCCACTGACTCTGAATAAGGAAGGCAGCTTGCTATGTTCCAGGCCTCTGCACTCTTTCATCTTACTCAGATGACAAGGAGAAACGGAGCTGGGTATCATCAGCGCACTGGAAACACCTTGTCCCAAATTCCCTGGTGACCACTTCCAGCTACTACATAGTGATGTCAATTCTAAAACAAAGGACTCCTGTTAAGAAGGAAAAGTAGACGGCCTTTATGAGCTGGGTGTGGAAAATATTATTATTTGCATGCTCGACACCAGGCCTGAACCTTGGCACTCGAAAGGGGTTCTGAAGCTGAACGTTTGCTAAGCCCTGCCGCGTGCCCTGCGAGTATCTGAAGGCATTTTATGATCGCTCCATGCTAATCTCTCCGTCCAGAAAGCAACGCTAGAGAGCCTAGGAGCGCCCTGAGCCGTCCACTTAACTTCGCCCAGCGTTATTTTGTGTTTGTTTGTTTCGCGGCTGTATCAGAGTCGTGGACGCTGCAGTCTCCCTCTCTCCAGCCGTGGAAATCTGTGCCTGTCTTACTCCTCTCGGCTTCCTTTTTTCACGCTCCCTTCGGCCAGCTCGACTGGCTGGAGATAAACCCCCTGGAGGCGGTGGGGGAGGAGAGAGAGAGAGAGAGAGAGAGAGAGAGAGCGGGAGCTCAGCTCCGTTCGCGCAGCGAGAGAGGGAGCGAGGCGGAAGCGCGCAGTCCCAGGGAGGGGTCGTGCGCTCTGGCAGCGGCAGCGGCGGCGACTTTGCTCTTTAAATTGGTCTCAAAGCCGATTACAGCTGATCTCCCACGTGATATTTCCCCTTCTGGCTCCTGGCGGAGTTTGGGGCGGGGAGGGGGGCTGGAACAGCAGCAGGAAGAGGAGCAAGAAGGAGCCGGGGAGCCAGCTCGTGCTGGGAAGAAGCCCGCGAAAAAGCGCGCCTCGCAGAACTTTTTTTCCCCTGGGCGAAAGGCGCGTGAGGGAGAGTCGTTCGCCAGCAGCGAGGGATGCGCAGGGACAGACCGAGGAAGCGGCAGCAGCTCAGGGTCGAAGTGGAGGAGCAATAGCGCCCGGGAAGAAGGCGGCGGTGGCTGCCCCACCTGAAGCAGCAGCGCCGGCGCGAGGGTCCTCATTGGCGCGCCACGACGGAGCGTGGCTGGCTCGGGTTGCCCCGCCCCGCCTCGGCCGTCGAGAGAAGCCGCGCTCACCATGAGACGCTTGGGCTGCTGCTCGACGCCGGGCTCGCTCTGAGGGGAAGGTTGACCAGGAGGCGCCCGGGACCCGGCGGCGGGTGGAGGCAACATGCAGAAGAGCGTGCGCTACAACGAGGGGCACGCCCTGTACCTGGCCGTGCTGGCTCGCAAGGAGGGCACCAAGCGCGGCTACCTGAGCAAGAAGACGGCGGAGACGAGCCGCTGGCACGACAAGTGGTTCGCGCTCTACCAGAACGTGCTCTTCTACTTCGAGAGCGAGCAGAGCGCCCGGCCCGCCGGCATGTACATGCTGGAAGGCTGCACCTGCGAGAGGGCGCCGGCCCCCAAGGGCGCCTCCGCCGTCAGCGCCAAGGAGGCCGCGCTGGACAAGCAGGTAGCTGCCCTTGCCCCGTCCGATGGGGCGTCCTCCGCTCCCACACCTTCGGCTTCCTTCGCGCGCTTTTCTCTCCGGCGTCGCCTTTCAGAGCGTCGCCAAAGGTAGCGGCTCCTCCGGGCGGGCGGGGGGGGCTGGGGGTTGCCTGGACCCCGGGAAGGGCACTGAGTGGGGCAAGCTGAGGCTGAGTCGGCTATGGACGGCACGCTGTAGCGGAAGTTCTGAACGGGCCGGTGTCCGTCGATGAAGCGTGTGGAGAGGAGGGAGGGAGACCTCCGTGGGGCTGCCCCCTTTGGAAGCCGCTGGTCCCCAAAGCGTGCAAGTTCCGAGGTCCCTAGGATAGGGCTAGTGTGCGCCATCCCCTTTGCCTCTTCTGTGTGTGTCCTGTGGGGATACAGGTGAGGATGCCATTCTGCACATCGACCCGGGTGTGCAATAAGGGATGGCGTGGGTTTTGTCTGGGTAACTTCGTCTGTGGTGTCGGCAATCCAGCCATCATCAACACGATGTTGCCATTTTGCCTTCTTTTTTAAAGAGGTGGTCAATTTCTACAAGATTTTGGGCTTCCGACTCCCCAAGTTTGGGAGGCATGGGGGAATTTCGACCCTGTATGCAATAGGAACGCATTTTCAGTAATTGTTCGGCTCTAGGTGTAATAATAAGGGGGAGCTGGCATGAGGGATAGTATGTTGCTCCACTTAGCTAATTACGGTAGTCTACCTGTATGGTTGAGCTGCTCCAGCCCTGCCCTTCTGCCATCCTAGATGTGTGTGGACAAGCTGCAGTTCAATACACTCCAAACGTATTTTGAACCATCTTGTTCTTTATTATTTTTGCTATTGGTACCTTTCTAGGGCAGAGTCTTGATAAAAACAGACCCAGATGCTGCTCAAATGAGTTCCTGGATTTAAGATATCAAGGAATAGTAACTATACCCATCCTTAGCTGCTTTGGAGAATTTGTAAGAAGCCACAGTGGTACTGATGGGTTCATTACTTCTAATATTTTTTCTCGCTAGTATTTCTCCATGAGAGAGCAAAAATTTGACACTACAGGACAGGGGGAAGTGGTGATTAGAAGTTCAGCAAGCATACCTTCATATACATTAGAAAGGATTTGAAATACTATCCTGTTTTGTTCTTACAGTATAAAGTATTGTGCCTTATATATGATTTTTTGTTGATGAGCAAATATAGCCTGTGGTACCCACTTCTTGGAAAAAACACACCGTCTGGAATTATCCTAAACAAGCTGGGTTTTTTTGATTGCTTAGAGAGCGATTTTATGAAATATGGTAGTTGGAATATATAAACCTTTAAATATTCAGTTTATGGCTTGGCAACAGCTAGTTCTGGTGCTTCTGAGCACCTTAATCCTGAATAAAACAAAAGACCCAGTAAAACAAGAGTTTTGTGTGTTTTTTTACAAAACCGTTTATATGCTAACTTATAAAATCTACTCATAAGCTAAACTAAATGGGTCTAATTCGGTACACATTGCAAGTAAAACTTGTTTTACTTTAGTTTCTTTAAACGTAACTCTAATATAAATTGTATATGTGAACTGAAGGTCCAAATTCTCCAGCTGTTTACACAATCATATATAGACCCAAAGACTTGAGCAGTAATACTTAGGACAGGCAGTACAGCCTCTGAATACAAGGATTCGAAGATTCTAGTCATTACAGTAGGATAGGAGCCACAAGAAAGTCAGGGATTAGCACTGGTTTTAGTTTCTAGACATTTGGCGATAGAATCGGTAGTCTTAAAGTTCAGTAATGGATGTGCAAATGTATTTTTTCAATTGGTATCTGGAAGCAGGGATATTCTAGACCTACAGATGGCTCTGTAAAGTTGAGTGGTGGAACTTGGTTACTGAATTATGTTGTAAATTGCTATGGACTCCTTTCTTGATAAACGTACAAAATGAGGACAAATTATATTACCCAGATACGTGTGATATGTGTTGCAAAATAATATGAAGAGGCAGTACTAATGGAACAGATATTTGATCCAGGCTTCTTAGGCTGTGTACACATTATTGGCTTAAACAGCAGCTAGGTCTTTCCTTTTCACAGTTGGGGTTGAAGTTGGTTTGGGGGTGGGGGGAAACACATCAAAATGCAGTCTTGCATAAGAAACAGCAGGTTAGATATGCATTGTGGCTAATGTCTTGTGTACACCACATGACCCAAACCAGTGGTGGGAACGCATTGGATGTAGACTAAACAATCCTGTTTACAGAGTTTTGGTAAAGCTGTTCTTATTTTATCTGTAAGCCATCTTGAGTCCCTGTCAGGGTAAAAGTAGGGTATAAATAAGTATATAATAACAATAATGTTAAAAAGAATTTTCAAAAGTTGCTTCTTTTTGTTGTATTTGCTTCAACAGCCTAACATTGCTATATCTCTCTGGAATTTATTGGCCTTGTTATTATTGCATTGTTACAATCAGGAGTTAGATTTGCACCTGGTAGGTATTGGCTCACCTGTTTCTGACTTCTGTAATCAAACAGGTGTCAGTCGCTTTGGAAGTGCTTTTCTCCAAAAACAAACAAACAAACAAAAATGAGAGAAAAACCTTGAAATGTAAGCTTTCAACTTCTTTGTTTTTTTACAAGATGAGAATAAAATGTTGAACAGCTTCAAAAATCTTCCCATCAATTTAAACAGTAATGAAAAAACAAATCCTTCTAGGAGAGCTACATTGGTAAAGCATCTCGCCTGGTTTGACATGTGATTAAGCAGCAATCGTATAAGTGCACTTATTGGAAGTTCCACTGAAATCAAGTGGACCTTCAAGTGAATGTTCTTTGAACTGGGGTATTTGTTTTTCTACTTTTGTAACTGTGTTGGGCATAATGATTCCAGATTCAGCTAGCAGGATCTAACAAAAAAATAATAAATCCTTCGGTGGTGCATACTTCATTTTAGTGAGCTGCCAGTCTACACCCACAAGTAAAATTATGTCTAATTTTAGGTGTTAATGCTTGCACATTGGGACAGCCAATGCAGAGAGGGAGATGGCTTTCCTTCTTTCTCAGACAGAACAAACCTTTTACATGCTCTTAATGTGTTCTGCTTTTGCTTAGGAAATAAGGTAGTACCGAAACATTACTAAAAGATAAATTTGTTCTACATCTTAATCCGAATCGTGATTCATTAGAAATAAGTCCCATGGATTTAAATGGAATGCATTTCTCTATAACTAGTCTTGCCAGGCAGTTTTATGCATGTTTACCCAGAAATAAGTCCAGTGAGGCTGGTGGAGCTTGCTTACATTTAAGTGTGCATAGGATTACAGCTTTGGAGACCAACTCTTTGTCCCCATGCTGCATTCTGGGATGATGTATGATTTGGAACAGTCCCTATACTGGTTTGAAACCACAATTCATGGCATCGTGCTGGCACCAAAAGCGGTCTACTGACTTTTGCTGTAGTTCTGCTTCTGCATCTTGTGCGTATCACAGATTAGGATGCTTGCACAATAACCAGGCTGTCTGGATCCATGGAGGGTCCTCATTGGCCCATAGGTCTGCTGCAACATTGGGCTTGTCACTGCCTTTCATCCTAACCTACCTCACAGGGTTGATGTGAGGATAAAATGAACAGGGGAGAACCATACTATGCTTCCTTGAGCTCCTTGGACGAAAGGTGGGATATAAATGTAATAAACATTAAGTAATAATTCACACATTTGACTGTAGTCCACAGAAGCTTATGCCACAATCAGTTTACTAGCCACAAGGCTCTGCAATAAGTAGTTTCTATTGAAATTAAGTAAAGTTCCATTTGAATTAGTAAACCAATTTACTAAATTAGCAAACATCAGTAAAGTATATCTTTGTGGAGTAGATAGGCATATTTGCTTCTTTATAGAATAATTAGAATATCAGATTAATTGCATAACATAGGTGTGTGTGTGTGTTTGTTTGTGTGTACCTCCCTTTTACCAGTCTCAGTTTGAACTATTTAACGTAGGGCTTTTAAAATAGATAAGTAAATTATTGCTTCCATCACTGAAAGCTGTAGGGTGAGAGAGGCAAAATCGCATTGTGATGTACAAACATTTGTTCCCCCCGGTGCAAGTTGCTGTCTGGAAACTGAATGACAACAAAGCACCATGAGATGTGTGTACCAGCTACTAGTACACTAACTACTTAACACTGGCATTTTAGTGGTGTCATCAAATGCCCTAAACAGGCAGTGAAGATGAGGGCGGGCACAGCTGCATACTTATTTCTTCCTTTCTTAATAGTTTATTCCTCTTTCAGAATTTATTTTATATGGTGTTTGAGATCGAAAACATGTGTAGCTGTAATACATTGAAAAAGAAAGGATTAGAAACTACCATCAGAGCTGCAATTTGCATCCCACTTACTTCCTAGATATGCTCTCATAAGCACAAACATACAGTGCAGGCCTATACAAATTTTATTGGTAGTTGAGTCCAACTCGCTCAATTGGAATTACTCTTGTGCAGGTGTGCAGGTAATTGCAGCCTCACATCACAATCATATTTTTGCCTTCGGTTGCAATAATATTTTTATTAAGATATGTATTTCCAGACAGCGTAAGAAAGCAATCAGTGCAGCCAACCAATGCTGCCAACCAAGAAATTTAAAGCAGCACTGTATGTTGGTTCCTAAAGGAGTTAGCACTGAGTTTCACTTCTTCACAGAGGATCTCCAAGTGAATTTCAAATCTTTACATTGCCTTCTAGGCAGTAGGCATTATTTAAAGACAGAAAAATATAACCCCTATGGTTCATTGATTGTACTGGAAAAAAACAAACATTTTATGTATTTTTGTAACAGCGAGAATATCAAGTTCTCTGACTAAAATTGTTTAATGTTTCTGAATGAGAAAAGAGAAGGATGGGGACCCCATTTCCCCTTGTATTTTGTTGGACTACAACTCTGTTGATCCCTGGCTATTGCCTATGTTGCCTGCGGTTGATGGGAGTTGGAGTCCAACAATTCCTAGACTCAGATTAAGGCAATTCATTAGGGGCGTGTTGCTTTTTAACTGAAACTATTCTTCTGGGTTTGTTTTTGTTTTTGTATAAAATGAATACATTTGTGGAAATGACATTAAAATGCATTATATTATATTAGTAAAGTTTGATTGCAAGAATATGTACATTAGTCAAAACTGCAGAACAAAATTAGGAATTAGGAGAAATTCACACTAAAATGTTGAAGAATTTTCAAATTACTGCAAAAACATTCACAACTGAACTTATGACTGGAAAAAATTGGAAGCACGATGAAGCAGATCCTTTCATCCCTGGAAGAGAAGTGGGGGGGGGGGACCTTTTGCCCTTTATCCCTTTTTAGCTGTAGGAGCTTGTTCTTCATAGACCTAATGGTTTTTATGTTTGTGCTGCTGCAAACATTGCAAATGAAAATTGGAAGGCCTGGGGGAGGGAAGGAGGGAGGCTTATCAAGCTGGTGTCCAGCATTGTGGCCCAATAGGTGCGGTGAACTGAGAGAGCTTTTTGATAAGCAATCTCAAAATTACTCCCAAACAATGAAACTATGAAGGATGCACAACATTTAGTCATATTAAAGCAAATGTTCTTTCCCTAATGCTGTGTTCTCTACTTTGCAGCTTAGTGGCAGCTACCTTGGCTATAGGCCAGAACAAGTAATGGCATAAGTGTGTTTTTATAATAATTTAAAGGACCAATAGCAGAATTAAAATGGAAAGGAAACAGTGTGGACCTTATTAACAGTCTTTTGTCTTGTAAAACAATTGCCTTTGTCCTTGAAGCTTTGCTGTAAATAACTTAATTAGTTGCTAAATAAACAAATCTCTGGGGTTTTTTAAAAGCTCTAATGCAAAACAATTTCAGTTTGTTAGCGTTCAGGAAATTGTAATGATGTAAGGAAAGACATTCAGTTGCATGCATATCTGATCACTGTTGCTCTGTAAACCTTCCACTGTGCACCTGCTGTCTTGCTTGGTGGCAATTTGTAGTCTGAACCGCACAGACTGATCTCCTTTCAGAGCAGCAGAGGTGACCCGTACCATTTCACTGCCTGAGGCAAAACCACCTGAGATGCCAACACCACCCTGCCCAAACCTTGCTTACTGGGGACGCAAGATCTCTCAGTGAGCAATCACTGCAGCCACACAACCCTTGCAGTGGCAGGGGTGGGTGGGGCCCCTATAGGGGCACTGCCCTGCAGGATTTGGCCTTGTGAGGTGGCTTGCTTCATGGGCAGCCCAGCCATGCAGAACAGGACTCTATGCAGGTATGAAGGCACTAGAGGAGGCTTCAGGTTGAGCAGAGGGTGGTGGGAAAGAGGAGATATTTCCTTTCTAGAATTTCATCTACTAAAAATTGCCCCTCCCCATGTGCATTATTCATGAGGGATAAACTATACAGACCCTCATATAGTTTGGGAAGAAAAGTAGGTTAAGAAGGGGCAATTTTGAACAGTGAAACAGCTGGGGAGGGGAAAGGACTAAAACATCACCTACCCACCCACCCCACTTTTGTCTGATAGAAGAAATATTTATATAAGAAAGATGGGGAGGGAATGGAAAAGAGTCTTAATGTGTAGTTTTATCCCCAGCTCTGTAATTCTGATTTCTTCACTTCTGGCTGTTCTGCCTTTTGACCAAAGAAGACTTTGAAAAACCTTTCTTTATACAGTCACAAAACTGGTATCAGGTTTTATTTATCTTGGAATATATGTATACTTCTTTCTGTACACCTTGAGGGGAAAGGCAGAATACAATAAACAGTAAGATCATGACATCTAAGAAACAGGTGGAGAAGCCACATATCAGGAAAAGCCCAATTTCATACATGATGTTAGGAGATGTTGAGTTTGTGCCTCACTTTCTTGGACTAAATTTCACTACATATCTATCATTTGATTATCATAGTCTCGTGCATTAATGGATTGCACATTACTGTTAACTTTATCCTGGAATGTTTAGGTTTGATCAGTATGACGTGGACTACATTTATTTTTGTTTATTTAACAAAATTTTTATGCAGCTAGATTGTAAAAACAAAACAGAACCATCTCTAATAGGTTTGCATGAAGGCATTTAATCATCCCCACAAACTTCCTTCGTTCTTTGAAATCTTAGCTTTCCTTTTTTCCCTGTGTTTTGGTAAGTGTAACCTTCATTGTGGTTTTCTAAACAGTGTTATGGGCAATTAAAGTAAATTGCTGAGCTGAGATTGCTAGACCACTTGGCAATGGACACAGCTCATTTGCAAGCTAATTCATGTAACTTTATTACAGTTGAGCTGTAAGATCATTCCAGTCACTCAAATGTTGCTCTCTCTTTCATAATAAGCAACTCCTAATTAGTTTATTTTTTGCAGAAAACTAAGTAGGAGATGCGTAGGCTAGAATTTACCAGGCAGAATAATGCCAATTTGTTGCAGTGGTTGACATGTTGTCTCAGGGGAGAGCTGGATTCAGATCCTTGTACATCCATAAAGCATGCTAGGTAGTCACTCTCTTTCCTAGCTTCTGCTACATCACAGTTTTTGAGGATAAAGGGGCAAGGAGGGCAAATAATTATTGCTACCCTAAGTTCCTTAGAAGATAGATGGGAGGAAATACAAAGAACATTAATAATAAATACCATTTACACTTTAAGGACCGCAATCCCTGAAGGACTTCTTCGTATATAAACCATTCCGGACTCTGCGTTCATCAACATTGGTCGTTTTTCACGTGCCTCCTTCACAGGAGGTCCAGGGGGCCCCCTCATCTGTATTGGCTCCCCATTTGTGGCATGCTCTCCCCAGAGAAGTTCACATGGCACCTTCATTATATATTTTTAGATGCCATTCTTCTCCAACCAGGCCTTTGGCTGATTAATATTGTTGTAGCTACTCTCTTTATCTGGATATACTATAGTGTAGATTGAGACTTGGACCTTCTGTACTTAGGGCATGTTTTCAGAAAGACTCTCCTCCTGCGGCTGTCACCAATGGAAGCGAAAGCCTTGAAAAAGCTCAATATGGAGGTCAAATGGCCGAAATATTGGGAAATTTTGGAACAAGATGGAGATAGACTGAAATTGCAGAGTTTTGAAAAACTAAAAAACAAAGTGCGAGACTGGCTTCATTATTTTCAGATAATGGAGGCATTTAAATTGGACAAGAAAATTGGCTTCTAGGTGGAAAAATCAAAATTAGAAACTGAACTGTTAGAACCCAAAACTAAGAATTTATCAAGAATGTATAACTTGCTGCTGAAATGGAACACTCAGGATGAAACGGTAAAATCGGCTATGATTAAATGGGCACAAGACGTTGGACATAACATTATGTTTGCTGACTGGGAACAGTTGTGGACCACCGGTATGAAATTTACGGCATGTAATGCCTTAAGAGAGAATATTATGAAAATGATATACAGGTGGTACATAATCCCGGTCAAGCTTGCAAAAATCTATCATTTGCCCGATAACAAATGTTGGAAATGTAAAGAAACTGAAGGTACATTTTTTCACCTTTGGTGGACGTGCCCAAAGATTAAGGCTTTCTGGGAAATGATATATAATGAATTAAAAAAGGTATTTAAATATACCTTTCCCAAGAAACCAGAGGCCTTTCTCCTGGGCATGGTCGGCCAAAAGGTAATAAAAAAGGATAGAACTTTCTTTATGTATGCAACAACAGCAGCAAGAATACTCATCGCAAAGTCTCGGAAGACACAAGAACTTCCCACGCTGGAGGAATGGCAGATGAAACTGATGGACTATATGGAATTGGCGGAAATGACTGGCAGAATCCGTGACCAGGGAGAAGAGTCGGTGGAGGAAGATTGGAAGAAATTCAAAGATTATCTACAGAAACACTGCAAAATTAAAGAATGTTAGAGTGATGTTGGACTAAAAATAAGTGGTTTCCAGCTGTACAGGATTTAAAGTTATAGACAGACTAATTAAAGATTAGGATTAAAAAAGTTGAAGGAAATGGAAATTTGGTATTTAAGAGGTAAAATTTTTAATGATATATTATATTAAGATTAAAGATTGGGATTAAAAAGTGGAAAAGAAATTGCTGGACAAACAACTTGGACTGGAATACAAAAGAGGGAGGTATGGGGAGGTCCAGAAAATAAGTAAATTCAAAAACGGAAATGGAAAGGTGATATTGTTTTTTAATTGTTCTGTTTCTTTCTTTTTTGTTTTTTTTTGTTTTTTCTGTTTTTTATTATGTATTGTGTATTTGTGTATTTTTTCTATTTTTTCTGTTTAATCTCTCACTGAAATTTTAATAAAAATCATTTACCAAAAAAAAAACAAAACCAGACTCTCCTCCTGCAAAGAGGGGAGGGGTTGTGGGCGGGAGCCGATCTCTGCCTCAAGCAGGGGGCATTAGCCCCCTGCCACCCACTCACCTGGCTGGCGCACCACGCCCACGGGCAAGCGCCCAACCAGGTGCCTTGGAAGGGGCGTGAACGGCAGCTTAACTTGCTGCTGCGCCAGCCACGCGGCCTCACTTTTCGCCGTCCCGTCACGAGTCACCCACCCTCCACTTCCTTATAGCTCAGGGTTTCAGTTTTTCTATTGGCCTTGCTATGGACCTTAGGTTGGTTGTCCAGGGGGCCTGGTAGGAATTTTTCCATTTGGCATTAGGCTTTGTGGTTTTTTCGCCTACCTCGTAGCAATTGTCACAACCTTCGTGGTATTGGTGGGTAGGTTAGGCATTGGAATAATGTGTTTCTGGTGTGTGGAAGGGCTAGGTGTGGCCATCGCCTACGCCTTCAATTTTGGGTATTCCGTTAAAGGAATCCGGCGGTCGTGTATTCTGTCTGATGCCTGTGCGGCGGGGGGCCATGGCACAACCCTCGGTGACATCAGGGGAGAGCTTATAGTTGGATTAGCATCAGCAGGCTCCACCTACTGGTGAATAACCCCCCCTTTTAGACTCACCCCTCTCCAAGTGGGTGGAGTCAACTGACATGATCCAATGCCTAAGCCAATACCTTTTCACTTGCTGTAATCAATAAAGTTGTGGCCTTTTCTTGCCCATTAACCTTATATTACGTGTCCATGTGTTTTCATTCCACTAAGCGGGGATCGGGTCCTCGAACCACAACTGTGGTTGGTCCCCTTCCTAAGAGAACTCCCTGAGATTTGCTCACTGGATTATGGCACCTAAATGAATGTATAAACTTCATTTTCCTAGGGGATACATAATGGAGATTTTAAAGTTAAGGGAAGGATCACAAGGGCGCAATTAACTGAGAAGGTCACCTGTATGGGTTCAGTTGAATTAATAAGCCACTCACACATGAGATCTGGTTGGTGGTGCTCTAAATCTCTCTTTTCAGTGTTTAAAAGTCTAGTGTGAGTAAGGGAGTATTCCTTTCATACTGCACAAGTTTACCAAAACAACAGTAGTCATTTACAAACAATTTTGGTAAAAACTGAAGTGCAGGTTAGAGGCAAGTAGGGATGGGAAATTGCAGGTACAGACTGTGATATCATGCACACACAGATTTATGCTGTAGTCCTAACTCTACTAACTTGAATGTAACCCTGATTGACATACTTCTGATTAGACATGGTTAGGATTGCACTAAAATTTTTGTGGTGTTTCCATATTCTGAGTGGTACTGAAAATAATTGTTTTTCTTTTAGTCCATGTGCCTGAACTACAAGTGTGGTCACCTAGCATTTTCATATACATGCCCTGAAGTTTTATCTGACTTCAAGGCTATTTTTATTTGACCCCGAACAGGAAGGATATGGTCAGGGTGGAGTACTGTGAGAAATTTTGCCAGTAAATGGGGGGGAAACAATGTGAAAGATAGGCAAACAATTCTAAAACAATTTTGCTAAGTGTAACATTTTTGGAAATCTTCCCAAAATTTGTTCCTTTGGGTTTTTTTAATGAATATTTTAATGCAATAGATAAGAAAACCAAGAACATGTAAGGAAAAAAAACATGCTGCGGTGTATATCAGGAAAAATTGTTAGTGACGTTAATGAGGGTGTAACTTGCAAGAGTTCTCCTCTGAGATAAATCCTATAATGTGGTGCTCCTAGTTCAAATTGGAGCTTTAGATCATACGTTGGTGTTTCCATATTATTTATTTGTTGTATTAATAGGCATCCAATAGTGTTCTCTCACACACACACTCTTTTGGGGTATTGAACAAAGAAGGGGAGGGGAGGAAAGTGATAGTAAAAAACAACAAAACAAAACAAACAAACAAAAGGAGAGTCCAATCAGGTGTGGCTGGGTGCATGCTGAGATGTGGTGTATACCCAGCAGCAGTATGTTGACATCATACCTTATTGAAAAAAGAAAATGGAGGAGGAAGAGGGGGAAGTTAGGAAGCAAATGAGAGTAGCTGATGAAGCTGTGGACTTGAGAAAGAGGAAGAAGGCTCTACTGAATCTGGATAATTTGAGCTTTGTCAAGGTTGTTAATTCAAAGATCTTTGTGATGAGGTGCAACCAAGCTGGTGAAATTCCTAAGGCTAGGATATACTGAGTCTGAAGTGAATTTAGGTGGTGATGAAAAACATGGCTCCTATTCTTGTTCAGCCACTGACAATTAGCAGTGTGCATTTGTTTTGGAATGGATGAAAACTTGAATGAAAGGGGAATCGTTCAGTTTATTTTCCATTCATTTTAGAAACAGTGTGTTTTGTAGTCAACTGGTGTGAATGGGTTTGGTCTTTCATTAAATTCATGCAATTTAAGGATGGGATTGGCTTTCTCCAGCAGCAGTGGATCTTCTTCACCTATTCTCTTTGTCCTGACAGCCAGTATCTTATTTACCTAGAATATTGCATTGTTCTGGGCCATTGTAGAGAAATATGACAGGCAGCAGATACATGTATGCATCTGTCAACATGAGCAAGTTCATGCAAGTTGCATGGCTTTAAAAGAGGATTTGAAATACAGTGGTACCTCGGGTTACAGACGCTTCAGGTTACAAACTCCGCTAACCCAGAAATAGTACCTCAGGTTAAGAACTTTGGTTCACGATGAGAACAGAAATCACATGGCTGTGGCGTGGCGGCAGCAGGAGACCCCATTAGCTAAAGTGGTACCTCAGGTTAAGAACAGTTTCAGGTTAAGAACAGACCTCCAGAATGAATTAAGTTCTTAACCCGAGGTACCACTGTACATGGAGGGTAAAGCTATCAGTGGCTACTAGCTATGATGTCTATGTTTTACCTCCATTTTCTAGATACCAGTTGCTGGAAACTACAGTGGGGAGAGGGCTCTTGTGCTTGAATCCTGCTTGCAGGTTTTCCACAGGCATCTCGTTGGTCTGTGAGAACAAGATGCTGAACTAGATGAGCCATTGGCCTGATGCAGCAGGCTCTTCCTATGTTCTTACGCAATAGTCCCCAACACTCCAACAACCTTGGGAGTATTCGTAGAGGCCAGATTTATGCTTCAGACAGGGCTGCAGAGAGGCACTATTTGTACTCAGAATTCAAGAAATGAAGCTTTTTCAAATGTGGAGATACAGCAATAGCTTAAAAAAACAAACCCTGTTGATTTCTGCTATTAAAAAGCACAGGCACCCAGCCAATTATAAATAGTAATAGCTGGGAGCGACCACCAGGACCATATAACACTGGCCCTGAAAGACCTACATTGAATCTCAGTACGATTCTGAGCACAATTCAAAGTGTTGTTGCTGACCTTTAAAGCCCTAAAGGACCTCGGCCCTGTATACCTGAAGGAATGTCTCCATCCCCATCATTCAGCCCAGACACTGAGATCTATCCCTCATTGCAAGAAGTGGAGTTACAGGGAACCAGGCAGAGGGCCTTCTGGGTAGTGGCGCCCACCTTGTGGAACGCCCTCCCATCAGATGTCAAAGAGATAAGTAACTATACAACTTTTAGAAGACATCCGAAGACAGCCCTGTATAGGAAAGTTTTTTAAAATATTTTATGTTTTATTATGTTTTTATATATGTTGGAAGCCGCCTAGAGTGGCTGGGGCAACCCAGTCAGATGGGTGGGGTACAAATATAATAATAATGATTATTATGATGGCGGAAATCCCACAATTTTAAGTCCAGGGGAGATGGTGGCTGCAAGAATTGACCACTCAGGTTTGCAAAGAATTAGTAATTCAGGGAGAAAAGAAAATCCTGATGGAAAAAGAAGCAGAAGAATGAGAGGAAATAACTAGATACAAAAGGAAGCTGAGGGAGCAAAGTGGAATAAGAAATGACAGGAATAATACTGGAGCAATATTAAACCATCATCACCATCATAAAGCTGTTCATTCCCAGGGTATGGTGTAGAAGAACATGAAGCTGTCACCCACCAAAAGTTCAGCTGGTCTAGGTCCAGCAATGCATGGATAGGAGGCCACCTGGTCACCCTGTGGATGCCATACTGAATTATATTATGGGAAGGCAGGTGGGATATAAATGAAGAAAATTAACTGGAGTAAGCACAGAGGGTGTGCCTTTGGGGAGTGTGGATATAACCCCATAGTCCCAACTGCATTTGATCCAAGACACAAAGGGAGATCATTGGATGTGCTGAAAGAATGTATGTGAGTGTCACACTCTTTAGCTTAGCCATGAATCCAGTTGCCTAGGTCAAAATATGTTGGTCTTTATATGCTTTTAATGGTAGTGTTTGGTGGAAGCTTGTGTTGCAAGATTACTTTTCAGGAATTCAAAGACATAAAAGTTTGGTTTATCTTTATACTCTGAAAAGAATTCTGTTTACCATTAAACAGTAATTGTAATTTGAGCACGCCCTATCCTTTAAAATCATAGCAATAACAGGTTTCCTAGTTTTACAGCATACTTGACTTTCAGTTCTTGTTCCTGATGTAAAATGTTATGGCTGTGGCATATTTCCCAGTGTGAGATTCCTGTTTGAGTGCATTTATTTACTGTTATTGTACATTTAGAAAATTACTTCCGAAATGGTAATATACTGAAACTGCTATAAATTCTTACCAGATGTATCAGTGCACTCTGTGCAGGTGCAGTTATGCTGCTGGTTAACATTTAGCATACAGTAAAATATTTGCTTTATTTCATTATAACATAATAGAATCATTTATGTTAAGAGTTTTTAAACTTGACAGAATTATTAACCCAATTGGGGCAGATTTGAGGATGTTATAGTGAGAAACACTCTTTCATCCATAAAGATTAAAGGCTTTAGTTCAGTCCACTGCAAGTGTAGCAGCCATGCTGATATGGGCGATCACAGAACAAGGGTGGAGAACCTGTGGCCCCCCCCAGATCTTGTTGGAATCCCATCTCCCATCTGCCCTAGCCAGCATGGTCAATGCTTTTGATGGGAGTTGTAGTCCTCCCATCCCTCACCCACAATGTGTGCAGACAGGCACTGCATCCTAGTGTTATTGGGAATGACCAGCCTATTCATGCAAGCCATATTCCTAACTAGCTTGGCCCCTCCACTTGGTGAAGGAAGTGAGCATTCATGTTAATAGCCAGTTGGCTGGATGCATGCCCAGCTGCATGCATTGAGGGGCTGGAAGAAGGGGAAAGACCTCCATGTGGGTTCTATTATGATCCCTCTGTTGCCACATGTGGCATGCTCTGTGTAGATTTAATCAAACCTTTCTTGTGTCTCTTCCCTTCCCCATAGGAGCTGGACACTCATGTTCCATATGGTCTTTTGCCAATTATGATGAAATCCCCCTTCTCACATTTATTTAGCAAACTGAAGTTACTTAAGATTATGTTACTTTGAGCTAAACAGTGACTGTATATTGAGAAAGTAATTGGATTCATGACATGTTTGTACAAATAATTAATTTGACATTTGCAAGGACCATTGTTAGAAAGGGAAAACAACACTAAAATTTCACATTCTTTTGATAGGATCCATAATGATTCAGATATATTATAGATTGTAGGTAATCAATTCAGAATATAAATTTGTATCATTCATGTTGCACCCACAAGGACAATTTTATTCTCATGGTTGATTGGCCCAAGTGCAAGCTCCTCTTACACATGCACTTGCTTGCACCCTTCAGTCCTTACTTATTAAACCATAGTTTCCTGTGACATCCAAACTGCTAAACTGACTTCATCACTGCTTTATGATTGATAATCTCCTGGTTTGTAAGCAGCTATTAAACCAGTGATTCCTGTTTCAGACGTCATGGGAAACGGTGGTTTAATAAGCCAGGATAGAAGCACTGAAGCTAGAAGTGAGGAGAGTATATGTAGCCACACAGCTTCTTCTTCAGTCAATAAATCATGGTTTATTGACTTAAGATTACAGTATTATGAAGCAGATCATAGGCTGAAATATAAAAAGGTAAGACAAAGAAATACAAGCTGGCTTTTTCAGTTCTGAAACAGATGACAATAACATAAGAGTGTGGTTGATATTACCAGTGTCACATAAAAGGATAGGATTTTAACAGATGTTAAAGAACCACAGAATTTTTGTGTACACATCCTGATGCATAAACCAGTTTTATGGCTTAAACAAGCAAACCTTCCCCTCCAGCGCAGCTTGCATGGTGCAGGAGAAGCTAAGGAATGGCAGCAGGGTGCTGGATCATGTAGAGCTCCCTAGGCAGCTGGTATTTGGAAGCACATGATTATTATGTAATACTGGAGGATGCATTTCTGTATACAACTACTAATATCATCAGAAAACCAATTCACTAGTTAGATGGAAGAAATGTTGATTTCATGTCCCAGGCTGCTTCTTTTTTTATATTTCCCCCCAAACTATTTTCACGCTAAGATTTTGAAAAGTGCCACAAGATTTTTCTAGGGTAGAATGCTGCTGCTGTATATGGTGTTTGATCATTTAATGATCATAAAGAAAATTGCAGAAATTAAAGGTTGAAAGTATTACTCTGTAGCCATATGAGGTCAACATGTTGCCCAACTGGAGGGCAAGTCCATGTTTAACTACATTTTATAACTTCAAAGATAGTGTATGCCTTTTCTCTTGTGAATAGCTGCTAAAGATCCAGTTAAACACACAGTAAGAATACATTGAACTGAACAGTGTTGATTCTTTTATTTGTTGTTTTGCCTGAAGTTTTCTGTACAAAAAAATTAATGGGAAATTCTAAATCAATACGCTCAAACTCTTCTTCATCGCCTTTACATAAGGTTTTTTCTACTCTTTTGCAAAATGCAGAATTTGTATTTAGAATGTGAGTAATCTTATGCTCAGTTTATTTTAGGTCAGTGCAATAAAACATAATCTAAATCTGGATATATTCATTTTTAATTTCATAAGGACATGACTAATTTCAAAGAACAGGTATGTCACATAGATGACTGGACAAATTTATTTTCTTTTGTTCCAGAGTGGGACCGATACAAACATGTTCAAATTACAATTGGGAATAACTTCCTGACAATGGCCTGGTTTACATGACATGGTAAGCCAAACTATGGTTTACTGTTAGCTCACACATTTGCGCAGTCCCAGTAAACCATGGCTTGGCTTACTGTGTAGTACAAACTGGTGGTGGTGGTGGAAGTGATGCCATCTTGCTCTTTGCCCTTGGACTGACCCTGGTGTGGAGTGGAGGCTGCCTCTTACACAAACTGTTTTTCTGACTTCTTCTCCTAACTCCCAGTAATTGTGTGGAGGCATGAAATTGCTCATTTTACCCACCTTCTTGGCACTGCTTGAAGCAGCTAGTAGAAAAAGTACAGCATTGATTGTGTAAAAATCTTGAAAAATATGAATCATCTGTCTTAAACTTATATTTATGGCAATGCATCCTTCAAATGGGTGGGGGGATCCTGAGGATTAATAGAAACAAAATACCTCTCAGAATACCTCCCTAGCATTTTCTAGCTCTCATGTACCTTTTCAAAATGTATCTCCATTAGGAGAGTACTTGAATAATTTGTCAAGCGAGTGACAACTATTCCCATGGCAATTTTTAGATAAGACAATATTAGTGCAATTGTAGGTTCATCCATATATTTGTTTTTTACTGTTCATACTGGATATCAGTTATTACTTTATATTGTTTTGAAAATACAGTTAATTAGGTTTTTCCTTTCTTAGTTCATCATCTTAAACATAATTCCGCCATTCTTCCTTTTGTAAGGTTGTCATCCTATGCATGCTTACCAATAACAGTGAGGCCAATTTCTTGATAACAGAGCTACCCTAATGGGCTAATAAACTAAGGCTGAATCCTTAAAAGGTAGAAGTGCTGTGGGTGGGTGGCCCCTCTGTTTGGGAATTGGATGCACACCCTGGTCTGGGAAGGTTCACACTCCTGTTTAAGCAACAGGTTCGTTGTCTGGGAGTATTTATGGATTCCAGTTTGTGACTGTAGTTTCAAGTGGCTAGGAGTGCTCATTCCCAGCTTCAGTTGTTTCTTCAACAACAGTTGCCTGTGCTCTAGTAACTTCCTGCCTGGACTACTGTAATGTGTTCCATGTGGGGCTGCCCTCGAAGCTAGAATGTGGCTTCTAGGCTGGTAAGAAGGGCAGCCTGATGGGACCCTCTGTCACCAGTCCTGAAAGGACTGCGCTGGCAGCCATTGAGCTACGGGGCCAAATTCAAGGTATTAGTACTAGCTTGTAAAACCCTAAATGGCTTGGGACCTCAGTTCCTAAAAGAGTGCCGTGCTCAGCATCACCCGGCAGGTGAGGCCTTGTTGGTGTTGACTCTGTTGAGCCCTGCCTACTTGGTGTGGAGCCATGATAGGGCCTTTTCTGTTTGTAGACTGCCCTACCTAGTGAAGTGCATCTGTCTCCCTTATTATTGTTTACCGGGAAAAACATTTCCCAGACATTTGATGACTGAAAGACACTGGTATAATGTTTTTAACTTCTTCTTTAAGTATGTTTTTGGTTGTTGCTTTTAATGTCTTATCATTTCTGTATCTGCCACACTGGGCAGCATGAAGGATGGGGTATAAATTGAATTAATAACTGTAATAATAAAGCTTTAATTACACTTTTGAAGGACTTATTGGAACTAGCTACATACCTCGGGGCGGGAATGTGAGTGGTTTCTGTGTTACTTGTTCCAAATTATCTTAGGGAAATCTTCTCTCCTGCCACCCACAACAAAATTGGAACTGTTTTTACTTTAGGTCTGACTCACTCTCTAGACACAGTTCTACAAAGTTATGTCTGTTTCCTTCTAGTTCAGCAACAAAACTGATAGCACATTTGCCAAGCTAAGCAGGGTCCAGTATGGTTTCAAATTGGATGGGGAACCACATGTTGAGATTCCAGCATTGCAGGGGGTTGGACTAGGTTCTTGATCTCCTCCTCAAGTCCATACTGTACTACAGGAGGAAGGGGGAGGGGAGAGCAAGCATACTCAATACAGTACTTGTCAGGGTTAACTTCTACTTCCAAACCAGCTCTCTGTCTCCAACAGTAGCCACCCAGATTCCTTACCTGGAAGACTCATTTATACAATGTGTATGCAAAAAGCTCATCTGCTGCAGTTTAGACATGACATCACTTGCAGGGCAGCAAGCATGTTATGGGCTCTTGAACTATAAGTAGAACACGAACTCCTATATTGTTTGCACCTATCTTGTAATTAGAGGTATGTTTTGTGAGTGAAAATCAGTAGCTGAAGATGTGAATCTGTCCTTAGTGCTATAAATATTTCGTACCACATACTAAATAATTTTTATGGCAGTCTAACTCAGTGTTGTGGGAATTTTATTAATTCTCAAATGGTGAAACCAAGAGACTTTGTGTGTGAGTAAAAAATAACGCATATTGACAGTTTGCTGCACAAGAAAATGCTAAGAGAGTTTCACTTCTCAGTCAGTGGGAGACTGATGAATTTCATAAGTTGGTGGATCCCCTTAGTAGTAATAATATGCTTGGAAATTACTGACTTAAGCTGATCTTGTGGTTATGAAAGGTTTTATTAGTACAATTTTTTTTGTAATTGATTTCTACCTTTCAATAATCATAGCGAGAATGCTGTGTTCATTTTAAATCTTTCTTTTAATAATTCCTGATTGATTTAAGCAACTCCAAAAGCAAATTAGGTGTATTTGTTTTACAACAGTGCATGAGAGTTTTTTGGGTAACAGGTTTTTTGATAATTTAACAGCTGCAATGGTAGATAAGTACTAAAATCAGGTAAAGATTCAACATATAGTAGAATATAGCAGTAGTGAGACAGTAGGCAATGCTTTTCTTAAAGAGATAACAGTTAAACTTGACAATATTTTATATTGTTCTTAAGTTTTATTATATTCTTATGAATAAAATGAAAATATACATGCACATAGCCTGCTGGATCAGGCCAATGGCCCATCTGGTCCAGCATCTTGTTCTCACAGTGGCCAAGCATAATGGCAATTCATGATTAAGCCACGTTTTTGTGGAACCTGGAGCGTCACTTTTAGGGTTTCCTGAGTTTGTTTTTGGTTACACCTTGTGATTAGTAATTTTAAACTTGGTTCATAAAACTAAAGTGGGGAGAATTATTCTTAGGAAAAAGGTTTCTGTTACATCTGAATAGTTACATGCATGCATTAAAAAAAAAAGGAAAATAAATAAGAATATGTATCTAGCTGATCCTATCCAAAACGGTTCCTATGAGATAAAATTCTGTTAAGCAAATGTCTGAATCCTTAGGATCTTATGTTGGTTAGCAGCTCTTTCTGGTTTTCAATGTACCACTTCAGGTCTGATCTTCACTTTCTCCTGAGAACCTCCAAGACTTTGCCTTTGCAAGTACCTCTCTAACTGTGACCTTGAGCTATCTCCCCCCCCCCTTTTTTTTGTATAAATCAAACCACAAACCAGCCTACATTAAAAAGTACACTCTTCCTTTAATCCCTTTTGCAGACCACATGCTGAAGTGGTTATCTGCCAGCCAAGGTTGACTCTAGGAAGCAAGTTAACCATGTAATTCGCAAACCAAACTTTATACAAGATCATTGTTTCTTTTTAAACAGTCCAATTCTTTCACACAAGCCAACTTCAAACCATGAGTTATGAAGCTGACTTCTTAAACAAAGTGTTTGTTTTAAACTAGGATATCTAGTTTGTACATATTTATTTGAAAGCAAAGCTAAATTTGGCAGAAATTATCCCACTAGTCTTATGGGAGGAGCAGAGAGGAGTGAGAGTTGTGTGAGCCTCATTTTTTGCTTGGCCTTATGGACACTTTGTTATGTACGTATTCAGTGGTCTGTGTTTTCCTGAGCTTGAGTCTGCACTAAGGATTCTGAGCTCCTGTGTTCTGATTCGATACACGATATCCAATCACAGAACATTTCAGGATTTTGGCCTCTGCCATTGGCCCTTAAACTCTTAAGTCATGATTTGCAGCTTGGAAGTTTAGACGGCCATTCACGTCAGGAGTGGGAGTGGCCCAGGCCTTCAGGAATGTATATAAGCTGTTGCTTTGCCCCTGTTGTCCAGTTCTGGCTGGCTTCAGGAGCTGCTCACGGTCGTGGCGCCCACCATTTTTCCTTTCCGAAAGTCCCCATATGATGGAGAACAGGCGAAGTCCCGGCAGACTGGAGGAGGGCAAATGTTGTCCCTATTTTCAAAAAGGGGAAAAGAGAGGACCCAAATAATTACCGCCCAGTCAGTCTGACATCAATACCAGGGAAGATTCTGGAGCAGATCATTAAGCAAACAGTCTGTGAGCACCTAGAAAGGAATGCTGTGATCACCAATAGTCAGCATGGATTTCTGAAAAATAAGTCATGTCAGACTAACCTGATCTCGGTTTTTGACAGAATTACAAGCCTGGTAGATGAAGGGAATGCAGTGGATGTAGCCTACCTTGATTTCAGCAAGGCATTTGACAAGGTGCCCCATGATATTCTTGTAAAGAAGCTGGTAAAATGCGGTCTTGACTATGCTACCACTCAGTGGATTTGTAACTGGCTGACTGACCGAACCCAAAGGGTGCTCATCAATGGTTCCTCTTCATCCTGGAGAAGAGTGACTAGTGGGGTGCCACAGGGTTCTGTCTTGGGCCCGGTCTTATTCAACATCTTTATCAACGACTTGGATGATGGACTCAAGGGCATCCTGATCAAATTTGCAGATGACACCAAACTGGGAGGGGTGGCTAACACCCCAGAGGACAGGATCACACTTCAAAACGACCTTGACAGATTAGAGAACTGGGCCAAAACAAACAAGATGAATTTTAACAGGGAGAAATGTAAAGTATTGCACTTGGGCAAAAAAATGAGAGGCACAAATACAAGATGGGGGACACCTGGCTTGAGAGCAGTACATGTGAAAAGGATCTAGGAGTCTTGGTTGACCACAAACTTGACATGAGCCAACAGTGTGACGCGGCAGCTAAAAAAGCCAATGCAATTCTGGGCTGCATCAATAGGAGTATAGCATCTAGATCAAGGGAAGTAATAGTGCCACTGTATTCTGCTCTGGTCAGACCTCACCTGGAGTACTGTGTCCAGTTCTGGGCACCACAGTTCAAGAAGGACATTGACAAACTGGAACGTGTCCAGAGGAGGGCAACCAAAATGGTCAAAGGCCTGGAAACGATGCCTTATGAGGAACGGCTAATGGAGCTGGGCATGTTTAGCCTGGAGAAGAGGAGGTTAAGGGGTGATATGATAGCCATGTTCAAATATATAAAAGGATGTCACATAGAGGAGGGAGAAAGGTTGTTTTCTGCTGCTCCAGAGAAGCGGACACGGAGCAATGGATCCAAACTACAAGAAAGAAGATTCCACCTAAACATTAGGAAGAACTTCCTGACAGTAAGAGCTGTTCGACAGTGGAATTTGCTGCCAAGGAGTGTGGTGGAGTCTCCTTCTTTGGAGGTCTTTAAGCAGAGGCTTGACAACCATATGTCAGGAGTGCTCTGATGGTGTTTCCTGCTCGGCAGGGGGTTGGACTCGATGGCCCTTGTGGTCTCTTCCAACTCTATGATTCTATGATTCTATGATTCTATGTGTTGCGCACAAGACGCATCATATGGGGACTTCCGGAGAGGAAAAATGGCGGGTGCCATGGCAGCGAGCAGCTCCTGAAATCAGCCAGAGCCAACTACGCTTCCGGGTTGCTGAGGCTGCCGCTGCCACGTTTCCTGGGGACAGATTTGCAAATCGGGGGACATTCCGGGGACGGAATTTAACCGGGGACAGATTTGCAAATCTGGGAACTGGGGACGTCTGGTAACCCTAAGTTATCACTGTGTTTGCCTTGTGGGAATCCACCTACACTTCAGGCCTGTCCTTGTAGCACTAAACGATGGTTTAGCATTCAATGCAGACCAGGCCATTCTGTTTCTGTGTTGAGGTTTTTAATGGTTTTTCTCCACCGTTATACGTGCTTCCTTTGATATTCTGTGATACAACCCTTTGAGTAATAAATAATTTTTAAAGTGGAAATTTTATAATATTTTCATTCTTTCTTCCCCTGCTCCCTTCCCCACACTTCCTTGAGTGCTGATGATTTCAGGCTTAGTTTGGATTGCATGAGAGATCATTGGAGACTTAAGATGGTATCATTGTAATATTTCTTTTATGTACACAACTACTAAGACTGCATCATGCTTTCTAAAGGAAACAAGTGTGTCTCAAAGTGTTTCACCTTTAGTTAACTTTCAGATCTGTTTGCCACTCTATCCGAAGAACAGCTGTTCACTGCCATAACACCATATCTCTGCATTTCTCACTAACCATAGCTTGTTATGTTTCAAAGGCAGGAGAGAGACAGCGTTTTGGTCATTAGTTCCCATAGAAGGAACATCAGCTTATCATCTGTGACTGTCAGAAAGCAATTAGGTTAATGAAAGATGGTTTCATGGTGGGGTGAATTTTGTCGTCAAGGTTGGCATGCACCATTCATTTGGGGTTCACCTTTTAGCATTATAATGACAATAAATGCCACTTTTTTATTCGCTTTGAGATATGCTAGTTAAGCACCCTTTTAGCATAATTTAGGAAATAATAATTTCAGATACACATGAATCGCTTCATTTTAATACAGTTCATTCACAGGGTCTAATTGGTACATAGTGTCTCTGATGTTCATTAAAATGTAATAATATAAAGGCAGTAACACCAAGACAGTTGCATACGAAGAGCATATCTATTCTAAGCATAAACCTGCTGGTGCTTATGTTCCACTTTTACCCACACCAGCTTGCATGTAACCTCAAAGCTGACAGCCTGTTACAAAACAAATTTTTTTAGTTTAGTAGTTTTTAGATTTTTCTGGGAAACCATGATGCAACAAGAAGGACAGTCACCGTTCGAAAATAATCTTCCTGCTTTATGCTTGATGTGATTAATAGCAACGAGAGCTGCTGGTGAAGTTTGTTTATTTTATTTGTTTAGTAATGTATATAGGTTGCCTTTTTTGGGAAGGCAACTTACACATCATAAAACAGAGTTTTCAAATTACAGAGGCAGTATCTATAACTTTAAAACAATGGCCAGTTAAAGCATGTAAGACAACATAAATCTTAGCAGAAAAAGAGCTATACAATCTAAGAGAGTTCTCTAAAAGTAAAAAGTAAAATAAAATTTGAAATGCCTTATTTAAGAGAAGGTGGACCAAAAGAAATGGGTTTTTAAAAATCCACTTAAATATTTAGAGCACCAAGGACAAATGTACTTCTGTGGGGAAGGAATATGACAGTCTGGGAGCCACCACAGTTTGGGGGGCAGGGAAAGGCAAGTAAGGAGTGGGCACACAATAGTGGCTTAAAAAATTATATGTGCTGTAAGAAACTGGATAGAGAAGTTGTGATCATTTCTTATAATATTAGGATGCAGTGAAGGTGAGTGGTGGAAGATTTCAGGGCAGACAAAAAGAAGTACTTATTCACATGACTTTTGGAATTAGTTACCACAAAATGTGATGATGGCCACCGACTTCTGTAGCTTTAAAAATATGATTAGGCAAATTCATGGAGGACAAGTCAGATCACTGGCTACTAATCTTGATAGCTACCTCCCAATTATCAGAGGCACTATGCCTTTGAATACCAGCTGCTGAGAAACAACAGAAGAGAGGACTCTTCCCCTCATGCCCTGCTTGGGGTCTGCCCAAAGGCATCTGACTGGACATTGTAAGAGACAGAATGCTCAACTAGGTAGGCCTTTCATCTGATCCAATAGGCCTCTTCCTATGATCTTAATTTATAATGTTTTAATCCTGAACCAGTGTTCAGTTGTTTGTGTTGGTTAGGTTTTCCGAGTTATTTATTTAACAATATAACTAAATGTTTATAGCTCAGGCACTGTTGTATGTATTTATTACATTAAAAGACTTTCTTTTATGATTCACAGTACTATTTTACCGTCCTCTTTGGTCATGAAGGACAGAAGCCACTTGAGCTGCGTTGTGAGGAGGAAGCAGATGGGGAAGAATGGGTAGAGGCTATTCACCAAGCCAGGTACGAAACCTCCACTTACAGTCTCCACCTAGTCAAGCACTCCTTTTGTTTACTGAGGAAAAATCTACTTCCTTCTCTCTTGTACTATTCTGGACTCCGCAGATCACACAACAATACCATTACCTGCCACTGATCTTCTTCCTTCTTCCCCTGATACAAAAAGTCTGGAGTTGTCCTGAGGGTCAAACTACACAGTACAGCCCATGCCTTGAAGGGCAGAGTTTTGTTGTTTTTTACCACATGCAGGAAGACTGTTCCAGATAGGGACTCTAGCATGGTGGGTTGGGGGATTGCCCCCCATAGCCCTAGTCCTGGCCTTGCAATCTCTTTCAGAAATAAGATCCCATTAAAGCAGATGAATTTTTTCCACAGTGCAAATTACAGGCGCATGGTGGGAGCAATGGGCTAATGCCACTCTGGAAACCTTTGCACTTAAAGGCACAGCTTTGTAGCAAACAACATGCAGTTTGATCCTCTGGAGACAGTTTATTCCCACCATCACTTATCAGGAAGTATGCAAAACTCTCATCCCTCTGATACCTCTATACAGTAAGTCACTATATCCTACATATAAGTCCATAGACACTTCCATACAGTAGTAATTTTCCTTTCATTGTCCCAGTATGATTCACTGCTCTGCCTGTCATGGTGGCTTAAAACTTTTGGCTTGAGCTGTGGCACTAATAATGTGATATGCTATATTAAGAGCACGTGATGCAAGTAAGATGGCAGGCCAAAGGAGAATGGACTATTTCAGAAGACGAGGTCTTGCTGGTAGTGGAGGGAACTTCTAATGCCTGTACAGTGATTTGGAGAAGCATTCTTTATTAAACAAGTGTGGGATAATTCTTTTAGAACATACTTCACTGGCAACACGATTCAAATGGATGGAGTAGGAATGCATTACTTTGGTCAACATGATACTTCCCGCCAATCAAATTGTGAGGGAAGAGAATCTCTTGCACTCCTTTCAGTCAGGACATGAGAAATGCTGAAAGCATGGACTGTAGCCACTTCTTCCTATGTAGGCAATCAGCCACTATTAGGTCTTGCTTGATAGCACAGCCCTTTTGGTGACCAGCATTTCTTTGAATCTCCTTACAGCTCACTGATACCTGGCCGTACTGTGGTTCACTGTTTAGGTCTGTCTTTTACAGTAAGGGAAACATGTTACTGATTTCTCCTGTCTTCCTTTTTTTTTTAATGATATTTATTAAGAATTTTAGAATTACAAAAAAAAAAGAGAGAAAAAGAGAGAGAAAAAACAAAAGAAAAACAAACCACAATCGAACAATACAAATTGATAAAAATCAAAATCAAGAAATAACACGACACAATCAAAAAACATAAATATGCCACAAACATTTAAAAACAAATCCAGTATTCTCAAATCCTTAACTGTCATTACCTTCTTTCTTTGACCTCCTCACGCCTCCCTTTTTTTGTATCCTAGTTGTTAATTGTCACAGCAAATCCTTTCCATATTTCATAATATTCTGTCATTACATTACCTTAATCTATTTTAATCTTATCTTACTATAAAAAACCTTAAAACTTAGATCTTATTTATACCAATTTCTCCTAACCATAATATTCTTACATAATTCTTTAAACATTTTTGCTAAAGCCAGATAATTTCATTCCAACATTTTTCTAACGTTCATCGATTTTATAAAACAATCCTAATAAAAAAAAATTTTTTTTTCTTCCAATCTTCATCCAGCGTCTCTTCCTCCTGGTCCCGGGTTTTGTCAGTCCTTTCTATCCCATCAATCTAGCGCATTAACCTGGTAATCTTATGTCCGAGGCCCTTAAGTCCCTTCCATGTCCCATCCGCAGTTCTTCTTCATATTTATACCTGTACTTTACTTTGTCTCCTGCTCCTTTCACTTGTGGGAATTCCAACTTAACAGTGTTTTTGACCCTTCTCGACAAATAAGCCCCTTTTCCATAGTCCACACTAACCTCCATGTGGTATTTAAAAACATGTTTCAAAGTCCCTCCAGAATTAAGAGCCCCCACAACCCCAAACATCTCCCGGCCCATTGCCAGACTTGAAAAGTCCAAACATCCCTGCATAGGGGGGGTCTATCCAACCCCCCATTTCCAAACCAAACCAAACCATACCAAACTTTATCTTTCCAAATCTGGCTTTTTCCAAGTTCATTTGTCAAATCCAAGAACTCATGTTCCTGCTGGGCCACAGCTCCCTCCATCTCTGGCGCCCAAGGTTCAGCAACATCCTCTTCCCTCATCTGTTCTGTCGGAGCACACTCCTGATTTGATTCCTGGGTGGGCTCTATATAGTTTCCCACTACCTGTCCAAAATTTCTGATCGCAACAGTCATCAAGTCCGTCTTCTCATGTAGCTGTTCCAGTAGGTCACTTGTTTTACAGAAAGCACGCAGCAGAGCTTCTGAATACATTGTTCTGCAAGGTCAGAAGTCTATTCCCATGATCGTAATCTATTGCAGCTGCAAGCTCCCCAGTTCAGAATTGGTGACAGTTTCACAGGCTCCCTCTAGGGGAAGAGCTTCTATTTGTTCTTTTCTTTTAAAGGCAGATCTAACAACAAAGTTTCCTTTTTCAGATATTTTGTCAATATTTGTTCCTTTAAAATGCGAAGGGGAACAATGGAATCACTATGTTTCTCTTCTTTTAACTATCTGTCAAAGACGTTTGTCTCTGGTCAATGAGCTTCCCGAAAAACGTCAGTCCTGACACCCCGCTCCAGTATCAAGACGGTGGAAAGTTACTTTGCGTTACACTCTCTTCTGCAGGTTTAAACAGTCCGGAAAAAATCCCCCCTCTTCTCCTGCTTCCGAAGGGGGTTCAACAATTTTAAATGATGAAAGTTAATCCTTTACAGGCGATTTTCTGAACTCTAGTTTGCCATGTCTTTGCTTTAATCTATCTACAAGAAACGGAAGGCTGACTTCCTGTTTAGACCTTCCCGTTTCAGTGCCAAATTGAGGTAAATTTCTTAGTCCAATTTTCCTTTCTACTCGCAAATCATTATTTGAAGTCCAATTGTCCGAAATTTAAGTACTCACGGGTAGTTGTTTTAAAAGCCAAATTGTCCCAGGAAAAAAGGCAGCGCTCTCCGGCAACGGCTGTGCGGCTTCGCTCCACGGAAGAAGCAGTTGACTCTCAGCACCGCGCCACTTCCCCCTCTTCACTCCGGAGCCTGTTAGTGGGTTCCTTTGCGGGTTGGGGGGGCGCTAAAGGTGCACGCCGAGTCCCATGGTCACAGGCTTCATCCGCCTGTGATTTTTGAAAGGGTCCCCGCTTCGCCGTAGCGGGAAAGACCCGTTTCCCGTGGAGCTGGTCCCTCCAAATCAGAGGGAGTCCGCCATTACCGATGGCGCCACCCCGGAAGTCCTGATTTCTCCTGTCTTCCTGTTCCTATACTGTTCTGGTAACATTACAACAGTAAGATCATGTGAGAGTTACAGACAACATGGTTATGTGTCATGTCAATGCCTCTCTTCTCTGGGATGTAAAATAAAAGCTGTCTTCACTGAGGGAAAAGGATGCAAGCTCTGGGTGAAATCAGGAGATGATGAGTAGCCAACTGTTTTCATGAGCATGGAAACATAGATAGTGTAGTTTATAAATTGTGGGTGATGATCATGGTAAGAAATCTCAAGCTGCCCTCTGTTGTCTTCAAACAGCTCACAATGATCTCTTATAATTTAGGTTTAATCTGAGTTTCTTTTCCAAGCCAGCAACCAAATTTAATAGCTATTCCCAGTTTCTGCCTTGGAGTTGATAGAATACTGTTAGATCATAATAAATAGCTTATTCATAGTTTCAGAATTATATGGATAGGAATGAGTCGACCTTTTAAAGATCTCAAATCTATATTATAAAGTGTTTTAAAAATGATTATTGCAAAGCAAGAAAAGGGATAAAAAATTAGAATACTCAGTTTAGGCTAGTCTTGAGCAGACCTTGGGACATACTTCTGAGTAGACATGTATAAGATTGTGCTGTTAATTCGTTGCTTTATATTGCTTTTTCTGGAGCAGAGCTGTTCCTCTCAAGCAGGCAAAAGTGTGAGGAAGTGAAATAATCTGTTGATTGGAAAATAACCCATGCAGAAATAGAATGTTTCTGTGCAGAAGGTGATATTGCTCCATCCTACAGTGTTCTGTGTGCACCTTGTCCAACAGCCAGGCAAAGGATTTCAGCACTGATTCTACTGAATTGCTTATGTGCCTTAAGGGCAATGTCTCTGCCAGAAAGCCGGAGACCTCGAGAGCAATGTCTTGCATCAGTTCTTAACAACTTGGTTGTGTTTTAGAGCCCCACATGCTAAAAGCCTTCCCATTATTTTCTGCAAGCAGGAGTCACCTCACACTTTCACAGGCATTCATTATTGAATGTACTGATATTGTGCCAGTCTTTTAATCAGGGGTTATGGAGGGAAAGAGAGGTTACCAATCTATTATTAATTTAAATTAATAGGTGGGATCAGCTGCACCCACCCAGACAACACATACATAACTCTTAGAATGAGAGAGTCCCATGAGTGAACTTGCCCCAACTCATTTTTAAAAGCTTGGCATGAGGGGGTGTCAACTGTTGGGACACCACTGTAGCTGCTATTTGGTTATAAACCTCTTGCCTAGGAATCTTGACTTCTGGACCTTGCTCCTGAGTCTGTTACTAGCTTGAATAAAGATATTTCCCTTACTTTTTAGCATGAGTTGCTGTCATTTTGTTTAGGGATGGGAGCCTGATACAGATAATCAATTTCCTCCAAGCATATATCTTGACACTATGCTAGAGTAGGAGAGATGTAGTCTGTTTTCCTCTCCGTTTAATGTAATATTTTCAGAAGTACTGTTTTCTTCTTCAACTTAAATGTGCTACCTACCATAATTAACGCAGATTGTGATGGGCATTCTGCTAAATAAAACATCAACCCTCCCCTTTTTACCTCTTTGCAGCTATTCAGATATCCTGATTGAGCGGGAAGTTTTAATGCAAAAATATATTCATCTAGTTCAGATTGTAGAGACAGAAAAGATTTCAGCCAATCAGTTACGACATCAGCTTGAAGACCAAGACACAGAAATTGAAAGGCTTAAATCAGAGGTATGTTCCGATATGATGCGCAGGTTACATTTTATCACTACCTTTTATATATATTTATATATTAGGAGTGCAATCTACTTCCCTTTTGAGTCAATGGGTTTTTTTCAAAAAACAACAACTCCTCTTAAATTATTATGTGAATGAATTGAACCTTAGGTTAATTGTGAAGTAATCACCACTGAGTATGTAGACTTAGATTTCCTTGCCTGATAATTTCCCTGACTTCATCCGTAATCTTCATTAATGATGCAGACTTTAAAAACTGCAACAGAATAATGCAATTTTATTTTAATCTTTGCCATTATTTTTTTTTAATGTCGTGTAGCATGGCATTATATTTCATTTCCCTAAAGCAGGAATTTACATGTTCTTATCCACCAAGCTAAAATGCATCCTACTAGCCACCTGTTGTGGCCTGCGAAGTGCTAAGTCTTGTTTTTACACTCTCAGGCAGTCAGAGACCACAGATGTCCTGGTGACTGCTATGGTATGTGGGGCTTCGTAGATCACAGGTTGTGCACACCTACTCTAGAGTAGGTAGGTGATTATGTAACGCAAGTCTAAGAAGCCTCAAAGATCTGGAAATTAAGGGTATTGAAGTCTCAAGTTAGATTCCGGAACTGAGAATTCTGAGTAGAAAACCCTAACAGTTATGGGCTTTTCTTATTTTATTGCTTTTGACAGATTGTAGCTCTTAACAAAACGAAAGAACGAATGCGACCTTATCAAGGCAACCAAGAAGAAGAAGATCCTGATATTAAGAAAATCAAAAAGGTAAATTTCCGTTTCAGTGGGACTTTATAAAATAATTTGTCCATACCTTTCTTTGAATTAGAAGAAATAATTTATTATGTGTAAAACTCTTCCATTCAGCTCAGTATGTGTTGAATTTTAAAACTGCAGCAAGATCACCTAATATCTGAAGTATACTATTTAGTCGAGCAGGCAGATAATGGTGAATTGGGGTAGATGTATGTACAGTGCATATCACGTTACCCAGTATAAACTGCTTGAAAAAGGTTTACTGACCATTGTGTTTTCAAGCCACTTTAATTAAGATTTCTTTTCCTTATGATTTTACTTCATCCAGCCCAATCCACAGATATGTGTGCATTGCTCTGTATTTGACACTGTAGCTCAGTGGAAGAGTAAATGCTTTGCATATGCAAAAAATTCCCAGGTTCAGTCCAAGTAGGGCTGGAAAGGACTGCTGTCTGAACTGCTGGAATGAGTTATCATAGGCAGTACTGAACTAAAAGGACTATTGGTTTGACTTGGTGTAAGGCAACCATAACTGGCACCAGCATACAGCGAACTGGGACATATGGAAGCTCTCACAGCACTGCTTCTGTGCCTACTGCTGCTAGTCACTTGCCCACCCATGATAATGGTGGCGGTGCTCATTGGAGCCTAAGCTCTGCATGCTAATTAATGGCTGATCCCACCTCCCAACGGATGTACATCGGGGCGGGAATAGCATAATTAACCCATCAGCACCAGGGAATTTGTGGATGTGCAGCTGATGAGCATTGCTGCTAGGCTTCTCCTTCTGCATGGCCTTCTCATGGCTCTAATGGTACTGCTTTACCCACCTGCCTACAATTACATTGATGGAGAGTTCTACCCATCTACATATAAGCATTTTTCCCATACAAAGGTGTAAAGGTAAAGGTACCCCTGCCCGTACGGGCCAGTCTTGCCAGACTCTAGGGTTGTGCGCTCATCTCACTCTAGAGGCTGGGAGCCAGCGCTGTCCGCAGACACTTCCGGGTCACGTGGCCAGCGTGACAAGCTGCATCTGGCGAGCCAGCGCAGCACATGGAACGCCGTTTACCTTCCCGCTGGTAAGCGGTCCCTATTTATCTACTTGCACCCGGAGGTGCTTTTGAACTGCTAGGTTGGCAGGCGCTGGGACCGAGCGACGGGAGCGCACCACGCTGCGGGGATTCGAACCGCCGACCATGCAATCAGCAAGTCCTAGGCGCTGAGGTTTTAGCCACAGCACCACCCGCGTCCCCATCTACAAAGGTGTACATGTGTACAAAGTTTACTCCCCTGCTCACAGCAATGTCTGAAGATTGCAGAGGTGCAAGAAGAAGAAGAAGAAGCTACACACACACACACACACACACACACACACACACTTCAAAGGCCATTAAGAATGTGTTCTTCTTTTGTTGAATTACCAGGTTCAGAGTTTTATGCGAGGTTGGTTGTGTAGAAGAAAATGGAAGACAATTGTCCAGGATTACATTTGTTCTCCACATGCAGAAAGTATGCGAAAGAGAAATCAGATCGTTTTCAACATGGTTGAGGCTGAATCTGAATACGTACATCAGCTTTACATCCTTGTGAATTGTTTTCTAAGGCCGTTAAGAATGGCTGCAAGTTCAAAGAAACCACCAATTAGCCATGATGACGTCAGTAGTGTATTCCTCAACAGGTACCCCATGTGTTTATATATTTATTTAATTATTTAATTAAAATATGTCCAGACCTCTTTCATCATCAAATATGAATGTATACAAAGGGCAGTTTAAAAAACGGGTAAAGTGAAATAAAACAAATACAATAAAATTAAAGATAAAGCAGCAGTGCTGTAGAATGTAATCACAGTGCAATTGGGTACATCTTTAGAATTGAGTTCAATGAGATTTACTCGCAGATAAGCATGGCTTGGATAAAACAAGTATTTGATGTATTTTGTAAATCTTGTTCCGTTATGATGGAATGAAGTAAATCCAGCTTTGGCAATTTCCCAACTTTCTTCTTCAGAGTATTTCAGTCACAGCTTTTTTTTTTCTTTTTAAAAAGATTCAGGTAGAAGTGTAGATCTTTTGCCTTCTTGAAGGCAAAAAAATCTTTCCCTGCCCCCGAAAATAAAATAAAAATAAATCATGCTACATAGATGAGGTCCAAAAGTTAGTCAGTAACATACTTTTGTTTATTTGATAAAAAAATTACAACCCACTTCTTCCAGATGTTTTGAACTATAGCTATTTATGCAGTAATGTTCAAAGAATATCTTCTAATGACAGAGTCCAACTTTCGTTTATTGTTCCAACTTTTATTTCTTCGCAGTGAGACTATAATGTTTCTTCATGAAATATTTCATCAAGGATTAAAAGCAAGAATAGCAAACTGGCCTACTTTAATTTTAGGTAAGTGCTCTTCACTAGGGCCATAATTATTTTTGCATGGCCATATGGGGATATTAGGAGCAATTGCATCCTCTCTTTTTGCAGATGTCAAGTGTGTTTTTCAGAAGATATAACCATTTTAGGAAGGTGTAGTATGTTTCATTATGCAGAGCGACTGAAAAATTGTCTCTGCATATCAGTTCCACTGTTTAAAGTATACAACTTCTGTCAAGAGAGGAAAGGTGGTAACACTATTCCTTGTTAGGATTTCAGATTTTGCAATTCTGGATGTAGATAATTTGCACTTAATGTTCTGTTTTATTTCTAAATGTGACCTATGAAAAAATGTGGATGGCAGCAACAATTTACTTTTCTCTTTGTTCTGTATAGCTGATTTATTTGATATCCTGCTGCCAATGCTGAATATTTATCAAGAATTTGTTCGGAATCATCAATATAGTCTACAGGTCCTTGCAAACTGCAAGCAGAACAGAGATTTTGACAAACTTTTGAAGCAGTATGAAGCCAACCCTGCCTGCGAGGGCAGAATGCTCGAGACATTCCTTACTTACCCCATGTTTCAGGTATTTTTGTTGTTACAGTGGTTTTGTGCATGTTATAAACACTACTTATATCATTTGGTTAGTAATACTAATGGCTGTTGCTCTAGCAGATTGGTTGTTGGTTGTTGTTGGCATCCATCTGTCTTGGGAGGCAAAGGAAGAGTGCGCCTTTGGGGGTAAAGTAAAACCACTGGAGAGTTACAGCACCTGCCGTGGCTGTAGAGGCTGATACAAAAGAGACGTGTTTTGTTGCAAGTGAGCCAGTACAGAAGGTGTCCTGTTTTGCTGCTACAGGTGCACCATGGCGTTTCTTTTCTCTGCGCTCCTCCCAGCAGTCATTCCTCCTCTGGTTACTGCTGTGGACAACCTGACTGTCTTGTCTACAGGTACTGTGATCGTCTGCAAGGGTTATAACCATATGGCGGGGTTAAGGTTACCAGCCTTTATGTCACATTTGCAGACATTTTTGTAACACAAGAGTTGGTGTGCCAGCAGGCCTAGTACCTGAAGCTTTTGGGGAACTTGCCATCTTCCATTCTGTGTATGTGACAAAGCCAGTGTAGACGTCGCTGAGTCAGGACTATGAGCAAGATGGGAATGTGGACTTGGGAAAGCACATCTTTATTTGAGACTCTATACTGCCATGTGATGCACAAAATCGTCCTGGCGCAGCACATGTGGAAAGGCATTGAGGCATCACTCCTGGTGGTTGTAAGTTGCCTACAACTCACTTCCATAAAGTAGAGTGCTCAACACACGCCTGATAGACCTCCATCTTGGTATTGGTCATTAGCACCACATTTTCCCTTACCTTTTGGGCATGTCTGCCTTGCCAATTCACTTGTCTAGCTCACATTTGATGGAATGGTTGCTTGTTGTGGTGGAACCCAGATAGACAAAATCATCTATTATTTCAAGTCTGTGGTCACCAGTTCTGATGTGTGGAGTGCTGACAATGTCCTGACCCAGAGTGTTGGTCTTTGTCAGGCTGATGGTGAGGCTGAACTCCATGCAGGCTTGGGCAAAATGGTTGATGAGTCTCTATAGAGCTTCCTTGGAGTGTGCTGTCAAGGCTGAGTCATCTGCAAACAACATCTCTATAGCTGTATATTTTATCTGGTGGAAGGGTCTTGAGCATAACAACCTTTTATATTACAGTCAGAATTCGAAAGAGCTTTTAATACTTGTTGTTCAATATATTTTTGAAGACATTTTGTTTTTGTTTTTAATTATTTGTTCCTATATCCAGTGGTTGTGTGGTAAATGAAATTTTCTGCTATCAAATTAAATTAAATTCTCTTAATTATAGCACATGCAGTCTGAATGCTGACAGTGAAGAAAAGCAGTTCCTGCAAATTCAAGTCATTTAAAAAAAAAATAATGCACACACTTATGTAAAAGTGTGTCTTGCATCAAGACCTCTGAATCCACCTAGAAACTAGGCACTAGACATGCTCACTGTCTCATTCTGTCAATAAACCCTGGCAGCAGAGAGCAGCAGCAAACACAAGTCTTCAGTCACTGTTGTAAACCTAAAGAAAAATAAAGTGCAAAGACAGGCTCTACTTGGAGGAACAGGGAATTAGCCTGAGAGAAGCAGCCTGCAGAAATAAGTGTAGAATCAGGGAACTAAAATGTTTCTTTTAAGTTTGGAGGAATATAGGTATCTATGCTACCTAGTCAGCTTTAAGCAGTAGCAGATGGTGGGGCAGAGCTGTGGGGCTCACCTCACCTCCGGTCAGTGGCATACCAAGATAGAGAGAAATGAGGCGGCGGCAAGGTTGGCACAGTACCAATGGACCAGTGGGCACACTGGATCAGCTCTGCTACTGCATTTGCACCTTGATCTTGTAGCTGCACACACACACGGAAACGCAGCAGTGATCCAACTGGCAGGAGGTTTTCGAGCATCTTGGATGCCAAATGTTTCGGTTTTCGAACGCCGAAAACCCACAAGTAATAGCTTCCATTTTCAAACACACCTCGGAAGTTGAACGGCTTCTGAGGCGAATCTCTCAGTTTTCTCCACTGAAATTGCCGACTGCCTATTGCACCTCGGTTGTCGAACATTTTGGAGGTCAAACGGTCTTCAGGAACAGATTTCGTTTGACACTGAGGTTCCACTGTATAAGAATGAACTCAACTAAGCTTCAGTCTTACCTACTGCCCCTCGCCTCCTCTAGTGTATCCTCAAGGAAGAGATGGAAGCTTTTATTTCTGTTTCAAATTAACTGCAGTTTTTTGTGTCATTGAAATCCAGACAAACTGTGGTTAATCTTAACTATACTTTGCTGAAACAAGACAACTTCAGGCAATACCTTATGGAGCTGGCATGTTTCCATAAATTATAGTTCAGATTAACCACAGATTAAGGTCCAGAAAATATGATGCACTTCAGTTAGTCTGAAATTAAAGTGAAAGCTTCCAGTCTCTTCCTCATGAGGAGGGCAGGGAAAGAGTGTACAAGCCCAAGGTGCACTGAGGCGTGTTTTCATGATTTAATTTTCAGCATTAAATCCAAATGTAGCCATTATTTGCCAGCCTTATACAAACCCACTCCAGGATTTTCATTTTATCATGGGATAAAGTGTTCTGGTAGCCTGAGATTGATGGGCTTCATGATAGACATATCTGTTTTGCATGTTAAACACATTTAAGACTAGTTGAACAACTGGAAAGGAAGGCCTCTATTCGGCTTGACATCCAGGCAACTAATTCTATGTAAAAACTAATGGGTCTAGATGGGACTATGCATCCACATTCACCTCCTGGCAGTTAAAGAGGCCTAGATGAACAGTATGGTGTAGACTGGGGTGCATCTGCATTCACTGCACATCTGGAAGACAGAATCTCTGCCACTGAATTGGGGCTACTGATAGTTTTTCAAGTTACTTATTTATCCTGAAGATTTCTTCTTAATGTAGAAAATATTTTAGTTGAGTGAGTTTATGCTGATAGAAGAAAATAAATGCAAAGAATTAAAAAACAATTTTCTTTTTAAATGTTCATTTTTTTATTATTTCAAGACCAAGTGTGCTTTTAAATATAAACTTGCTGATAACCCCTTTCACCCATCTTTAGATTCCTAGATATATAATAACCCTCCATGAACTTCTGGCTCACACACCGCATGAGCACGTAGAAAGAAAAAGCCTTGAATTTGCTAAATCTAAGCTAGAAGAGCTTTCAAGGTGAGACTCCTTTTGTTCTACGAATATGAGGCTAAAACGGAAACTGTGGATTACAAAATCAATGTGTTATTTTCAAAAGATTGAATTATGGTATCTTTGGGCACAGCAAAAATAAACATGCAGTGTCTCCAGAGAGCTGAATTTAACTTTTAAGAGACCGCTCAAAGGCCAGCATTGCATTGTGTAAGCATAGTTGCGCCTACATTACTGATAGGGGTTTATTTTATTTTATTTTGGTCTTGAGCCGAATTTAAATAGTCTGAGTCTCCCCACTTGTGATTCCCAGCAACTGACATTCAGAAGCATATTACCTCCAGTGGTGGAAACAGAGCATTGCCTAAGAGAATAATGCTATAATAATAAGTAATTCAAGAATAAATCCACCTAAAACACAGGAATATAACCAAACATGCCAACCTGGAAAAACAAACTAGGTGTACAACATGCTGCAGTACAAAGGAAATTTATATTTTAAAAGCCTTTGAGTGGTGCTAAAAGGACACTAGGACGCGGGTGGCGCTGTGGGTTAAACCACAGAGCCTAGGACTTGCTGATCAGAAGGTTGGCGGTTCAAATCCCCGTGACGCGGTGAGCTCCCGTTGCTCGGTCCCTGCTCATGCCAACCAAGCAGTTCGAAAGCACGTCAAAGTGCAAGTAGATAAACAGGTACCACTCTGGCGGGAAGGTAAATAGCGTTTCTGTTCTGGTTCTCCAGAAGCGGCTGAGTCATGCTGGCCACATGACCCGGAAGCTGCACGCTGGCTCCCTCGGCTAATAAAGCGAGATGAGCGCCACAACCCCAGAGTCGGCCACGACTGGACCTAATGGTCAGGGTTCCCTTTACCTTTACCTAAAAGGACACTAGGCAAGCTTCTTCAGAGAAAGTATTTCATATGCAAGTTCCAATGCTAAAAAGACTTTCTAGCCATCACCTAGCTAGCCTCACGGGGTGGGACTTGGCAGAGAGTTGCTCATGATGAAGGTAATAAGATATGGGAAAGCTGTATTTGCTTTATGCATGCACGTCATTTCTTGAAGCTGAACATTCCCTTTTCTCTTTGCAACAGAGTGATGCATGATGAAGTGAGTGACACAGAAAACATACGGAAAAATCTGGCAATAGAAAGAATGATAGTAGAGGGTTGTGATATATTATTGGACACCAGCCAAACTTTTATACGACAAGGTAAGACATTTTCTTTAGCATGCATTTCTACAGTATTAAGAGAGCATAGCTGAAAACAAGAGTTAATGTTGGCATCATTGGGAAAAATAAGGGTGCAATATATAGCTGGCACCATAAGTGTGCGATTGTCCAGATACAATTCATGAATATTAACCCCACAGTTTTGGGCTGCTGCTGAGCCCCACCTCTATGCTGTTTTTTTTCCAGGGGTCATGAAAAACAGCAGCACAATAATAGTAAAGCACCCGTGGGAAAGTAACATACACAATAACCGGACTATCGTCTTCAGTGGACCAGAAATTATCTACAGCAACATGGAAAATAGGTCTGTCTGGCCAATAGATGTTGCAGTCCCAGATGATGCCAACATTCGGGCAAAAGCACAAGAGAAACTTGGAGTACTTGAAGCTTTGTCAAATGGTGGAGAGATTGTGAGGAATGAAAACAGCTGTCTTTTGTTTCCGTTTTTCATCTGTGCTTCAGGAACAGCTCAAAATGATACAGTCTGATAAAAAAAAATTCCCTTCAGATTGTCTTTTCAGTGCCAGAGCCAGAGTAGGAGAAAAGTTATGAGAGTATTACATTATCTGGTATACCTGAAATGCCCAGGGGCATGCATGTCTTCTGGAAGACCTCTTCTGTGGCTTTTTGTGGAAGCTCAGAATTTATGGTACACAACTATGTGCAGTGCAGGTTAACGTAGTCATATATGTAGGGTATCCATTATCAACTAAATATCTGGCACGAGCCCCCTTTAAGAAAAGTAGCTGTGACCCAGGAGGCCAGCTCCTGGAGAGTTAGAGTTGTGGCCTGGCTGGAGAAGCTTGTTACTCTGTGCAGAATAAAGTTCATTCTCCCATCCCACTCAGCTTGTAATGAGTCTTTGTATAAACAGCAGAATATAATACAATGTACATCAGGCACCTTCCAGATTTATTGGATTCCAGTTCCATCAGCCGCAGCCAGCATGGCCCAGTGTCAGTTATAGGGATGGAAGGATTCAATTTATGTTCTCTTAGTTTCTCATTTTCACCGGTCTAAAATTCAGCTCTGCACATTTATGGATTAAAAAATTCTCATGAGAATTCATGTGAACTGAATCTAATTTCCCCTTGGAGGGACATAGTTTCCTTACCTCTATCTAATACACACTTTTATCAACCTCAGTTGCCCAAGTACCACTTCTTCTTCTGTAGCCAAAATTTCAACAGCAGGTTCCGGGGGAACCCAAAGGTTTTCAGAAGTACAAACCAAATCCTTCCAGAACAACTTGATGGAAGAGGAACCTCAAGACAGCCCAGTGAAGTTGAACATGATGAGTAGGGATTAAATGCTGAGTGACTGTTGGATGGGGGATGGAACAAAGTATATTAGAAAAGAGCAAAGCTGGTTGGCTGTTTTGTTGTGAGCCCAGTTTATGATCCATGAAAGTTTCCAAGAATTAAATGAGAAATGAAGCTACTGACACCAGTAGGAAAACACCATTAGGAAAGTCTGTAGCCACTTGCTCAGCTCTGTTTTCCAGCAACCACACTGAGCAAGCGTCATATACTCGATGAAGCTTGCATTTTTTTGGTCTTGTTTTCAAAAAGAGGACAGGTAGTGTTTATCTTAAAATTTCACACTGTTCTGATTGAAAACAATTCTCTGCTTCAGAAGTTTTGAAAGTGCCACAGATTGAAATCCTCATCTTGTGGAAATCATATTGAAAAAGCAACACATGACAAAGAAATGGCAAATCCTTGATCTTGTTATAAATATTATTGATGGCTGGAAGAATTCCACACATCTACAAGTTGATGCTTATGTATTTTAAGTGCTCTTTTTAGCTCTCTGAACAGCTGATACAAAAACAAACAATCTGGTCTCCTAGGAATTTAAAGTGTTATCTCAGCTGTCAAAGGTTTTCCTCTGATCAGTAGGGCATTATCTGCCAATGATCTGGATTTAAAATGGCTGTGGAAGTGACAGGTGTAAGACTTGGCACTGGCACCAACAGTCAGTGTACCTGGCACTAACTCAACCCCTTTTCGATGGTCCTTTGGATCACTTACACTGCAATTCTACACACAGGTACCAGGGAGAAAGCCTCCTTAAAATCAATGGGACTTCCTTCAGCGTACAGTGGTACCTCGGTTTACGAACTTAATCCGTTCCAGAAGTCCGTTCTTAAACCGAGACCGTTCTTAAACCGAGGTGCGCTTTCCCTAATGAAGCCTCCCGCTGCCGGTGCCCTTCCACCATTCAGCTTCTGTTCTTAGACCGAGTTTGCAAACTGGGACACTACTTCCGGTTTTGCGGAGTTCGTAAACCAAATAGTTCATAAACAGGTCTGTTCTTAAACTGAGGTACCACTGTATTTATCTTACTTATTTCACAAGATTTATTACCGCTTGATTGTCATAAAACCTCAAAGCAATTTACAGAAAGAATAGATAAGTATAGGTCTGTACATTCAGTCTGAGAAACAGATTGTTCTGCAAAATGTACAACTATATAAATTTAAATATTTCTTGTTAGACATTGCATTGCTGGTCTTATAACTTCTCACTTTCATGGTAACACACAACTTTGCTGAAGCTAAGCAGTGTATTTTTGAATGTATTGGTAAAATTATACTTGAAATGTATAAGACCAGAAAGTTTTACTTTCCTTGTGTGAATTTCCTTGTATGACTAACTCCATGTTGTAAGTAGAGTTTAAAAACAAAAATGGAATTATTATGTTGTGTGTAAATTCTCTATGCTGTAAATTCTCTATGTAGTATACCACTCGCCTATACTTCTGTGTATTAAAATATTATCACTGACTAACTGCTCATATCTGTGCCAAAATTGTGCAGAATCCAACATTGCATGAGTGAACTTCTGCTGATGCACTGGGACATCCCCTCCTCAACCTTCCTGCAACCCCTAAAACAGATCTTGAGGGTGTATGGAATGCTGCTAAGAGGAGGAGTGGAAGATGGAATTAGAAGTCCTTTCTGCTCATGTGTGTGTGTGTGAAGTAGTCTTAAGCATATTTACTTGGAAGCAAGTTTCACTGCATTTATTTGGTTTACATTTTGATTTAAAATAACTTCTAGGCACGTTAAAAAAACCACATTCACCTTTACAGCGTCTCATGTGACCTGGTGTCATGCTTAAAGCATTCTTATTTGATTGAGTTAGCCTGTGTGTTTAGCCTTTGTGAGTCAGTGACCCTTGGCTTAGAAAGAAACAGCATTGGCATATAAATTTTGCATGCATAGGGGCTGATGCACATAGGATGAATCCATTGGTTGTGGGTCACTTGGAGCCCTGCATTGGGAAGTGCTTTTTGCAATATCCATCATCTTTAGGCACTTACTTCCTCATATGTATGTATAGGCATTGAGCCTTAATGCCTCAGTAATGTCTGATTCTGCATTGTGTGTCTACCTAAAAATCTGTGAATTAATAAACTATAGTATAACAACATTTTTAATAGTACCTTATTATTATTATAAAATGAAATATTGCATTCTCAAAGGCACATATTTTCAGGGCTCTGGACAATGTTATTAAAAAAAAGTGAGAAAAATCACTTAACAGCTACTTTAGAAAAATCACCTGTTACAGTACTCTTTGTTCAAAACTTGTTTTGATTTATTTCAAGCTCTGAGTCCCAATACTAGAGAAAGCTGTTTTCCCTCCTGAGTTAAGACAATTTGGATGCAAGGGGTATGAATGAACTTTCCAAAAAATACGTTTAAAAACATGCTTGTGCAGGTTCTTCTCTGAGTTAATGGATATAGTTTAGGGTCACGGGTGGTGCTGTGGTCTAAACCACTAAGCCTCTTGGGCTTGCCGATCGGAAGGTCAGCAGTTCGAATCCCCATGACGGAGTGAACTCCGATTGCTGTGTCCCAACTCCTGCCTACCTAGCAGTTCGAAAGTACGCTAGTGCAAGTAGATAAATAGGTACCGCTGCGGCGGAAAGGTGAATGGTGTTTCCATGCGCTCTGGTATCTGTCACTGTGTTCCATTGCGCCAGAAGCTGGCCACATGACCCAGAAAGCTGTCTGTGGACAAACCCCGGCTCCCTTGGCCTGAAAGCGAGATGAGCGCCGCAACCCCATAGTCGCCTTTGACTGGACTTAACCGTCCATGGGTCCTTTACCTTTACCTTTATATAGTTTTGAGCCTAAGATTAGATGGGCCTTGGTTTAAACTTCCATTCTGCTGTGGGAATTTAAGGTCTTTTCACATTTTTAAGTCCTTTGTGGGGGGATTTTAATTCTTTGTTTGGAAGATCGTTATCGTACCTTTGCAAATTAAATATATATATATTTCCAGTTGGCTTGTAAATTAAAAACAGGAATACAAATTACACATCATGGATAAAATTCTTTGGAGGGGAGGCAACCTTTGCTAGTTGGGCACCACTTCCTCCCACCATGTTTTAGAGACACTCCCAATATTATGGAGAAGATTTGCATAGGGCACAAGCACTGTAAGAGAAAGGGCAGGATCAGAAAGTCTCCACCCCCTTTGACTAGTAGGAGTGACCCAGGGGAAATCTGGGCCCCAAGTGGCAATCGTAACAACTGCAGGGTCTCATAAGAAGATCCTAAGCAATTTGCTAGGTCTATACCTATATATCAGTGCCATAAATGAGTAAAAAATTGTTCTGGTACAATGTGGAGACTGTTTGGTGGCCGTTATTATCCATTTGAACTAAAATAACACATCTTGGGCACATATTTTCAGGGTTCTGGGCAATGGAAGTAAGGTTTCTCATCCCACTGTTGTTGTTTTTTTCTGTGTCTCAATATTGAAATATAATTGCTGCTGTCATGCAGGCTAAGCTGCCTTTCAGCTATTACAGTGGCTGATATTTCATCAAATGGCTCCTTTAAAATGGAAGAGCTTTTAAGACCCAACCTGAAAAGCATCAGTCCCCGATCAGCAGTTTTCAACAGAATGATGCTGCAGTGGTCCTACCCCACCATAAGCCTTTTCAGCTTTTCAGAATGTACCTGTTTTGACAGAATGGCTGCCTCCATGACAAACCTACTTATCCCATTATATAATCAAACTGTCACTCTTCTTTGTATTTTATCCCTCTACTTGAAGACATTATGGTTAAATTATTTTTATTCCAATAGCTATAGTAAAAAAGAAAAAGAAACAAAGAATCTGTTCAGGCTCCAGTCCTACCATTAAACAAATGTGGGAATGCAGGGAGGAGCATAACCCCCTAAATCTAGCTTGCTGACCTCAGGTGTGGCATAGAAAGCTGCTCCTTCACCAGTATTGAAGTAAGATTTAAATGCCACTTCTGTGCATAAAAATGGGGAGAATAACTTGGATGCCAAAAGATCTGTGTTGCATATTTACTAGGAACTATACCACACTCCACCCTGCTGAAAACTTATATTTAAAAAAGCAATGATTTAAAAACAATTAAACATTAGTATGTATCTGCCAGCAAATTTTTTGATGCTACTGTGCCAAACATTGCCACGCTCCTGATGCACCTTTACTTGCAGGATGGAAAGGAAGGGAAAGCAATTGTAAATTCTCAGCACACACTTTTCAGATTTCTGTTCAATGTGGTTTGCTTGTATTGTTTTCTGGTTCTGGGCAAATCTGAGGGATCAAAATAAAGGGAAAAATCATTTGTTCAGGAGTGCACCAGAAATAGTTAAGATCACAGCATTAAAGCATTGAGGAAGTAGTGAACACAGAAAGGAGAGCAGCAAATAGTCTGCAACCATCTGTGGAGCAATTTGGACCGCAATTTTCCCCAATTTATCAGATGATCCCTGTTATCGGGAAAATCCAAATCTACAGGGGAAAAGCGTAAAGACTGGTGTTGTCTGAGAGTAATGTCATATGGACTACACAAATAAAAAGGAGAAGGTTAACAGCTGCAAACACACAGTAACCTCTGGTGAGGACAAGTCCACAGAATGAGATAAAAAAAAAATAAATCCATTTACAAGACATGTTGAAAAATGGACTTCAGTAGGTATCAAAAACAAAAAAACAAACAGTTGAGACGGCATCTGTCTGACATGTAATGGGAGGAACTTCTATTATCAATGTTTTGTCATTATTTTATTTTATTATTTTATTATTATTTTAATGTTTCTGTTCTTCTGGAAAAGTTTTAGAGATGTATAAAACAAACTTTTAGTAAACAGTCCCACCGGTGGTTGCTTTAAGATCAGTGGTTGGAATTACATTACTTTGTTATCCTGAGAGAAAATAAGTACTGGTAATTTTGAATAGCAAAGGCAAATTGATTTTTGCTGTTGCCCAGAGAGTCTAGTTATTGGGTGATTAAGAAATATGAATGAAGTATTTTTTTTTATTGTTTGCTGAATTTTGTCTTACAATTGATATTCTTTTTGTGTAATTGAAATGCTGTAGCCCTCTACAGTTAGGTTGCTTAACTTCCATTGACTTCAGTCCTGTGCATTGGCCTTAAACAGCCTATGCACAGGATTACAGTCAAACATTTTCCTGCAGGGTAACCCATTGTAGTGTTTGTTGCACCACAGCTCCTATCATCCCTGACTCCTGGCCATGCTGCCTGGACAAAGATGGGAGCTGGCCACAAAATCTAGAAAACACCACACTGGCTACTCCTACTTTAGTGAAACCAGTGTAATTAGGATGGTCATCTCTACTTGCCCCACATGGTGTGCTAAGAGAGATATACATAATATCAAATAGATAATGAGGTATAGAATGTGAAGGATTCCACTTATTAATCTTATATTTACAATGTACCATTTGCTTTTGTAATCACTAGGTACTCTTATTCAAGTACCTTCCGTTGAGAGGGGGAAACTTAGTAAAGTTCGCCTGGGATCATTGTCTTTGAAAAAAGAAGGAGAAAGACAATGTTTTTTATTTACAAAACACTTTTTAATTTGTACAAGGAGCTCTGGAGGAAAGCTGCATCTACTTAAGGTACAGTGTTTTCATAGCTACATCATTTACATTTAGCATGGTGGAATGTAGAGCATAAAGTTCCGAATTCTGGTGTTTCTCACTACATGTTACATTTCATTACTGCATGGTAGTTTAATTTAGGACATGAAGGATTTTATGTATTTCAGTAAATTGAGCCACTGAGGCAATGCACAAGAATTGCCTGGAAACGGTATCTCAGTATGGGAAAACTTATAATTTGAACAGAGTGTTAGCTTTTCTAAACTAATTGTAATTGAAATTGAAATCTGGTCACGGAAATGTTACAGGAACAATTTTATTGCAAGGGACACACCATCCATTGCACGCCTTCATCAACCAGCTGGTCGCATGGCTTAACGTGGCTCAAGGTTGGACTGGCCCTCTATATATATAATGCCATTTCCAATGATATAGCCTTCCAGTATAACTTTACAGTGAAATACTTTTCTTGAATTATTCCCCTACATGGATTGAAACCGTAATGTATTCAAATCTGAAAAAAATAGGTCTGCATTAATCTGTTTTTCTGTTTGGGATTCGGATACCTTATTTATTATATTCACATATTTCTCCCATGGAGTTGCTAGGCTGGTATGAATGAGTGTGCCATGCCATTAATCCTATCATTAAAATTGATTTTATTTGCTGTTGGTTAATACACTGTAGAATTATTTTAATTGGAAAAAGGAACACATGCAGCTTAAATTTATCTTCATTTTTTTGGAATTAATAATGTTCTTGATTTTTGCAAGTGTGTTCAGCTATTGGAACAATCCTTTCTAGGAGACTGTGTAACATTAAATTGCATAATTTTGCATAATTTTAAGTGGGGGAGAGAGGATAAAATAGATTCCTGAAAAAGGTATTATTTATATCCCTAGGCAGGAGGTGTTCTCTCGTTAATAGAATGCACACTAATTGAGGAGGCTGATACGAATGATGATGACTGTAAGTTACATCAAACTGTTTAATATAATTATAATGTTTACACAAACATTAGTGTATTTTTCTGTACAATATATAATGAATACAGTCCCCAGATAATGTGTCTGTCGCAGCTCCCAAGAAAACACAGGATTGAAATCTACATACCACAAGCCTTTCCTGCCTCTCATAAATTGGTCAACCTCTACTGCTGCTTCCACCAAAATCACTTCCCACAGTCCGCCAGAGGAAGGCAGACTGGGATGGTCATAACTGTGCTATACTCAGCAGCAGTTTGGCAGGCTGAGAGGGGTTTGATTGTGCCAATTGACTGGAGAGCAGGAAGGGGTGCAGCAGTATTATATATATATATATATATATATATATATATATATATATATATATACACACACCCCACCCATCTGGCTGTGTTTCCACAGCAATAGTATCTCCTCTCTCCAGCTGCTTGGTGCAAGTTGCTAAACAAGAAACCATATGAGGTTTTGGTGGCTTCCTAATTAAGAGCAAACTGCTTGGTCCCTGGGGCACAAACTGGGGCTCTAAGCTTTCCATTGCTGTAGGTTTTCCCAGTCATTTCAGTGGAAGGTAGAATTCTCTATGGGTAGTGGGGATGCGTCCATGAAACGTTAAACAAAAATGGGGTATATTTGCATGGAGTTCTGTGCTCGTGTTAGATCCCTATAGAACTTCATATTGAGGGACATGTGGACCAGAATTCGAAGCCCTAGTTTCATAAGCTGAAGAACATTTTAAACTTATTTTTCTCAATCAGCAGCTTCCCATGCTGTATGGCAAGCCGTTTCTGAAATCATAAACATCATAAATAGTTTGTGGTATTCCCTGGGAATCCAGTGTTCAAAGTAGAAAAAGTAACTGTGCTAATGAATAGCCCTGGCAGGGGCCTAAATCACTCTTTGGAGTCTTGCCACACTATACACAAACAGATGTTGCATGCAGGACAAATTTATCTGTGTTGTGCCTTGAGTTTTTATGCGCCTCAGATTTCCATCTGTAATTGCTTTGTTCTTTGCTCCCTTTGTGAAGCGAAAGGTTCTGGACAAGTATTTGGACATCTTGACTTTAAGATTGTGGTTGAACCAGCAGATGCTCCTCCTTTTACCATTGTCCTGTTAGCCCCTTCACGGCAGGAAAAAGCAGCCTGGACAAGTGACATTAGTCAGGTAATTTCACTTTCTTGGAGATCACATGTTTTACTCAGCATGCAATAATAATTTCACGGATTGATATGTAGGAAATAGAATATTTTGGTATCAGTAACAAAATAGTGCGACCGGGGTTCAACTAAAAATATTGGTAACTTGCCCATGTTGAACTGGTGCTAAAGGTAAAGGTAAAGGGACCCCTGACCGTTAGGTCCAGTCGTGGCCGACTCTGGGGTTGCAGCGCTCATCTTGCTTTATTGGTTGAGGGAGCCGGCGTACAGCTTCCGGGTTATGTGGCCAGCATGACTAAGCCGCTTCTGGCGAACCAGAGCAGCGCACGGAAACGCCGTTTACCTTCCCACTGAAGCGGTACCTATTTATCTACTTGCACTTTGACGTGCTTTTGAATTGCTAGGTTGGCAGGAGCAGGAACCGAGCAACGGGAGCTCACCCCGTCGCAGGGATTCAAACCGCCAACCTTCTGATCAGCAAGTCCTAGGCTCTGGTTTAACCCACATCGCCACCCGTGTCCCGAACTGGTGCTAGTTCAACAATAAAATCAATAATAAATAAATAAATAGACTTTGATAGTGAAGGAGGAAGAAACAGTTAAGAAGAGAGACAACGCAAGATTAGGCTACACCAACTGCACAAAATACGTGTACCTCTTCGAAGGGGTGGATGATTTTGGGTTAGGAATGCCATGAAGTGGAGTACGAACCCTTTTTCAAATGAGGGGCAGACCATGCCCCCTTCTCACATGAATACCAGCATCCGACTTCATGAAAAAATGCCAATTGCAAACAATCAATTACATTTAAAGTAACTCCTGTAAGGTTGCAAGCCTCATACTAGTTACTTGAGAACAGTTCAGTTGTGATCTGTAAGCTGCTTGAGAAGCAAGCCAAAAGCAAACAAAGGGACATTCATTTCCCCTCTGCTTTGGTAATATGATTGGTGCTGCAACCTTTAATCTATTTAACTGGTACATTAATCAACTAAAGCTTTAATCACAGATTAGAATTTGCCTCTGATTAATTGGTGGGACCGAAACTAAAAAGCAAAGTTCCTTCAGGATATCCAGATATACTGGTTTCCTCCTCCTCCTCCTCTTTGTACTGAAATTGATGAGAATTAAACTTACTGATGGCTCCCTCCCACCTCCATTTTTATCATATTAACAAATATTTGGATTGGATTTGAGTCATGAATTTGCCCTTGAAATAATTTTTTTAAAGCTCAATATTCATAAAAACGTAATAAATCCCCCCACCTGGTATGTCCTGAAGCAAATACGTCACCTTTCTATTAAAGGTGAAGCAAACACTTCACCTTTCTATTAATAATTTTTTTTAAAAAAATCACTAATGGTTGTCATCACATTACAGATATTTGGAAATACAGAATATGTTGTGGAGTACTGTATGGCATCTGTAACAGAATGTAGGTATTAAAGCAACAGTAGAATTATTGACCTTGCTGAACTCAGCAAATAGCAGGAGAATAACCAATAATCATGACATCTCCAAAGTGCAAGGAAAAGGAAATAGTAAAGGCACACAGTTGTAATTATGGGATTAGGAATGGTAAATGGAGTTCACTGTTATGCCCCCTATAAACCTGAACCGGCCCAATAAGTCTGCTCAGCCTTCATGCCTGGCTCATAATAAGCTTTACTCAGCACCAGACCTTCTTGGAGAGTCTCCAACACCAGAGTACCCCTTAACATTAAGATTGTGACAGGAAGGGAATAGCATTATGGAGGTTGTTAATGTGTTCACCCATTGCCAGGAACTCTGGGAAGTCTAGTTTTCTTTTCCTTCTGGCTCAACAGATAGAGCTTTTCATTTACTGTGAGTATAGCAGTTGAGATTTACAAGATATTTTTTTTTAAATCATCATCCTATATTTCCACTCCCCTTTGTCATTATCTTACGCAGTGTGTTGACAACATACGGTGCAACGGTTTAATGACCATAGTATTTGAAGAAAACTCCAAAGTCACTGTGCCACATATGATCAAGTAAGTTTGCTGATTTCGACATGCAGCCATACTGTGGGACTTCTTGCATTATCCCTCAAATGCAAAATTGAAACCTTGCTGTTTTGCTTCACTGCACTATTAATCCCATGTTTCACAGGGAAATGCTGCATTATTTGTGGCCTACTTTGTTTGCTTTTCAAGATTTAGAAAACTATTAGTCTGAATAGTAATATACTAGTTTTTGTTCTTGAAATCATTGTTATAATTTTACATTTAATGTGTGTGCTACTTTATATGTGTTTGTTTTAAGATTTTCTTTAGACTCTGGTGTTACCCTGACAGACACAATCAACCTTAGACTCTGTGGGCAGTATCCAGTGAAGTAGATCCATTAGCTGCTTGCACAGTGGAACTTCCCCTCCCTCCCCTCTTCCTGCATGCCCTTGTGCCCTCCAGAGGATTGAAGGAAACCCTAGAACAGATTGGGGGGGGCACGTAAGAAGAGGAGGAAAAGGGGAACTTCTGTTGCATAACTAAAAATCCTTGCACTAGGGTGATAAGAGTGGTACCTTGGTTCTCAAACTTAATCCGTTCCGGAAGTCTGTTCCAAACCCAAAGTGCTCTAAAACCAAGGCACACTTCCCATAGAAAGTGCAGTGGTACCTTGGCTTAAGAACAGCTTGGTTTATGAACAACTTGGATTAAGAACGCTGCAGACCTGGAAGTAGGTGTTTTGGTTTGTGAACTTTGCCCTGGAATAAGAACATGTTTCACTTCCTGTTGAGTGTGTTCCATTTGTAAATTAAGTCCCCCGCTGCTATGTGAAAGCACGCCTTGGTTTAAGAATGCTTTGGTTTAAGAACAGATGTCTGGAATGGATTAAGTTTGCAAACCAAGGTACCACTGTAATACAAAATGGATTAATCCGTTCCAGACTTTTAAAAACAACCCCTAAAACAGCAATTTAACATGAATTTTACTATCTAACGAGACCATTGATCCATAAAATGAAAGCAATAAACAATGCACTGCAGTCACACAATCAATCAATCAATAGCTGAGCTGAGTTCCACACAGTCACAAAAAACAAAACAAAAAGAGCCACAGAAACAAAATCGCAAAATAAATAGCAACAGGCAGATCTCAGCGTAGCATACAAAACGGAAGTGTGGCCCTCAAATTGGAAGCGTAACACTCAAAATGGAGCACGTTCGGCTTCCGAAAAAAGTTTGCAAACTGGAACACTTACTTCTGGGTTTGCAATGTTTGGGTTCCAAGTTGTTTGAGTACCAAGGCATTTGAGAACCAAGGTACCACTGTGCTACCCTGTGCAGCAGGATCCCTTTCACTGCAAGCCTCTCCACTGCCCCATGTAGAGCTGCAATGCTGCTGAAAGGCCATATATGGTGCAGTGGAGGCTGGAAAGTGACAAGCACATTTATTCCTGATTATAAAACACTTGGAGTACAGTAATACAAATTAAAAATGAAATACAAAAGCCCCAAGGATTTTGGGATACATCCTACTGCATTCTGCTAGAATAATCATTGGGGCTTTCCCACACATCCCACATTTAACTTTTGGTTGCATAGGTATGAGTTGCATAAGGGTATAGAAAAGACTGTCTTTTATATTTTAAAAAATGACAGCATCTTTAAAAAAAAACCAAAAAACCCTGAGTACGACTTACGAAATGATGTTTAATAATAGTCTTTAAATAATTATATTATGTAGATCTGATGCACGTCTTCACAAAGATGACATTGACATCTGCTTCAGCAAAACACTAAACTCCTGCAAAGTGCCCCAGATTCGTTATGCAAGCGTTGAACGCCTTTTGGAGAGATTAACAGACTTGCGATTTCTCAGTATTGATTTCCTTAATACTTTCCTACATACTTATCGCATATTTACTACTGCAGCAGTTGTCTTGGAAAAACTGTCGGATATATACAAAAGGCCTTTCACCTCAATCCCTGTTAGGTGAGTTCCTTTCTACTCATTATGTTCTCGTGAGATCTCCTGTCATCATAAACCCTGCAAAATGCATTGGACAACAATTTTACATATGTTTGTTTTTATGCTTACATACTGCTTACTCTTTCGGCCACGGGAGAAGGAATAAAATCCAGCTGGGCTCAAACATCCATCCTGGACTTTGTAATGCCAATCATTCCATACCTACTGGTATGGTAGATGTTCTATTTTGGAATTTGTCTCTTTTATTTTCCAGTATGCGCATAACCATATTTCAATATTATGCTTGCATCTTACACACATTTATTTCTTTAATTTGTATATTGCTTTTCATCTAAAGATCTCAGGGCAGTTCACAGCATAAAAATAAAAGCACAGAATACATAATAGAAACAAGAACAAAGCAAACCCATAACCCACTCTCCCAACAATTCACACATGCCATTTCAGCTTTATGCGGTCGAACACCAGCCAGTTGAAATCACACAAATTAAATGCTTCCTCCAAATCTCCTTCCTCAAATTCCAACTCTCCACAAAGTTTGATGCAAGGGCTCCTGGGTTTCCACTTGCAAAGGCTCATGGGATTGCTAGACACTGTTTTCGCACCATTTTTGCTGTTCTCTTGCTCTTTTAGGGCCATTTTTGCCCTTTTCGTGCCATTTCCAGGTTTGCGGCGATGTGCACGTGCTCTAAATATGCGTAAATGGGGAGTTGCCTGTACGTGCCAAAATACAAGTGACCTGTGTTCCTTTATGAGTAGCTTTTAGCATGCACTGTTCAAAATCCGTTCTGGCCTTTCCTTTCTTTCGTAGATCTTTGGAATTGTTTTTTGCTACTAACCAAAACAACAGAGGAGAACACCTGGCTGACGCAAAATCACCACACCTTTGCCGCAAATTCTCTTCCCCTCCACCGCTGTCACTCTCTAGGACTTCCTCGCCTGTCAGAACCAGAAAACTGTCACTAAGTTCTCCACTAAATTCTAGGATAGGGGCTTTAGATCTGTCTACGACCTCTCTTGCCAGTAGTCCTACCTCAACATACAGCCCTGCCACTTCACCACCACCCACGCTATCTAAAGTACCACTGGACCTTAGCAAAGGCCCTTCATCTCCAGAACAAAGTCCTGGCTTTGCAGACGAAAACTCAGAGAATCCACGTATTGAGCTTTGCAACAAACTAAGGAGAAGCATCCGAAGAGGTATTATATATACAATATATTGTGTAATTAAAGGTTGCTATTTTGCAAAGAAATGTGGGTGTGCTGGTACAAGGGAGATGGGCATGCTTATGTTTTGAGCATCACCCACTGCTCGAGTGCACAACTTGAAATCCTCTTACCTTTATGTGCACAAATGGGAAAGGAACAGTGGAGGGATAAATTGGCACATGCTGCTGCTTCTTCACTGGGAGCCAGTGTGGTGTAGTGGTTAAGAGTGGTAGTCTCGTAATCTGGTGAACCGGGTTCGCGTCTCCGCTCCTCCACATGCAGCTGCTGAGTGACCTTGGGCTAGTCACACTTGTCTTGAGTCTTTCAGCCCCACTCACCTCACAGAGTGTTTGTTGTGGGGGAGGAAGGGAAAGGAGAATGTTAGCCGCTTTGAGACTCCTTTGGGTAGTCATAAAGCGGGATATCAAATCCAAACTCTTCTTCTTCTCCTTCTCCTTTAAAAGACCAATGCAAGAAATGTAGAAAGAGGATTTTCTAGAGCTGTAAGATGCAAGCCCCCCTTAATCTGTGTAGATCCCTTGACCAATTATTTCAACAAATCATGGCTGGAATTTCTGGTCCTGTTCTAGGGTAGCTATAGGGCTCCTGCACCTTTAAGATCTGCATAGAAGAAAGAATTCCAGGAGGTGTAGCTTACATGACAAGCTGCACCTGCAATTTCATAAAATGAAAATTAGCACTAAACTTGTGCAATATTTAGCTATATTTCTGGAAGTCATTTTTATGTTGTGTGAAAACGCAGATATAATGCGGAAATCAACAGTTTGGGAAAAGTTGGGAAAATGGAATAAAATGCCACATGAATGCAACCTTGGATGACTTTAAAAAGGGATTGGGCAAATACATGGAGCTTTAGTCTTACCCATGTCTATTGATGTTTTTATATAATTTGTTTATCTGTTCTACGAAAGATTCTCCTGGTTAAACATGCAAATTCTAACCTGGAAACTGGTGCTCATGAAAATTTATCTCAGCTTCAGTTTTCTTTTCATTTTTTACTTACATGAGTTGTATTCTTCTCTCCCCCCCTCCCCCCAAGCATAGCCCCTTTTTATTTCTTTGGAGAAACCTGACAAGAATTACTGTAAAACTGAAGAAAGCATAATTCCCTTGAAAAGGATATTTTTTTAAAAAAAGCTCCTTGGTGAGACACTTAATACAGTCTTCATCAAAGGATTTGTCACTATAGAAAGTAATATATTGTTTAACAAGAGATCTTTTAGATTGACATTAGTTATAATGTCAGTGGTAATTAGCTGATCATTAATTAAATAAGCTTAAGAAATGGTGTCAGAAATAATACTTCTAGCAAATAAGAAGTTAAGCAAGTTTAGATCTCATTTGCAGATAAAAAATGCCTAGGAGATTTTCAGCAAAAGCTAGGATCTGTTATTATGTATAACAGTTACAGCTGGCTTTTTCTACTAGTCTCTGTTCATTTGTTAGGTACAGTGGTACCTCGGGTTACAGACGCTTCAGGTTACAGACTCCGCTAACCCAGAAATAGTACCTCGGATTAAGAACTTTGCTTCAGGATGAGAACAGAAATCACGTGGCAGCGGCACAGCGGCAGCAAGAGGCCCCCATTAGCTAAAGTGGTACCTCAGGTTGAGAACAGTTTCAGGTTAAGAACGGACCTCCAGAACGAATTAAGTTCTCAACCCGAGGTACCACTGTATTGAAATGCAGACTGTACCCTATGTAATAAATTCTACTGTGTTAGCTAATAACTATGTATGGCCTGAGATAAAACACGTAGTTCAGTTCTCTGTTGACATAATTATTTAGTTCTACAGCAGAATCCCAGTTATATAATCTCAGCAGTGTCAATGAGCATTATGCAGAATGGAAAAGCAAAATAATACTTAATAATAACAACAACAATAATAATAAATTAAAATGACGTAAATTATTCCTGATGCCTAAGCTAGTGACTTAATTAAATTCAACCCTCACCAACAAAGGAAACTAGGAAAGTGAATACATGTAAAAATAATTAAATACAATCTGCCTGGTTTTTAGGTGAAGAACTTTGATTTTTGTACGGCACAAGCCTTGAGTAAGAAAAGACTTTTGAAGCAGACGTATCAAATCCTATGAGGATTTTGGTAACAAAAGTGAGAAAAACTCAGTAGTAGCATTAGGGTAATACACTGGGAGATTACGGTATGTTTTGCATGTAGTTTGACAAATTATGCTTCAGATTTAAACTCTCTGTTTACCAACAAAGGGAGCAAAGGCAACAGGAAAGCATAACAGTTGAGAATACTTTTCAGTTCAGCATTTGAACAGGTCTGATACAGCAAATACCTGTGAGGACAACATTGAACTGAGGGCAGTCTTGCAGATAAGAACAACCCAAAATGATGTTGACAGTTTTATTTTAAATAATGGCATGTGGTACCTAATAGATGAAATAAATTTGTCACCACTTCTAGAACTGTATGGAATTCTTACCACAACACAGAGAGTGGCCATTCACTCTCTTTCACCTCAGTTGTTCTTTTTGAATCCATAAACTCTGCAGTGCTGTTTGTTTTAGATTCTGGTGAATCTAATAGTTGAATTGTTTGTTTCCTGTCTTTAACCTTGTTTCTGAGATTTAGTGTGTACCACTAGACATTGGTTTGAGTAGATGCAAAATCATTAAACTGCTATCTTCATCATTGATAGCACAGCCTATTTTGTTTTAAATTGGTATCCTCTATTCCCTTATTTATAAGCTTTATAGTTACTTGTGTCATTGGTTTCTGTCAGTGTCAAGTACCCTGATATTTTATCAATACTATTAAATTTATGTGAGCAGGTGTTGCACTTGCATAAACTTATTTCCCGAATTTCCTAAAGGGTTGTCTCAGAACATGTTACATGAGCAGCGTAAACTAAAGTTCACTTACAGAACTATAAAATGATGTTGGCTGGTAGAAGTAAGTGCTAGTATCCCAAACACCAGGAGCTCCCAATGTGCACATAGAACTTCACATGAACACATATTGCTTATCATTTTCGGTGATGAAAAATGTGCATGTAAATCCATCTTTTTTCATGTGCAGAGCTTTCATCAACATTGAACAGAACAAGGAAGACCCCGCTGATCAATGTCCTATGATCAATGTCTTAAGAACAATATTACTTTGTTCCCCATATATTTATATTAAAGGTGATTTTATAGTTGACCATTATACAGGGTCTCATTAATTTAAATACATTAGTGGGTTTTTGTTGTTTTCAAACCAAATGTTTCAATCATTTTTTTTCAAAAAATCATTTAAAATGCATCTGTTTTGTTCAGAATCTGCACACTGAAAAAACAACCTTTTGGTTTTTAGAGTTTAAGAAGGTGTAGCATAATTTCATACCTGATATGTGAAATGTTTTATGATTGAATTATAAAGACCACTCGCTATCTCTATATTAAAGTGCATACTTCTTAAAGCAGCGGTTCTGGAATCTGTATCAGTGGATCGCACTATCCCAGAAAGTGCCTCAACTGTGGATACTCCTGAGCTCTCCCCGTGTAGATCTCCTTCAACTCCACGACATCTACGTTATCGACAGCCAGGGGGTAAGGTTAAAAAAAGCAAAACTTTAATACATTGCATGGTTATATCAAAAGGACCTTGTAGTGATAATAAATTTCTAACCAATTTGTTCACTGTCTATTTCTGTTCTTTCTGCAAAATTTAAGAAAAGAAGAAGATGTGAATAACACCATTCCAAATGATTAGCATTTGAGCAGCAAGAGAACGAAAAGCATATTTGCGTTAGGATGCGATGAAATGTTCTGCAATATTTTGAACTAGATGTACATTTGTTCGAGAAAAATATTGACTTGAGTCTTATAACTGACAGATTTTCCTGAACCAAACTGAGGGCACATATTGTGCACTGTGTATGGTGATGAGATGTATGATACCCATCACTGTTAGTGGGAAATAAGTCTATTTGTGTGGCACTGAAAATGTACAGATGGTATTCTAATTACTCATTACAGGATGTGAATAAATTGCTTAACCAGGAGTGAAATTCTTTTGGTAGAACTCCAGTAAATCGTGTGTCCCACTAACAGATGCTTAAAGGATGCAACATACTGACAACTTGGTCCTGAACCCAACACTTCCATTGCATGAGCCGGAAGTAACTTCTTTCTCCTTGACTCTTTTAATCAAATCCATAGTAGAATTTTTACATCTCTCTCAGGCCATGCGGAAGTTCAGTATGATTAGAAATTGAGCGTGGAATCTGATTGCACCTTCCCCTCATGGAAATGCTTTTTCATATATATTTTTTAAATCATTTTTCATTACCATGTCTCACATTTCATTGATTATAACCATACATTCAATCACTGACTTCCCTTCCCCCCTTCCATGATTCTAATTATTTATCAATTAATACTTCATATTCTAATTTCCCCTTATGTTCATATTTCTCTCTCCCCCTATATATTTAATGCTTTAGACTGCTGAATTTACATTAACCCTGCTGACATTTCAGCCTGATTAACATGATTCTTCAGATATTCTGCAAACATTTCCCACTCCTCCTTAAATATTCCATCTTCCTATTCTCGTATTCTGTTAGTTAAATTCCTCTCATGGAAATGTTTTTGATCCAGCTGGTGCCTCTGGCCAACAGGTGGGGAGAGGGGATTTTTACCAGCCCCCTGTCCCAAATGCTGCCCCCTAAAAATGTCTTCTGGAGGGTTGGCTGCCCTTCTGGAACAGCATGGGAGTCTGCAGGAGGAGGTGGGAGTTGACCAAAATATATATTCCTTCCTCTTCTGTTAGCAGAGGCCTTTGCTGAATCAAAAACAAAATCACAAAATGTTCTGTTTGTTTTTCCAGCAGGAAGGTTTGCTTGTATATATGCATGCTTAAACAATGTTTTTTCCTCTACCATAAAAGCATACATGAGATAGATATCCAAGCTTGTGGTTTTCATTTACAAAACAATGCTCGCTGTTGATGTTGTTTTATTTTTTGTTATTTACTTTGCAGTACAGGCGACTGACAACAGTCATTGTTCCGTTTCCCCTGCTTCTGCTTTTGCTATTGCTACAGCTGCAGCTGGGCATGGGAGCCCACCAGGTGAGCCTTCTGGGGTGGGGGTGGGGTTGAATTACTGAGCACTAGTAAGTGAATGCAGTCAATATTTGCAATCGAATATTTGCAGGCTGCTCTGGGGGGCTTTGGTCCAAAAGGCAGCATAAAACTAAGCTTAACTAACTGAGAAATACTATACCAATTCAAAAGTAAATCCCATTGAATTCAATGGGGCTTGCTGCCACATAACAAGATACAAGATTTCAGGCTAAATGATTGACAAATACTTCTTTGAAATATTCATCACTGTGCTCATGGTGAATGAATGAATGAATGAATCTTTATTTGCATCAGACATCGGCCATAGCAATAAAACAACAATATGATATACAAAGAATAGAAATAAAAAGTCAATTATATAAAATAACATTTTAGGGTTTTGAATCAGTAGTCAAATAGTGGATCTTATTCTAATTGCCCCAGCTAAAAACCTTGCAGCCTTTGCTGTCCCCTGCTCATCTTGATCTGCCAAGAGAAAGGACACTGTGGCAGTGACTGGGCAACCCAGAGTGGACAATAAAAGAGGGGTGATAACCTCATTCCTCAACTCTTTATAAAGAGTGCAAGCCAGAAGGGCATGTGCCATCAATTTGGTATGGCCATCTCCACAGGGACATAAGCGTTTTTTGTGTGGAATCTGTTGGAATCATCCCTCAAGTACAGCCAAGGGCAATACATTCAATCTTGCGAAAGTAAAAGTGCACCTGTATTTTAGATTTGCTAGGTTATGCAGATAGGGTGCCAGAGAGTCAAAATGGGTAGGTGGAAAATTGTCATACCATGGGCAAAATTTCCTTATTGTGGCCAAGTTGTTCTGACGTTCAATATCATTTAGGCGCTGACAAATTAGACTGTTTGCTTTACTAAAACCCAAAGTGAGTAGCTGTTGTAGTGATAAACCACAGGAGTGAAGTTTTTGATAGACAGTTTTAGTCCAGGCGCTCTTGTGACAATCTTGCAGCACTAGGGATATTAGACCGGGGGGATTTAAGTTTAGGCGAAGCCAATCGTTAAGTGTCCTATGCAAAATCCGCAATTCCATCAAGGGAAGATTAGCCTCTAGGCGCAATGATGCGTTTGGGACACAGGGTGGTACAGAGAAAATTTGCCTTAAGAACTTTGATTGGACAGCTTCCATAGATCCAAGGTGAGTGCCTGTCCAAATCTGAGCCCCATACAATAACTGTGCTAGGGGTTTAGCTTGGAACACTTCCAGGACTGATGGTATATGTTTACCACCTTTTGTGTAGAAAAAGTGTGCCAGAATTTTGGCGCTTTGGGACGCTTTTTCTTTGCACATTTCTGGTGTGCTCCCCATGATCCTGTAGACTGGAATATAAGGCCAAGATATTTGAAAACTTTGACCTGTTCAATTCGCTGGTTGTCCATGCGTCATCTATGGGCCCTATAGTTTCTTGAGAAAACCATGACTGTTCTCATGGTGTACATGGGTGCCAGTCCTGTAGCCAGAAATTATGTGGTAAGCAGGCCAGGAATAAGTTGTAGAATAGCCAGTCTGTAAAGGCAGGTCATTCAATACACTTACATCAGTTAAATTATTTCTTAGATAGCAATTCAGTAGAGACCAATTCAGTCTGCATGCTTTTCCTTGTATCGCCACATTGAAAGGACTAGAGACTTGCTTTTACAAATGAAAGCTGAAGGCTTAGAAAGGGTTCCTAGAATATCACTGGCAGGTTCAGCTGGCAGGGTGGTACGGGCAGGGCAGTGAGGCTCACCTCACTTTCCAGCACTGAGTATCTTTGCCAGTTATTGAGAGGGGCAGGGATGAGGAATGAGGAGCTCAGCACAGTGCAGGTGGGTTTCAGTCATCTGCCTTCAACCAAGTAACTGAATGATTTGCTCCAGCAGATTGCTGGTACGTGGTTGATTGTGTATTTCTTTTGCTCTTGTAGTGTTTACATTTTTACTGTTGTTTTTAATTTGTTTTGTTTTGTGTTGTTGCACACTGCTAAAAAAATGTTCTACTGCTACAACACTGGGAGAAGGATGAAACGCTTCAATCTGTAGTTTTGAAAGGTGAAAGCATCCTCTCATGTTTGCCATCTAGCACACCTTATTGGTGCACAATATGTGCTGTTTTTGCTAGAATGAAGCATGGCAGTGTTTTTCCACTGTATTCCCCATTGATTAAAATATTGGGATTGGCATTTCCTCCCTAGTGTATTTCTACCTGAAATTTACATATTTATCATATTTCCTAAAGTTTGTCTTTAGACTGTTTGGGGTGTCAATAATAGGCAGAGAATTGACGTGCTTCAACCTGTCCTTGAATTTTATACTCAGGAACATTATTTCTTTTTTTCTTTCTTTTCAATATGCACGAATTCTGTGATCAATTTGAATAGACTTCTATTTTTGTTCCAGAACCAAGAGCTGTTTTGAATCTAGAGAACTGTTGCTTAGCAATTTTATCAACTGGTTAGGCAAATGCTATCCTTCAAACTGAGGGGAACTGCACCATGCAGCTTTTATTAATCAGCAAGCTTCTATTAAAATAGTAATTATTGGAGGAAGAGAAAGAAGACTGCGCCCTGTTAATAAATACATCTTCAACTGTAAGGGGAGGACCGAGGCCACTGGCCCCTCTATGGCAGGTCATGGGGTCCTTCCTGAATTAAGCTGCATCCTGCAATTTAATTAGTGCAGCCTGTAGTCAGAGAATAGAGCAAAAGAGAGGAAGACAGTGCATGGGCAGTGATGCTTTCGGCATGTGGTAGAAAGCTGCAAGAAACACCTAGTCTTGAGCTGTAAATTGGAACAAACAACAATCCACAGAAAACCTAATTGCCGTTTGCTCCAATTAAGCACTAAAGAGCAGTTTTCCCTGGGAGAAAGTAGTGCAACAAGAGGAAGTGTGGATAAGCCCAAAGTCACTGGTGAGGATCCTGAAAACTTTGCATGTTAGTATATTCACTGTATATTGAGCTGCCAAAATTACTAGGCTAAAATCTTGAAACTTGCTGATAGTCTTTTCTGCTGACATCCTTGGCCTGATTTTTTGTTTTACTGAAAGCACAGTTCATATTTCCTGTGACTTTCATATTTGCATGGGGGGGGGTTCACATCGCTGCCTTAGAGCACAATGAAGTTGGTTGTTTTTAAGGTACATTCTAGAGCTCTTTACACCCTAGCTGCTCACATCAGTATGGGGTCATCAGTGGCAGATTTGTTTCTGTCTTTACTCCTCTGCAATGGTGTTCACACATTACATAGATTTATATTTGCTGGGGCTTTTTCCTCCGTTCCTTTACTTTCTGAATCTGCCTAAAGCTTGGGTACACTAAATTGATGTTTTCAGTGTTCTTTCCACTACGATTCCAAGATCTGTTTCCTATGATAGTCACTATGAATATAGACACCATCAATGTCAATGTATCGTTAAACTGTTTTTTTCATAAAATGCATCCTTTTGCACTTAATTGAGATTGCTGTTGCTAATTAGCATAGCCCTGATATTATCACATTTAATACTTGCTACTCTCTTTATTTATAACATTTTCATGGGTTTTTTTTGCAAAAAGCACAGTAACATCATTCTGTCTTTACAGTAAAATGGTTCTTTAGATGGCTGTTAATCATAGGATTGCAAAATCTCCGCTGCCTAAATGTCGGGAGAGTCCACTTGGGAAACCCACCATTCAACCTGTGCATTATGTAATATGATATATAACAAGCAGAACAGGTGGCCAACTAGTGAAAAGATTTCTGAAAAACAGATAGCTGCAGGTGACTAGCCACAGCAAGTCAAACTGTGCTGCAAAGGAAACCAAAAATTATGCACAGCATTTAGTCTATTTTGCAGAATCATTATTTTCCAATCCCAAATAATTAGTCAGACCATGAACAAGCAAAAAATGCATTTAGTAAATGTTCCAAAGAAAAATAAATAATAATTGCAAATGACACAAAAATGAGCAAGGAAAAAGATAATTGAATCTGCAGAACAGACAATGATAAATACAAAAACAATGGGGCTATTAAGTTTGATAAACCTTACTGCCGAATAATGAGGGTAACTAAGTATAAGTGGGGCTGACAATGTTTAGCTAAGGACAATTAACAAATATATTGAATTAATTAGTGAGAGGCAGCCTCATACTTCAAAGAGGAAGATAAATATGCAGAAGCTTCCAAGACCATTTGTTCCGTGCAGTCAAACACTGTGCATAGAAAGAAAAGGGAAGGTTGCGACAAAACAGGGAGCTATTCATGGTCAGTCAAATGACGCTGCGTGTCATGTAGAGGAGCCAATATTTGTTCAAATTTGTGCATCTAATAAAGTGCATGTGCTGATGCAATAAAGACTTGACTCAGGTTATATTAGGTTAGCCAACAAAGGCAGTTAGAGAAGGGACTTCCGAGGGGCGGCGCGAACGGCAATGGCGGTCCTCTTCTGAACGGGAGAGGAGGCTCCGCAGACAACGGGTCGTCCGCTACGGCGAAGCGGAGACCCACTCCGGAAAACCCCAGGCAGTAAGAGCTTGGGGTCTTGAGGCTCGGTGGGCGCCTTAGTGACCCTCCAAACGTGAAAGGAACCTCGTAAGGGGCTCCGGAGCGTGGAGGGGGGTTGCGGCGCTGAGAGCTGCTTCACAGTCTGCGGAGTGAAGCCGCGCTGCTGCTGCCGGTGAGCGCTGATCCTTTTTCCTGCTAAAATACGGATTCGGACGAAAAGCAACTTACTCGTGAGTAAAGACTGAATCACTTGAAATTAGAGACTTTAAATGAAAAACCTTAAATTGGCTTGAACTTGGCTGAAAGCGGAGAGACGTGGAAACAGGAAGTCCGTCTTCCGCAGCCATTGAACTTGAAAAAAGCAACTAAGTTGGAGGAGTGGAGGCTGAAAGGAAGAGATTTTAAACTTTACAGATCTAAGCATCTACTGAACTTGCAATTTAAAGTAAAGACTTTAAGCTAAAGACTTGGAATTTTAACTTGCACTTGACTTTCCCCTTTTATTGGATTACAAATTAGAAGGTGAAACCCAGAGTCAGGAGCTGCCTGAGCATTGAGAAATTGAGCTGTCAGTATTGCAGATTTGGATACTGTATATTGGAACTTGCAACAATCTGAGGGTATTGAGACTTTTTAAATTTGAAACATTCTTTCTGGAGATAAATAAGCACTGTCTGTAACAAAGTGACTACTTATAAACTCTGCTAAATATTTATATTGGAAGGTTCTTGGACATTAAATTAGACTCTGAAAGACATTTTAAGCTCCTCTAGAGGATTGGATTAAAACAGTGACTTTACATTTACATTTACTTTCGATTCCCTTGTTGTTTGCTTGCTCTGGGCCTTTCTATTCCCATGGGAAAAACTCAGTGTGACCTTGACTGATAGACAACGTTGGAATGAGTGGCACAAGGAAAAGAGGGAGAGTTAGACAAACAACTTTAACAACTCTAACCTCAGCCTCGCAGACACGTAGATCATCTGTACCTACTTTGCCCTCAGAAGTAGAACTTGAAGAAGTTGCCTTGCCACAGGCAAAAGAGGGAGAGGGTGAAGCAGAGCAGTTACAATTGGAAGATATGGCCTCAGGAGTATCTGTTTCTGTTCTAGACAAAATCTTTGAAAAATTGGAAGCTTTGGACAAGAAAGTAGATGCGCAATCAGCAAAGATTGACAAAAATACAGAATGTCTAAATAAATTAACCATACAAGTTGTACAGAATACACAAGCAATTGGACAGTTAACGGAGGCCTCAGCAGAAAATCGGAAATTGGCTGAGGATACTAGACAAAAATTGGAAAATTTAGAGCAAGAGGTAAGACCACTCACCAAACAAGTTGGGGAACACCAGACTTATCTTTCCATGATAGAACTGCGAAATCGTGAGAATAATTTGAGGATTAGATCATTACAAGAGGCAGAAGAAGGAAATTTAACTGAGTTTTTGACCAAAGAATTTTCCAAGTTCTGGAATTTGGAAGAAAAGGATTTTAAAATTGTGTCGGCTTTCAGACTTGGAAGATTCACAAAGAAGGAGAGGCCCAGAGACTGTTTGATTACACTGAGATCAAAGGAGGAAAGGGATAAGATTTTGGGCCTACATTACGGAAAGTCACTGGAGGTTTTGGACAGAAGAATTGAAATTTATAAAGATATTCCAAGACAACTGCTGGATCTTAGAGCCGCCTATTCTGAACTTGCTAAACTACTAAGGAGCAACGCAATTCCATTCAGGTGGGAATTTCCCAAGGAATATCTTTTACCTTTAAAGGGAGAAAGGTCAAAGTTAGAACATTGGAAGAGAGAGACAAATTTTTGGCTACATACGGAGAGGACCTTCAAAAAGGAATTGAATTACCTTCTGGGCCTGGGGCAAAGCCAGCATTAACACCAGCACCTGGGGAACCTGAAGATTCAGAGAAGACACCACCCCTGGAGAAATAACCAGATAGATCCAGGATGTCTCTGCAATTGCTGAGTTGGAACATTAATGGTTGTAACATTCCGGAAAAAAGGAAGAAAATATTTCATATATTAAAAAAAGAACAATTGGACATTATCTGTTTACAAGAAACACATGTGACGAGGCTCCACAGAAAAGTGTTAATAAATAAAAGATTGGGCCAGGAATTTGTTTCGTCGGACAAAGTTAAGAAGAGAGGCGTGGTGATATATGCAAAAGAGAGCCTGTCACCTAAATTCTTATTTAAAGATGAACATGGAAGAATTTTGGCCATTGAGATACAATATCAAGGAGAGAAACTGTTGATATTAGGAATCTATGCACCTAATGAAGGGAAATCGGAATTTTACAAGAAGCTGCAGGGGACAATGCTGGAATATCTGGATTACAACAACATCATAATGATGGGAGACATGAACGGGGTCGTGTCAACTAACATGGACAAGTCACAAAGTCAAAATGTTACAAAAGACGGCAGACTACCTAAAACTTTTTTTGAAATGACTGACAATATGGATTTGATTGACATTTGGAGAAATTAAGAGAGACTTAGACAGTTGGTCAAAATTGAAACTTTCTTTGTTAGGCCGAATTGCTGCTATTAAGATGAATGTATTGCCAAGGATGTTGTTTTTATTTCAAACACTTCAGGTTTTGGACAAAATGGAGTGCTTTCAGAAGTGGCAGAGAGATATTTCGAAGTTTGTCTGGCAGGGCAAAAAGCCCAGAATTAAGTTTAAGATATTAACTGATGCAAAACAAAGAGGGGGCTTTGCCCTGCCGGACTTAAAGTTGTATTATGAAGCCGCAGCGTTCTGCTGGCTAAAAGACTGGCTACTTCTTGAAGACACTGATGTGTTGGATTTGGAAGGGTTTAATAATGTTTTTGGATGGCATGCATATTTATGGTATGACAAAGTTAAAGCAAATAAGGCCTTTAAGAACCATATTGTCAGAAAATCATTGTTTAATGTCTGGACAAAATATAAAGACTTGCTGGAAAATAAAACACCAAGGTGGCTTTCACCTTTGGAAGCTAAGGCCCGAAAAGACCCAATATGGAGGCTAAATGGCCAAAATATTGGGAAATACTAGAAAAAGATGGAGACAATTGGAAATTGCAGAGTTTGGAGAAAATGAAAGACAAAGTGCGAGATTGGTTACATTACGCTCAGATTAAAGAAGTTTTTAAAAATGATAAGAAACTAGGGTTCCAGGTGGAGAAATCGAAATTAGAAACAGAATTGTTAGAACCAAAGACTAAGGTACTTTCAAGGATGTATAACTTGCTGTTGGAATGGAATACACAAGATGAAATGGTTAAATCGGCTATGATAAGGTGGGCACAGGACATTGGGTATAATATTATGTTTGAGGACTGGGAAAAGTTGTGGAGTAATGGATTGAAATTTACTGCATGTAACGCTCTGAAAGAAAATGTAATGAAAATGATTTATAGATGGTATATGACCCCAGTTAAACTTGCAAAAATTTACCACCTGTCTGATAATAAGTGTTGGAAATGTAAAGAGTGTGAGGGAACGTTCTTCCACCTCTGGTGGACCTGCCCTAAAGTGAAGGCGTTCTGGGAAATGATTTATAATGAATTGAAAAAGGTATTTAAATATACCTTTACCAAGAAACCAGAGGCTTTCCTTCTGGGTATTGTCAGCCAAGGGGTGGCAAAGAAGGACCAGACATTTTTATGTATGCAACAACAGCAGCAAGGATACTTCTTGCAAAACATTGGAAAACTCAAGATTTACCCACACTGGAAGAATGGCAGATGCAACTGATAGACTACATGGAACTGGCTGAAATGACCGGCAGAATCCGTGACCTGGGAGAAGAGAGAATCGAGGAGGATTGGAAGAAATTTAAGAACTATTTACAAAAATATTGTGATTTGAGTGAATGCTAAATAAGATGCTAGACTAAATAACTGAGCACCACTTAACTTAGAAGTTTTTTAAGAAAATAAGTAAGACTGTGAAAGTTTAACTCTCTATGAGAACTATAAGATTATGAAACATTGAAGAGATATAAGAATTTAAATAAGATGATAAATTGCTGACAAAATGTTATAACGATGTAAGTGGGAGGGGGTTTTGTTTGGAAGTCCAAATAAAATGTGAAACTATGTTAAGACAAATGTTATATTGTTTATTATGTTTATTCTTATTGTAAAACCCAATAAATTGCTTTAAAAAAAAAAAAACAAAGGCAGTTAGAGAAGGTCTGCCAAAGACAAATATCTCTGGTATAGGTATTTGTCGTCAAACAGTTATGAGATGGTCAGCTTCTTACTTTTGGACATACCTTATGTATTATGGGAATTGTTCGATTTCAGCCAAAAAATGTAAAATAATCGGATAAATTCCAGAACAAACTGCAGTGCATAGTCGTCTCCTTAATAGGCCAGTAAGTGCTGATATTACACATTTATTTTAAGGGTTAAGTCACAGTAGAATACTGAATCATACCAAAGGTCCACTATCATCCTAGTTCCCGCAGCAACCAATCAGATATCTCTAGGAGATCTTCACTAGGGATTGATAGCCCTTCACTGCAGTTGTACCTCCCAAGTATTTACTGGCAAATCACCTCTGAACACGGGCGTTTTGTTTAGCTATCATGGTTAATATCTGTGGATACACACTGATTCTTCGTTCAATTCTCTAATCCTGTTTTAAAACCATCTAAGATCCCTGCGACAGGGTGAGCTCCCTTTGTTTGGTCCCTGCTCCTGCCAACCTAGCAGTTCGAAAGCACGTCAAAGTGCAAGATAAATAGGTACCGCTCCGGCGGGAAGGTAAACAGCGTTTCCGTGCACTGCTCTAGTTCACCAGAAGCAGCGTAGTCATGCTGGCCACATGACCCGGAAGCTGCGGACAAAACGCCGGCTCCCTCGGCCAGTAAAGCAAGATGAGCACTGCAACCCCAGAGTTGTCCGCGACTGGACCTAATGGTCAGGGGTCCCTTTAAGATCTTTAAGACCTTTAAGATCATGTCCATTGCCATACCTTGTGGCAGTGAATTCCATGCATTAATTAAAATAGCACAAGTATTGCTGCTCATATACCTTGTAAACTCAGCGAAAAACAGTACCTTCCATTTGCAATCCCCCCCCCCCCCGAAATTTATATTTTAGATTTGAAGAAGTGTCTATGATACTCAGGACTACATAAGAAAGGACAGAACAGGTTCAGGCATTCATTTTATGTATTTATAAATGTATGAATCTTCTCCCTATTAGGACTTTTTGAGATCGATCGATCAATAGATAGATACACACACACACACACAGAGAGAGAGAGAGAGAGAGAGAGAGAGAGAGAGAGAGATACATACATATCTCATATAATATAAATATGTAAGCAAAATCTTCAAAATCCTTTAAATGTGTTATTTTCAAAAGATATGCTCTGAGCCAATGGGCTATGTGTTGGAGGGGGGAATTATTCCCATAGATTTTCCTTTTCATCTAGCAGCATTTATTTCATCTTGAACTTTCCTTTTAAATTGTGTAGGGTTTAATAACTCTGAACGAACATGCGATAAGGAGTTCATAATACGTCGAGCAGCCACTAATCGTGTCCTGAATGTCCTTCGCCACTGGGTCTCAAAGCATTCTCAGGTACTTTTTGTTATAGTTTTCCAGCAAAATCTCCATTGTATCAAAGAGTTTGTGTGTACACACAAAAACACATCATTAGTGTGGAATTACCAATTTGGGCTCTGTGTTAAGCATCACAATTGTCATATTAAAAATTTAGGTTTGCAGTGCAGCCTCATTAGAATAGTTCTTCTGTATATTGCTGTGGTGTAATTACAAGGGGACAAGGTTTGCTTTTCTCATTACAGTCGTGTTTTACTCAAACGAATGCATTGTTGGGAATAAGCTAATAAAGGTTGGTTTGTTGATCAGTTCTGAGATAGGCACAGAGTTGCCAAAAATCTAGCGCTGGGGACTCAGCTACATTAGGTTTGTTTAAGTTATAAACGCGTTATAACACTGTGACACCAGATGGTGCTGTAGAGCTGAATTTGGAACTGAATGAAATTTTCCATTGTGAGCTTTACAACGGTTTTTTCCGGATCATTTTCAGAGTGGTTTTTTTTAAATAGGTGTTTAGATGCAGCCTGGATCAGCAAAATATGCCTCCGTTATGATTAGCTATTGAAATATAATCATGAGTCATAGCTCTGTGTTGTTCTCCTATTACTTGGGCTTGCCCTCTTTCAGAGAACAGCATAGTTACTCATGGGTGATTTAAGCATTTCTTTACTGCATGTGGAAAGCAATGCTTCCTTGTTGCATTACATAACAGAGAGTAACATTTTAATTAGGCTAACTGTAGAAATCATGGAACACCTCCATATCAGTGCCTCTTTCTGGCTGTGGCCGGAACTGGTATAAAATTGCTCTACCTCATTAAGTGCAGTGGATCCCATGCAAACCCATCATGCTCTGTAAAATGTCACATTGAAGGTTGCTTGTTTGTTTGTTTGGTGGCTTCTATGCTAACTAAAGAAGAGTCCTGCTGGATGAAACCAAAGCATCCTGTTTCCTGTTTAGTACAACATACGATGGCTAAACAAATGCCCATGGGAAGCTCACAGGCAGGGTATGAGCTCACTCCTGCTGTTGTTCCCCAGCAGCTGGTATTCAGAGGCAGGCTACCTCCGAACCTGGAGGTAGTATATAGCCATCATGACTGATAGTCTTATTCTCCATGTTGGATGCGTAACATTTGATTTAACACCAGGACCCTCTGTGCATCAAGCTTATCACTGCAAATACCGTATTTTCCTGTGTATAACCCCCCCCCCCATGTATAAGATGCCCCCTATTTTGGGGGACTCCAAATTGAGAAAATGGGGGGAGATTGTATCCATGTATAAGACGACTCACAATTTTGAACATAATTTTTAAACCTAGTCTTATACACGGAAAAGTACGGTAAATACATTACTTCAAATTAAGTCTCCAGTGCTAGGCTCTAGAGGAATCTTGACTCTACAATATAAGCTAAGTCCTTTAAGCGAAGTTCCCATTGTTCAGGGATCGGGAACTTTCCACGATACCATTTAATTCATAGAAGACATTTGTGGAGGCATACTTGTGGCAGAGTTTCATTATATGGGAAGCTGTTCAGGATCTGTTTAGCACCTACTATTCTGAAGCTGTGTATGAAGAAATAAAATAAATACAGTATAATGAACCCAATGCCATCGCATCTACAAATGAAGCGACTGTGTTCATAAAATATGTTGCTGTCTTCATAAAATATGTTGCTGGTTTTTTAATAATGTATTCTGTTCATACCTTCTCTGTATGCTGAGTATGTTATGGATCATGTCAGAAAAAGTGAGGTTGTTAAAAATGCAAAACATTTCCAAGCAAGTGTACAAAGTATTACAACTTACAGGATCTAGCCACTTCAACATTGGCATGAGCAAGAGACCCAAAGTGGACCAGATGTATTAGAGAATTACAACATGGTTATTTAGTGACTTCCACATTAGCCTCATTTTTCTCCAAGCTGTACATAAGTTTATATGGTCTTGGGTTGGATCCTTAGTCTAAGACTGGGGATGGGTGGGTGTGCCACCCCCAAAAGTGAGATAAAACTCAGAGTACTATGGTAAAGAGGTTCTAGGGTAGGGTTCTGTCTGAAAGCCCAGACGGGGGTTGACAGACCATAGAACATCCCTGAATGGCATCCTGGTGGGATTTCCTCATTAGATTTGCGTCACTGGGTGGTACCCATTCACCAGGATCAACCCTGATGGAGATAACAGCCACCAGTCAGGTTGACTGGTTCAGGATACATACCCAATGCGTATGCCAAATTCTGACTTTGATAGAATCATAGAGTTGGAAATGATCATCTTGTCCAACCTGAATATGCAGTTGTCCCATACAGGGATTGAATCTGCAACCTTGGCATTATCAGTACCACACTTTAACCAACTGAACTATCCTTAGAATCGTCTATAATCGATGAAATTGTGGCCATTTTGATCCCCAGCTGGTGTCATGTTTTTCTTACTGCATACGCACTGTTAATCCCCTCCCTCGGTAACCACTGACTTGCTACGCTGTGGCCTGCGAACATGACACCCACACAATATGAATTAGACAGTTATAAGGCGTTTTTGAGGCCACATATGATCTCCATGCTTTTAGTTCCAATTATAGCAATCACCCAAAACTTTCTAATTGGTTGGTCTTGGTACAATTAAATGATGAATTTGGCACCTAAATGGTCATGTACAAGACAAAGTCTTCTTTTTGCATTGCTCCAGCAAAAAAAAGTTGCAGAAGTTTAAAGCTTTGATCTTCTGCAGCACTTGAGGGAACATGAGTCGCCCTCACTGTACTAAGCATACAATCAGTCAAACTAATTAGAAGTGCACTGCAGTTGCGTCTGCTTCAGTATGACGGATTCTTCATTAAGCAACTGGGGGTTTTTTGGTGATGACGGTAAACATTCTAACATGCTGGAATTAGTGTCTTTTTTTTTGGTAAGCAATAGCAAAAACAGTTAGCTGAGAATCCCAGTTGAATAGATTGCTTGTTCAGAGTTGCTGTACACGTTACCAGTTTATGAAATGCCCAAACAGTAAAAGCTCTTTGAGAATTACGAAGTCATTTCACTAGTACAAGTTGTACATTTAAACTAATTATATCCAATCAGGTTTGACAGACAAAAGCTGCTGTTACAGGAACAAAACTGGCAGGCTCCACAAATGCTGATACCTACTTTTTGCTCAGAAATAAGTGGAATGGAGAGGAGACTTTTGCAGCGCCAGCCAAGGACAGCTCTGTTCCCATGTATTTCAGTTCAGGCCACATTGAACGGAATTAATTGATGCAAGTTGATTAAGATTCAGTTAGCATTTATTTCTAAGGTAGAATAATAGATTCCACAATTGAAACTGTACTTTTAGAATCATGTGATAAAAGAACCTGAAAGGTACCTTAAATTAGAAAACGTATCTCTACTACAATGCCCCCACCCTCCTCGTGTGTGTGTGTGTGTGTGTGTGTGTGTGTGTGTGTGTGATTTTAAAAAAAAATTAGTTTTCAACAATATATAAACAAAACAAGAAGTTTTCCCCAATCCCACCTTCCATCTGCCATAACAGAAGATTAATGTATAAGATTTTTCCATAAGTCCATGGATGAAGTCAGTGGAGGCCGGTCATCAGGGTGTTCACTTGAATATTTTATAAGGGGTACCAAACTTCAATAAAACCATCCACCTCAGATATATTGTTCAAGGCATGTTAGTTTTTGTTAGTTTCTCAGATAAGGCAATCGTCCATATGTTTTGTCTCCATTGCGCAATGTATAGATGTTCAAGTCCTTTCCAATTCTGTGCTATAAGTAGTTGTGTTGCTATCGGGGGAAAAATAATAAGTATATTAAAGCAAGTTGGTCTTTCTTAAAAATTGTTACTAAACCCAGGCTTGGATTACACTATACATTCTGTTTTGTAATACTACTTCAGCGAATAGTTTTACTGAATAGTTCCCAGAATAGTTGTACTGGTTCACATGTCCACCACATACGGATTATTGTACCAGTTGCCCTATATCCTCTCCAGTATGCTAGTGAAGATGTTATGCAAACGTAACTATGTCTTAAGGGTGTTAGATGCCATCTATAAATTAGCTTAAATTAGTTTTCTGTTATGCAGGTTGATACTGATTTTAAAGGAATTTTTGTCTGTTTTCCAAAGTAGCAGAACGTTGCCCCAATGGCAATATCATGGGATATTTTATACAATATTGACAGAATTATATACTGGTAGAATGGTCAGTCGTATTTAGAATTAATTTTTCAAAAGGAGTTAGTGACTTGGGTGCTTTGAATTTAACTGCTGGGTTTGAAAAAAAGTATAATTTAATTCACATTGCACCCTCCATGTTTTCCATGATTTGCTCTGCTGTGAGAGTTATCGTTTTCATAGAGATTAACCAATCTGTATAAGCCTTTGGCTTTCCATTTCACATCATATTTGCTGCCTTGGCGCAGCCATGGCCTGATACCAGGGGCCATAATCACCAGGTATATATTATCAATAAGTTTATATAACTGTTGTTATTTCGAATGTTTAATTCTTCATTGATTTTTCCTTCCATTCTCTAAAAAGCTGGGGCATGTGTGTGTGTGTTACAGTTATCTCAACATACAGTAGGTTTCCATGGTGATACATCGGTTGTCTCATACTGTTCAAAGTGGCCCCTGGTGTGGGCTAATAAATATGGGTGTTTAGCATCCAGAGAGCACAGTGCTCCTACAATTCTCCTGGCAGAGCTTCTCAAAGGTGTTTTGCATTTCTCGCCTCTTCAAGGCACAGTATTATATAACAAGCTGTAATGTACACACTTTTTCTATATGTATGAAGCAGAGTTGTTAGTTATGCCTCAAAGCAGTATTTCTTCTTATCCTCCTCCTTTCTTTCACATTAAAGGACCCTATCACAAGCCAGCCTGAAAACAGTTATGTGGCAAATGAAATGCTTAAGAGGTCTAAAGCAATATGGAGTGTTAATTGGCCCTATGTACATCATATACGGGGACGCGGGTGGCGCTGTGGGTTAAACCACAGAGCCTAGGACTTGCCGATCAGAAGGTCAGCGGTTCGAATCCCCGCGACAGGGTGAGCTCCCATTGCTCGGTCCCTGCTCCTGCCAACCTAGCAGTTTGAAAGCACGTCAAAGTGCAAGTAGATAAATAGGTACCGCTCCAGTGGGAAGGTAAACGCTGTTTCCGTGCGCTGCTCTGGTTCGCCAGAAGCGGCTTAGTCATGCTGGCCACATGACCCGGAAGCTGTACCTATAAAGCGGCCAATAAAGCGAGATGAGCACCGCAACTCCAGAGTTGGTCACGACTGGACCTAATGGTCAGGGGTTCCTTTACCTTTTTACATCATATACGTATGCATATTGTGACAGGCTTGCTGTGTGAGTTCATGGCTGCATTAAGACAGCACTTTATTCTGTTTTCCAGACCTTTTCTTACCTGTGAATGTTTGCATTTTATCTGACCTTTCACACACTTAAAAGCCACTTCTAGAAATCTAGTGGAAGTTTAGTGCTAATTCCACTCTACATGATGAAATTTGGGTTAGCCTCCCAGCATACAGTTCTTTCCCACCATTTTAAAAGTTAGCATGATATGGCAGTAGGTGGCTCAAAAAGCCACAATTCCATAATGCAACAGGTACTGCTGTATAAAAGGACTGTGCAAAATCAGGACAGAACCGCTAGCATTATATTCAGGAAAACGTAATGCAGTAAACCCTTGCGTGTCGGAATGCAGACTGTTCTAAACCTTTTTTATAGTCTTCATTCTTGTTTTCTAGGTAAATTGGATTTCACTCATGGCCAAAGTACGCATGATGCTCAGTCATGTGGAGTTTGTCCTGGTCTTCCCTTCCACCTCCACCCCCCAAAGTCACTACAAAGGTTGCCAAGTAAAGCAGAAGACTAACCCAGAGTGCAAGCATGGGAGTTTCTTAACCCTTCCCCATCATGCTACCTTACTCTTAAAATCCCATGCCACTGCTTTTTTTCTTTTTACCTGACAAGTAGAACGATACACGTATTGGAAAAGGCTGGTCTCAAGCTCCCTGGCTTTGTTGTTTTATTTATTTATTTATTTATTTATATAAAGCATGTATTATTCTCTCCCCCCCCCCCCCGCTTATCTTCGAGCCCTAAAAGGCCTCGGTCCTGTATACCTGAAGAAGCGTCTCCACCCTCACCGTTCAGCCCAGACACTGAGGTCCAGTGCCAAGGGCCTTCTGGCGGTTCCGTCACTGCGAGAAGTGAGGTTACAGGGAACCAGGCAGAGGGCCTTCTCGGTTGTGGCTCCTGCCCTGTGGAACGCCCTCCCATCAGATGTCAAGGAAATAAGCAACTATCCTACTTTTAAAAGACATCTGAAGGCAGCCCTGTTTAGGGAAGTTTTTAATGTTTAATGCTGCATTGTGTTTTTAATATTCAATTGGGAGCTGCCCAGAGTGGCTGGGGAAACCCAGCCAGATGGGCAGGGTATAAATAATAAATTATTATTATTATTCGCAACAACCCAGTGAGGTAGATTAAGCTAAGAGATGTTAACAGGCCCAAAAGTTGCCCGTGGCTTTGAGAGGTGAGTGGAGATGTGAATCTTGATGGTCTTGGTGCAAGTCCAGCAATTCAATCCACTCCACTCCACTGGCTGTCCCAGTGAGTAGTGAAAACTACAAAACATAAGGAGGAATTAGGCAAGGCGTAGTTTGGGCTAGGGGGAGATATTTGATTCTGCAGAATATGGCTTTGTAAGCAGGTGTCCTGCTGCAAGCAGGCTTCAGGATTGAGGAGATTCAGAAGGGACTGCATCCAGCATTCATGCAAGAGCTGCTGCATCAGGATGTTACAGGATGTTGATGTTGTTCATTAAAATAATAGTAACTGATGTATCTTTGTATCTAAAAATGATCTAGTATAGTGCAGACTTAAACGTGGTCGCTCAGAAGTAAACACTATTGAATTTAATGGGACTTACTCCCAGGTGAGCATAGAATTTCATACTAAGCTACTAATGAAAAGTTCATGGTTTGAAACTTGCCTAGGCAAGCCACAGTTTTTCTGTCTGAAAAATAGGGGATAATGCAACGGTCTTACCATACCAAGATTGTTGAAAGGAACGGATAATGCCCGTGAAACACTATACAAACATTAAATATTACATACTTTTCCTATGCTGTTTTATAATTCATATATTCAAATATGTGTGTATCTCTCATGGCTGTTTTACCACTAATAATGGAAAACGAGTAAGGAGTATTCCTTTGGTTTCAAACGTTAGGTTTTAAAAAAATATATATATTAAAAGATTGTGTATGTTATAAAAGGAGGTCAGAGACTTGAAAAGAGAAATGAAAAGAAATTATTGTCAATAAAAGTGCAGAAGAAGGCTGCTATAGAGAAACTGCACACAAACAATAACCTGCTGCAAAGGAAGTGAAAAGCTTTTTAGCTGCATAGCAACAACTTAACATTCACTCTGCATGCCAGATATTTCTCTGGTTTGGTTACAGATTAAGCAGATTCTGCCTGGAAATAAAACACCTGTGTTGCTATGTGAGGAACATAATGTTTGACAAAGCATCACCCGGCAAATATATTATTTATTGTTATTTATTTATGATTTAACCATGAGCAGTGTATCTGAAAAGACAAATGAGGAGTGAACTTTACATATTTCTTGAGTGTTCTAGAGTGTTTCAGTGATGATGATGATGATGATGATGATGGAGAAGGAGTGCTGGAATACTTCTCATCATTCTCTCAGTAATGGAAAAGCAGTGGCCGTAGATAGACAAAGTTTCAGCTAATTTGTATACAGCAAGACTTTTACCAACAGGCTTTGCTCATAGGATAACCAACATTTGTTTGGTAAGTCCTTGCAGAAGTCACTAGACACCGAAGCTAAAATATTTAGAAATATGTATAGGGCAATAGCATATATCTTTCCTAATCACACATTCAAAATAAAATGTACAAGAATTTCAAGAACTTTGCTAGTGACTATTGTTTGGGTTTCTATGGAAACAGATGCTGAATTGCTACCCACATGGTAGCAAACAATCACTATAAAAGGAACCGTTACAAATATACTGGATTGATGAAGCTTTTAGTTTAAATCCTTTATCCAAACATCTGCACTAAGCTGAAATGCAAATGACTGGAGTTAGTGCTTCTCAATGACTCCAAACATGAAGATATTTCAGTACATGCATTTTCTTGAATCCATCCCTCACCCTCCCAGTGTCTAATCTTTGGAAATATTCCTCATTGTTCTGGAGAGGGATGCACAAGTATTAACTAAGAGAAAAAGTCAGATTTATTCTCAGAATTGATGTATGTTATCCGTCTAGGTTTCAGAAGGAGATACTATATGTTGCTTTTAAGCATAGGACATTGCTTGGGGAATCCATAGTACAAAATACTGCAGCTTGCAGTTGGCCTAGCCAAATATCACCTATTTTGAAAAGCTTCACTACCTAAAAATTAATTTCTGAGCTGAGAAAAGTGCTGATTTTTACCTTGGAAGTCCTAAAATTAATTATTTTTCTGTTGAGATTTGTGTACCACCCTTCATGAAAAATATTAACTGGTCAGTTTACAAAAACAAAGTACTATAGAAACATAATACGGGGTATGTTTTAATGTTTGTTTAACGTTACATCATTAACTTCATAAAATGACTTAAACCATCAGCTTCTAGATATATTGTATATGTTACTTTAAATTAACGATCTTGGATAATAGGTAGGTAGTTATATCTGAGTGTTCAAAGTAATGTCAGTTAAGGTATTGCTGTTTTGTAATTCAAAACTCTTCAAACGGATACATTTTAATAACTTCTTGGTTTTGTTCATTTCAGAATCTTTGGTACAAGGTTCAAATACTTATTCAAAACAACAGAACTGTGAAAAACAAATGCTGAACAAAAACCCATATGTAGTATGATTACTTCATTCAGAAAAAAAATTCTTTTGCAGGATTTTGAGCTAAACAATGAACTGAAGATGAATGTTCTAAATCTGCTAGAAGAAGTTTTGAGAGATCCTGACCTTTTGCCACAAGAAAGAAAAGCTACAGCAAACATCTTGAGGTAAAGCAGTTGAATTAGTTTAATCATAAAGTATTGTTAGGCATTTGTGGGTGCCAGAGTCCTCTAACTACCTGGGTCTATGTAGATGTTAGAGTTTAACCAAGGCTTGGGGGTTAAACTGGATGCCAGAGTTCTAATCACTGGACCCAGTTTCCTGTGTTCAGGAGACTGGGGTGGCATTCAACAATATTGTAAGAAATGAAGAAATTGTACTCTGCATTATCCACACAGCGCTTATTTTCAAGGAATCACAAAAAGAATCACAATGCAATCACCTTTGCAATAAAAATGTGCTCATTTCTTTCAAGAGTTAAAAATTAAATCTGTTTTTCTCCTAAGGCTAGGAGATTTTGACAAAATACAGGCTTATATCCACTGATTCTCTGTGATAAAAGTTTTCCAGAGTTTGTTTCAGAAGTACAAAATATCCTTGTTACTGAAATGTCACTAGCCACAGAGATAAACATTTTTATATGAAATATTCTACCACCTATTTTAGAGCACTCTCTCAGGAGGATCAAGATGACACCCATTTAAAAATTGAGGATATAATGCAGATGGTGAGTTAATCTACATAAGTTTATGTCAGATTTATTCATATTTATGTAAATTGGGGTAAATGAAATCACTAGAAATGGTGTTTGGCTGCTTGCTTGTTGCAGCTTTTATAGCAAATTAATTACCATCCCTTTTGTATTTGCACTTGACCACTCCCTGTTCAAATTGTTCAACAACATTTGTTTGAAACAGGTGAAAGGATAGCTGTTAGCTGTTCACAGGCTTAGTTATGCAAAACACAGGCCTTCCATTTGAATATATACAGTGGAGGTCTTTTAGAATGGGACACATCTGTGAATGGGCCTCCTAGCTCATTATGCAAATTATTGGAAATTACAGTGTCTATTTGCAAGTTAAAACACAAACAAGAGTGTATTAGAAAAAAAGACTTACGTGCTGCCACAAACCGCAGAAAGATTATTTACATGAGGGAAGCATGAAATGAATTTGAATTTGAACCACAGAATAGCTTGGGAAAACAGATAGCTTTGCAGTTATAGTACTTGCTAATCAAGGTGCAAATTGTTGCAATAGTGACAGCAAACTTAATTCAGTGTTCAAAGCTTACTGGTTTTGCCCTAGGTGTGTGGATACTAAATTTATCCACCCACATTATGCACCCATGCTTTTAAGTGGGCTTTGCTCTACTCGTTACTTTGCAAGGCCTGCACAATTATAAGTCCCCTACACCTTACTCTTTGTGCATCTGAATATTTTAGTCTTTGTTAATGCACCAATGCTATGAAGGTACAATAAAGAATCCAAATGACACAGCCCCATCACAAATGGCTTGTTCATATGGTTTACATTTTGAAGAAGAAAACATATTAATGGATAACCAATGTAGGGAATGAGAAAGAGAAATGTTAAGGGTTCTCCAAGAAGAGTTTCATTTACAAGAACCATGGGCCTTCTTTGCCCAGATGGATGGCATAGAGAGAGACCTTGCTCCTCCTCCTCAATCACTATGCCTCTTTTGATATCATCGGCAGTAGTATTCTCCTGGCCCAACTCTGTGGGCATGGGTATTGGGGCAGCATTTTTCTGTAGTTACATTGCATGTCAACGCCCCCCCAAGCCACCCCAAAGAGAATAAAAACACAAGGACACAAAATTTTAGGTTAATGTTAATGGGCAAAATTTAGGCCACAACTTTATTGGTTACAGAATGTGAGTGGTATTGGCTTAGGCATTGGCATCAACATACTATATCGGACTCCTGCCCGCCTTGCAGGAAGATTGGTAAGGGTAAATTCCAAATGTTCTTGAAGTGCGGGAGCTCTTAATTTTTGCTGAATTGCACCTGAAGTTTCTATTCCTCTTCCATAGAAGAGACCTCTGTTCTGTTAGTACCTTTCCTCTTACTCAGGTTGTTTCCATAAATGAAGAACTGGGCAGTGAAATTGACACTGCCATCAATTACCTAATGGGGCATGAAACAAACTAGAAGAATTGAAATGGCTGTTTTTGTGTGCTTCCTTGTTTACAGTTAGAGTGTCCAAAACCAGAGTGCTTTGAAACTTTATCGGCTATGGAACTCGCTGAACAAATCACTCTCTTAGATCACATTGTTTTCAGGAGCATACCCTATGAGTAAGTGGCTTTCTGATCGTTATTATCAAATGAAAATATTTTGTAAGTGAAGTTGCAAACTGATTCACATTAGTGACAGGCCTATAAAAAGAATTTGAATGCGTAACAGATAGAGCTGTGTTTAGTGCTGCTTAAAAACTATCATAGCATAATAAATGGACTATGAAAGACTTTAATCAAAGTGTTCATTAGCAGCACATGTCTACTGCACTTCTTTGTGAGCAGAATGCAGTTCACTTCCTGAATAGACTTACACACACACACACACCACTTCCAAATAACACCTGACATTTAATATTCCCTCGCTAACTGCTAGTTCAGGAATTCTGTAGGCTTGAGAACAAGAGCAGTGAATATTGAGCTTATCAAATACATACCCTTTCAGCTTCCTAAATTAGCCGTCTCCTTTTAACCCAAGGGATGGTGCTTTAAAATGAATAAGGGCTTTTAAAAATCCTATACATCTCTGGTTATTTAGCAGTGTTGGATAAAAATTGTATATATGACAAACAATATGACTCACACCTTTTCCCATGTGTATATTTATTGAATGTTGTAACCCACCCTGGGACCTTGAGTGAAGGGTAATAAATTAAAATAACACCACTGCCAACAGCAACAACTTTGGGGCTGCCACAGAGAATGCCTCCCCTTGGTCACCCCCCCCATCCCCCAGAAAGAAATTCTGAGGGACTGGAACTACCAAGAAAGTCCCCTGTGCTGATCTTAGCACTTGAGAAGGTCTGGGGGGGGGGAGCAGGTCTTTCAGGTATGGTAACACACTCCTGTGGGGTTCCATCTCCATAAAACACAATAAAACCAAGTACAACACACTGAGGTCCTTGGAGGAAGCGTAAGATAAAATTATTATTATTTAAATGAATTATAAGTTAATAATATAAATAAATACAATTAACAATATTCTGGTCTGCCATTTCCGATGACAGTTTCTTCTTTTGTTCTCTTCTTTCTGATTTTTCCAGAGAGTTCCTTGGACAGGGTTGGATGAAACTGGATAAAAATGAAAGAACACCGTATATAATGAAAACCAGTCAACACTTTAATGATGTAAGTTGATGTAAATGCTTTACCTTCCAGACTCTTCATGACTAACTATAGAAAAAACCACCAGAGCATTCCATTTTCCTAACCTGCTAGCCAGCAATTGCATAGTTGCAGTTGACTGAAATCTGCAAACACTAGCAGAAGAAATTAAACTATACCCTTGTTTAATAAAAACAAAATAATACCAATCTTGTTTCACATTGCTTAGTTTATTGATTTCTGCTTAGATTACATCCCCTTAGTTTTTTCCCTTGATTCACAACTGAAAGCCCACTGCCAAGGGCAACTTGCTGTTTGGTGAAGATTGTTCTGCCTTTGCCATCTTCCTTAATTCACTTTTTCTTGTGCCATTGTCACTTATGCAATATATGCTTTCTTAGTGTTAAATGCTAAAAAAACCCCCATCATTGTAATTCCATTTATACTGTTAATAGCATGCTGTAAATAGAAATATTCTAAGAACTGCTTCTTTGACCTAGATGAGCAACCTTGTGGCTTCCCAAATTATGAATTATGCTGACGTGGGTTCACGTGCTAATGCAATTGAGAAATGGGTAGCGGTGGCAGACATCTGCCGATGTTTGCACAACTATAATGGTGTGCTTGAAATCACATCAGCCTTGAACAGAAGTGCAATCTACAGACTGAAGAAAACCTGGGCTAAGGTTTCTAAACAGGCGAGTAATCACAAAATATGTTATCTGTGTAATGGGTATTGTTACTAGAAATATTATAAGTAAATGGTTTGCAGTGGTTCAGAATGATGTAACCACATCACTAGAAAATCAGTACTTTAACCATCAAGAACAGGACCGACCTTATCATGGGGCCACAGGGAGCATTACATTATCATAATCCAACACTAGAACCCCACAGTGTTGTCTTGCATTTGAAGGCGTTTCAGCAGAATTTTCTTAACCTGAGTAGTATCATATTCCATTTTGCTATAAGGAGTGAATCTTCTAATTTGTTTTCTTTGTAGGCTAAAGCCCTTATGGATAAACTTCAGAAGACTGTATCATCTGAGGGAAGATTTAAGAATCTCAGAGAAACACTCAAGAAGTATGTTTCAAATTATTACATTTTGCTGTGAATGGTGGATAGTTATTAAGATAATGCTTCAGCTAGCTATCTTCTATGGGAGTAATGCTGAACAATTAAGAAATCATCTTTTTAATACAGGCTTCATGGAATTCAATTCCAATGTTTTGTTGAACATACTCCAAAGTCATTATCATGTATAGATTTTTATAGTATCTCTGGGTATAATAAACCTATTATTCTGTATATAATGTGTCCTAATAGAATTGTAGAAACTTTTCCAATAAATGTATGGCCACATTAATTTTAAAAAACTGCTGGGAATATCCAACAACCTGGATAGCCGACCTGGTGCCCTCCATATGTTGTTGGACCACAAGTCTCATCCTCCCTGACCATTGGTCCTGCTGGCTAGAGCTGATAGGAGTTTCAGTCCAACAGTATCTGAGGGGTCATGTGGGCTGCCCCTGACCTATATAATATCTCCATTGCTCTGAGATTCATATGAAGAGTTCAAAGAAGGGTTGCTTCTATGCAATTGTTTGGTAGTGATGATTTTGGGGAACAATCGACCAGCTTCTCCATTCACTTTGATGGAGTTTCCCTTGCAGCCCCACTATAAAGTGAGTGGATGTTGGGCTGAGCAATACTTGACCATTTATGCAAGTGCTAACATGCTTCTTGAATAGAGTTGATTCTGAGTAAGCTGAACTGAGAGTAGACCCATTGAAATAAATAGACCTAAATTACTTATATTCATTAATTTCAATGGGTCTATTCTGAGCAAGACTAGCAATAATCAGCAAAGTTCACAACAGACTTACAGCACAGTCCTATAACATTTCGATTCAGAGGTAAGTCCCACAGTGTTGAATGGGGCTTACTCCAAGGTAGAAGTATGTATGTATGTATACTTTACAGTCTCATTTCACTACTGCAGGTGGCATGTTCAGTTTTATTATTTTCCTGAGTGATGCACACTATCACCAAGGAGTATGACCTGTTCATATCTCAAGATCCAGAAACACTTTCTTTGCAGGTTTTGAAGACATAGATAGCAGTTGCACTTTTTTCTACACATTCAGGCATTCACTTACTGCTTCTTTGCAATTTATGTAAGGTTTAGCTATTTAAGAAAATATGTCAGATACGGAATGTATGAGAGTAATTATAGCTGTTATAATTGCTTACATGAATTCAGGCTCAATGAGCTCAAAGTCATTTTAAGACTATAGTCCCATGCATACATAGCAGGGTGGGTGAAATCCCAGTAGGCACAATAGTGAAAAGGTTAGAATGACCCATGTATAAGACATAAGAGTAAAACCTAAAATTTCTTGTCGTGCAGTTGTAACCCGCCTTCAGTGCCATATCTCGGGATGTACTTGACAGACCTGGCATTTATTGAAGAAGGAACACCCAACTTTACTGAAGAAGGCCTTGTCAACTTTTCCAAAATGCGAATGGTAATACTTCTCTCTACATTTTGGTTTCAGTTTACAAGGACTTACTATGGACCATATATATATTGATTGCATTTCAAGGTGTATTATAGGTAGAAATGAGAACGAAATTGTTTATTTTTGTATGCAGGGTCAATGTTCTATCACCACCTGCTGGTGAATTTTGGAGTGTCCATAATCCAGTTTATATGTATGTACACACATTTTCCCGTTTGTACAAGAGTAAGTTGAAGATGTTCAGCTGAGTCAGCTGTTTTGCGTTCAGTGAAATATATAGATAATGTACAGAACCTAGAACTTTACTTCCTTAACCAGCATTAGTTGCCTACGAGGAGCATGTGTGTGTTTTCCGGCAATCAGAAATGTACAGAAGGGCATAATCAAGTTATTTATTTATTTCATAAAATGCATATGTATATTTCTTTGTCATGCACAAACAGCATGCTTTGAGAAGAGGGCAGTTTTCAGGAGATAATTAAGCTGCAATAGATGCATTTACAGTTGATTCATAAATGAAACATTAGGTGGATTTGTGTAAATGAGGGAAAGGGCAATATGGCCCAAGTGAGGTTGAAATTGTAATTCAGAAGAAGATACATGTAAAAGTCTCCTGAAACACCATTTGTTGCAGGATAGAATATTTTAAATTCTAGTGAAGTCAGTGGCTTGGATCCAAAGTTGCTCCTCCATTCACAACTTCCTCTAAACATAACACACACACACACACCATTCCGAAGATTCTCTCAAGCACTGGGAGCAGGGTTTTTTTAATGGCATGCAGGGTGCTGCAGAGGAAAAAAGGAGGCAAGAAAAAAAACATTACAGTGGTACCTCTGGTTACGAACTTAATTTGTTCCGGAGGTCCATTCTTAACCTGAGGTACCGCTTTAGCTAATGGGGCCTGCCGCTGCCGCCACCGCCACGCGATTTCTGTTCTCATCCTGAGGTAAAGTTCTTAACCCAAGGTACTACTTCTGGGCTAGCGGAGTGTAACCCGAGGTACCACTGTACATGGTAATAAACTCTGTTCATTCATAAAAGGAAAGTTAGGATCCAAGCTAGTATGTATGAAATTAAACAAGAGACTCTTTTTTATATTTGTTTCTTTAACAGATATCACATATTATCAGGGAGATACGACAGTTCCAACAGACGTCCTATCGCATAGAATACCAACAAAAGGTATTGTACTTTCATGTGTCCTCTTGCACCAATATAAAGTTTCTGTGGTGCTCTAGGTGTACAACCACATTTTTCATTTAGTGGAAAAGGAGATGTTTATGACTCATCGTTAAATCTAAAATACTGGCTAGATGATTTGTTTTCCTTGAATAGCACAATAAGTTCTGTTCAGGAAGGGTGCAATGGAAACAGTGATCTGATATGTCCCATTTACAGGGACAGCAAGACAGCCCTAAGTTTATACAGTGGTGCCTCGCAAGACGAAATTAATTCGTTCCACAAGTTTTTTCGTCTAGCGAATTTTTCGTCTTGCGAAGCACGGTTTCCCATAGGAATGCATTGAAATTCAATTAATGCGTTCCTATGGTCAAAAAAAGTCCAAACAAAGCCAAATTTGGTACAACAATAGTTTATTAACTGCTCTTTAAAGTCACACATACTGTAAAGAGCATTTCAAAAATTGAAGGAACAATAAATTAAGTTTCTAAACATGACAGAAAAACATTTAAAAATCAACAAAGTGTACTGTACATACATTTTCTAAGACTCTGGGGGACCACTCGAAGAAGGTTCCTCTTCCACTCTTTGCTTCTTGCTGAGGAACCTGTCCATGGTCTGCTGCTTCATCCGCCTTTTCAGCAGCTCCCTGAGAGGCAACATGACCGTCGTATCAAAAGTGTTCGCTTGGTCATGTGCCACGTACTTGTTCGGGTGGTGCCGCTCTGCAAAAGCCTGCACCTCCTTCCACTTCTGGCAAATGTCCCTCAGTTCTTTGGAGGACAGCCGTTCCTCAGTTGCTTCCTCCTCTTCCAGCGAGGCCTGCTCCTGCGCAACCTCTGCCTGCAGTTCAACCAGCTCCTGGGTAGTCAGCTCGTGGTCGTGCTCCTCCACCAGCTCGCTGACGTCCTCCTCTGTGACCTCCAGGCCCATGGTCCTCCCCAAGGCAACAATGTCCTGCACCACTGTTGACTCTGGTGCATCAGAGTCACTTGGTGCCACACAGTCCGGCCACAGGCTGCGCCAAGCGCAATTCAAATTTCTCTGGCTGATCCCGTTCCAGGCCGTGGTGATCATCTTCAAGCAGGTGATGATGTCAAAGTGGTCCTTCCAGAATTCCCGCAGGGTGATGGTGGTGCAATCAGTCACCTCGAAGCATCGCCTGAAAAGCTCCTTGGTGTAGAGTTTTTTTGAAATTGGCGATGACCTGCTGATCCATCGGCTGGAGCAGTGGCGTGGTGTTAGGCGGCAGGAACATAATGTTGATGAAGCTGAACTCCTCCAACAAGTCCACCTCAAGGCCTTTAGGATGAGCAGGAGCATTGTCCATCAGAAGCAAAGCCTTCAGCGGCAGGTCGTTGTCCAGCAGGTACTGTTTGACAGCAGGGCCAAAAGCAAGATTGACCCAGTCCACAAACAGCACACGTGTGACCCAAGCCTTGCTGTTGGATCGCCACATGACACTCAGCCGCTCCTTGTCGACCTTGTGTTTCTTGAAGGCCCGTGGGTTCTCCGAGTGGTACACCAGCAGGGGCTTGATCTTCAGGTCGCCGCTTGCGTTGGCACAGAAGAGCAGGGTCAGACGGTCCTTCATGGGCTTGTGGCCAGGCAACTTGGCCTCCTCCTGTGTGATGAAAGTCCTTTTGGGCATCCTCTTCCAAAACAGCCCGGTCTCGTCGCAGTTGAAGACCTGCTGTGGAACGTAGCCCTCCGTCTTCACAACCTCCAGGAACTCCAAGGCAAAGTCTTCAGCCGCAGGAACATCAGAACTGGCAGCCTCTCCATGCCTGACCACGCTGTGGATTCCAGATCTTGCCTTGAACCGGTCAAACCAGCCTCTGCTTGCCTTGAAGACTTCTGGCTCGCCTGAGGTTCCTGGCTGTTCCCGGATGAGGTCTGCGTGCAAGGCCTTGGCCTTCTCACAAATGACAGCCTCAGTCACTGTGTCCCCTGCACGCTGCTTCTCTTCTAACCAGATGAGCAGTAACTTCTCGACCTCCTCCAGAACAGCTAGGCGGTTCTTCACGATCCTGGTGACTCCCTTGGCTGCATCAGTCGCAAGGATCTTCTCCCTCATCTTCAGGATGGTCCCGATGGTCGATGGGTTCCTGCCGTACTCCCTGGCGAGGTCCGTCACACGCATTCCACCGTCGTGCTTCCAGATGATCTCCTTCTTCATTTCCAGCGTCACCTTCTCCTTCTTCCTCTCGCGGGCCTCCGCAGCAGCAGCAGTCTTCTTGGGTCCCATGGCAGCACAGCTCTTACCTTCGTAAACTCAGGGGAAAAAAATCAGCAATTCAAACCCAGAACCAAGTCCTTGAATTCCAAACACCCAACCCAAAATCCAAAAACCCCCAAAAAAGTTTTAAAAGTTTAACTTACGAAATGGCTGCAAATCACCAAAGTCTTCAAAATCCTCAAATGGCTGCAAAAGAAGTTTTGGGAAAGCTTTAAAAATCACCAAAGTCTTCAAAAACCTCAACTGTTCCCCCAGCCCCTCCCCAACTGTTGCAAACCCCTCCCCAGCTGTTCCCCCATCCACCCAGCACACAGAAATTCAAACCCAGAATTTTTTTCAAAAAAAACCAACATGGCCCAATGGTCACAGAAAACCATAAAAATTCAAAAAAAACCACACAAGCTCCCAGATTCTTGCAAACCTCTCCCCAACACCAAGTCCTTGAATTCTAAACACCCCAACCCAAAATCCAAAAACCCCCAAAAAAGTTTTAAAAGTTTAACTTACCAAACAGCTGTAGAAGAAGTTTTGGAAAAGCTTCAAAAATTCAGCAAACTCTTTAAAAAGCTCAAAAAGGCCACCACACCAATGTGTTGCTCCTCGAAGTCAAGTCGCAACTGCACCTCTTCCAGCAATGCACCCTGGGTATTAATGGTTTTACAAAAAAGGAAACAAACTTGCAAGACATTTTCGTCTTGCGAAGCAAGCCCATAGGGAAATTCGTCTTGCGAAGCAACTCGAAAACGAAAAAATCTTTCGTCTTGCGAGTTTTTCGTCTTGCGAGGCGTTCGTCTTGCGGGGCACCACTGTAATTGCAGAGTCTCCAATAAATTGCATTGTCTGTGGAATTCCACATTTATTACTTTTGCTAAAGACTTAAATTTGTGAAATAATGTGGATTAGGGATGGGAGGCTGTGAGGCTGGAAGATGGTTTGAGATCTACTTGGGTATTTGCAGTACAGTAATTTGTGTTGTAAACCGCTTTGAGATTTGTTATTTAAAATATAAAGCAGTATAGAAATGAATTTAATACTAATACAGGCAATCCTCGTTTTGCACGGGGGTTCCTTTTCCTTTCTTCTAGGTCACTCAGTACTTACTTGACAAGAGTCTCATCATAGATGAAGATACTTTGTATGAACTATCCCTAAAAATTGAACCTAGGCTGCCTGCCTGAAAATATATCAGTGTTGTCCTTCAGCCTACAGAGAACTTTAGAGTAATGGGGAAATTATGCATGATGTGCCCCCCTACAGAATGCAAGGGGGAAAGCTGGAAGAAATTCAAATTCCCTTTTCGATTAAGGGACTCAGAGCCTCACAAAGATTCCTTTTTTGGCACAGAGAAGCAGTTGCTGGAAGTAAAAGACCAAACGCCAGAGATGTTGATTAAACAGCTGTTGTTTTGCAAACGTGACAGTTTAGTGAAACAGAGACCTAATGAAGAAGAAAGGAAATGGCTGTAATAACCACACTGAATGAGGCAGTAATGGGGCAAAGTTAAGTATGGATAACACATTCCATTAGACTTCAATGAATGAGGAAATACAAGTGTAAAGCGAGAGGCTTTGCCTACCCTTATTTGGATACAATGCAGGATCCACAAAGAGCATGCAAGGAACTACATATTTTGATCCAGTTTGCAATTCATCGTGTCCATTGTAAAGTAATATTTTAATCCGTAGGTAATAATATCTAAGAGCATCATGAACTGCATTTGTTATTTAAACCATTCATTTTAATTGAAAGTATCTCATTTGTCAATAAATCCTGGTATCTCCTTTCCCCAAAAGGCTGGGGAGCAGAGATGCAGCATATTAAAAGCTACCTTAATATTGTACATACATTTTTCTTTCTCTAGAAGTATGATTAGTTAATCTAGGTACAAATGGATACACTACCTTACAATGTTGTCAGACATACACACTTAGGTGGGACTCTGATATTTGAGTTCCATGGCAAAGACTGGCCTTATAGAACAGGAATGGGGAACTGACCAATTGTCACGCTGGCTGAGATTGATAGGAATTGCAGGCTAGCAGCACCCATAGGGCCACCAACCCCCCACCCCCTACTATAGTAGATTAATGCTTTGCTCTTGGTTTTGGCAGAGCTATTTCTATAACTTTTGTTTAAAAATATGTTCCCCAATACTGAGCATACCATGTGTGCTCCTGTGCATATATGCACAGCACTTTACATGTGTGGGCTTCCTCCATCAACTTTGGAGAGCAGTTGCAAGCAACTAACCCACTGCTAGCACTAAGCTTTTCTCCCTCCTTGCATTAGTACCAAAGCCCTATCTCCCATCAGGAATAGGTCAACCAAAGTAATCATATGACTGCATTGTATGACTTGGAACTCCTGTTAGTCTCATGTACTTTAGAACCGGTTCTAAAGGTTTAGATGTTGGCAGTGTCAGACAGAATCACACTCATGCATTGCTGCTACATGCCATTGCACTGTGATGTGCATTTAAACACCGCTTGAGCCTCACATAATGGTTGCAGGGAGCTCCTTGCACACACTAGAACTCAGTGGAGTCTTTGCAGCCTTGATCATATAGGAATCACTGATTATTTTGCACGTAACAACATTGCTCAGAAAGGTTGATCTATATAAATTACACTCTGGCACCAGTAATTCTGGACAGGAAGAGTAGAAACATTAATTAATTTTTTAAAAAGTAATTTGTCCACTTATTGGATAAATGAAAATATACTTTGTTCCCTTTTAAAATACTGCAAAGGATTCCACCTCCACTAACCCCCTTCCCATATGCCATCCTTAAGAACCAAAACTTATGGGACACAATCCAGGGAAAATCAAGGAACTTTAGGTCATACTGAATTCAACAGGAAGAATGTACTTTTAATATTTATCAAATCAGTGTGATTTCTGACTTGTGCCCCTTAGTACTAGCTCCCCCCCCCCATGTGCTCCCTGATTAAGTCCTTTTATTTAAAATGCTTGTGGTACTTCCCATGGTTCTTTAATAACATGTAGCCTCCTTTTTGTAGTTGCATGAAAAGTGAACACAAACACATCACTAAAAACAGAATGCAGATACTAGCACTGTTGAATAACTAGGCTGGAAAAGTGCCCTTACTTTTCCAATGACTTATCAGCCAGTTGACAAAATAGGGCTAAATATCATTATTTACCTCCCTTAAACCCTCTCAGGGAGATAAGTGTTTTAAAAAGAGATTGCCATCTAAGGCATATTTGAACTGATCTTTACCAGACTAAGCTGCTAAATCCTAACAATAGAAAATGGATCTGCCTAGCTTCTGTTTTGTTTGCGCATTTTTTCATCTTTATTTGCACTTTAATAAATATTGTCGGCCAGAGAAGAGCTGAACAATAAATTCTGCTTATGTCTAACTGCAAATTCTACTAGCATGTATTAAGTATCTGTGCAGTAATAAGTTTTATTGTTTCTACCTGCTAGAGGCCTGGGTTTTACTATTATTAATAAACGCACGAATGGATGTCAAAGAAGTCTTGGGAAATTCTCAGTAAGTTTTTTTAAAAAAAACAAATAAAAAAATAAGTAAAATTCCTAAGGCATGTTTTAAGTACTTCTGGTTAATGAATATGGTAAACTTTAACTTGGGGAATGCTATTTATAGATGTGTATTTATTGCTTGTCCTTTCATTAGTGTCCAACAGGAAAAGCAGACTGCATCTTGATGCATGATAAACAGAAGCATGGGTTATTTGGACAAAACACTTATTTTACTGCATATTTAAAAAAAATTAAAAAATTTTTTAATCCATATGGCAGTTATTTAAGAAAGGTGCTCACATCTCAAAAGGAGGTACCTTTTTACTTGTCTGTGGGTTCTCCCCTTTCTATTCTTTTTGTTCCGCTCACCTACCCGCCATAAAACCTATACAATGTGTAATACCTATAGTTCTTTATGGGCATTATCTGTGATGTACAGGGGTTGATCATTTATAACTTCATTTTCTTGTATTTCATTTTGCAATATCAGCTTTGTACTTGGGGAGGAGCCTTTGCATATCCTGGTGTATAAGTGCAGCAGAAGGTGCATTTCTGTGTCTTTATCCTCTTTATTTTACTCCTGTTATTAAAATCTAAGTTAACCCTGGTGCTGTGGGGTCGTTGTTGTCTATGTTTAACCTCTTATGGTTTCACAGTTTCAAGCAAAGCTGAATTGATCACTGTCGCCCCAATCAGATGAAGGAAATTAATGTGTGAAAATGGGCTTCTATGCACATTTCTGCTGTGACACAGATGCAAGTTAGCTGCAAAGTTTAGGAATCTTGACTTGACCTACTAGCATGCACCACTCTCTTGCACCATCTCACAGAAGAGTACACTTTCATTACAAGCGTTCTGAAGTAGTGAAGGAGGCAATTAGACTGAATTTCAGCACTCCTTTGGCTATCCAAACCGGCCTGTAATTTCTATGGGACATGGCATGGGGATGGTATCCACAATATACAAATACTTCTCCTACAAACCCACTCATCTCAATAAAAAATAAATGGGAGAATGATATAGGTTACAAAATAAACCCTACTAAATGGACTAAACTGTGGTCTAAACCACCCTTTAAATCCACCTCAGCCAAAAGAAGGGAACTCACTTTGAAGTTAATCTGTTGATGGTACCTAACACCATGAAAGCTGGTGCTGATACACCCAGGAATCTCTCACCAAAATGCTGGAGAGGTTGCCACTCTACAGACACATACCTCCACGTGTGGTGGGATTACCCCAAAATTCAATCCTTTTGGACATTAGTTACTTTGCATATTTCTTGTAGGACTAAACGGAAACTAGAAGCCACTCCAGAACTGGCCTTACTGAATATCTTCCAAGACAGTAGTGCACATTCACACTGCAAAGAACTCATAAGTCATCTACTCTCAGCAACCAGGAGCATCATAACTAGACACTGGAGGGACATGCCAGGAGAAAACATGAGCCACTGGTACCAAACCATATGGGAAACAGCCTTACTAGAAAAGCTCATCAACAAACTGAAACTAGCACGGGAACAAACAAAAGAGGATGCCTTCACCCTGGTGTGGCCTTTATTATATATACAGCCCAACAAGACAACAACAGGAACCCACTGACCACATATGAATTGATATGGCTAAGCTGACCCAACATCCCCCTCCCACTCACACACACAAACAAAACTCACTGCAATCAACAATAGGCAACCAACCATGCCCTGCCACCGCCAACAGAAACCAATAAATATTTTTTCCCCATAGAGAAGTGAACAAAAATGCCAAGACTGAAAAATATTTCTCAGTAGTTTGTGCACTGTGTGGAAGATGGGGCCAACCAGGTCACCCTCTTGCTCCCTCAAGGACATGGCTGTGTAGCCAAATATTTTGAATAGACCTGAAAGGAATGGGGCTGGCCAGTGCAATAAATACTTCTCCCTTTCTTCCCTCCCCTGCCAGCATCTCATTTTGCTCCTCATATGACCTGTAATTTTGTCACAGCACTACTTGTCTGCTTCACACTTCTTTGCTCCCAGGCTAGTTGCAGGACGTGTCTGGCTTCAGCTTCAAGGTCAGTTGGACTTTGCCTCTGTTTATTCACCAATGGCAGTGACATTTCGAATGGGAGGGTTATTAAAAATGTTTTGAAAGTGCCATAGATTGTAGCCTTTTGGGAGATGCAGTTTGCTCATTTGCATAAGTACTCAGAAAACGGCGACTGTGAGATTTGTCAGGCTACTGTGCTTCTGACCCAGATAGCGATACCAAAATAAATATGTTAAAGATATGAAAATAAAGCCTTCTTTTATGCAAATGGTAAAGTTTCTGCAGGCAGCCTGCTGAGCAGACAACTTAAAAAATGTCAGCACTGTCCATAAATGTGTCCCATTAACTAGAGAGGCTGAAATGGTATTGTAGATGGGCGTTTTTAATTGGTGTAACCGAACGCTGTATCCTAAGATTTGATCAGTATCGAGAATTATCTCTGGCTGAATTGCCAGCATCCTCCAAATTGGCCAACTGATCTCAGTAAAGAATTTTGCTTCATTTACATGCCTTGTTTGGTTTCACATCTACTCAGAAGTAAGCCCCATCGAGTTCAACGAGGCTTACTCCAAAGGGATTACAGAATAACAGCCCAGATTAACAAGAACTGTCTTATTTTTGTGTAATAAGCAAACATCAGATGCTGGGGTTTTGAACAAGTTAAAATAAGCCCACTTCCAGGTCTATTCTCCTCTTTATGAAAGCAAACAGTCCTTTTTCATTGTTCCATATTTCATAAAATTGCACCGCAGAATTCCGTAGAACCCTACAGTAACAATTCTAAACACACTTACTTGGAAGTGAGCTCTGCTGAACACAGTGAGACCTCTTTCTAACTAAATATGCATACGAATGCTCTGCTAGAGTGTTCCTTGTTTCTAAATTTTAGACCTGGCAAGCCTGTAAACAGATCTCATCTGCCAGCAGAGGAACTCGAGAGATTAATTATCGTTGATTATAACCTTTCCCTGTCTCTTTTAGTCTAACGGCAAACTAGCTATATTAGAATAGTTACATAATATAACCAGAGCCATAGACTGTTACCCCTATGCTGTATAGAGTACAACCACTGTATATAGGAATTTAAGTAACCATGTCCATAGATTCTGTAGGTCTGTTCTGCATATGATTTAGTTGGATATCACCCACAGACCACATATTTTATTTGAATACAGCTTCTATCCAAGTGCTTAGGATCACACGCCAGACCAGCTTAGATTGCGATAATATGGCATAAATGGTTCATCATGTAGTGTAGTTTAAAAGTTTGTGGACTAACTATAGAGTATTTTGAACTATTCTTTACCATGCTGGTGTTCATAATCAAACTCTGTATGATATAAAACTACTAGTACCTTACGATAATCCACAGTGATACAATATATTAGCCTGACACATGAAGTGCATTGTTTCATTTGCTTACATAATTGAGCGGTACTGAATGTACACAAGTATTACGATTAAAATTAAGATTTAATTAATTTTATGTATGTATTGGTTTGTTCATCTGCTTACTTTCTGAATTTATGCACTCATTCTTCAGTACTGATACCCAAGGCACTGGATCAGGAACTGATTAGCAAAACCTTGAAAGACATTTTTATACTTTAGAAAAAGAGCAGCCATTATTGTTATTTGAGAACGGAGATAGTTCTCAAATACAGATGCACCAATGTATCTACCCAAACACTCTTTGATTTAAAAAAAATGATGTTTGGGTTTTGTTTTGTTTTAAGCCAGTGCAAGATGCAAATTTGTTCCTTTATCAGCTTTCTACTCTGTTTGTCTTGTTGTTTCTTTGCTGTTTGAACTCTATCTGTGCTGTATCTCAGCGGATGCATAACATTTCGCTTAAGCCACAGCTTAAGGTGTCTTGAAAGAGTCAAGAGTCACATGACACACATGATGCATTTCTATTCTACTAGGGCAGTATTTTATCTACATCTATTTCTAAACAGCTGAGTTTACTGCCAGTAGAATTTTTGCCTACAAAGCAAAACGAAAAACCTTCCTAATATTAATGAAAGAGGAAAAGAAATGAGCAAAGAGTTCTCCTGCCACAACCATTTCTCCTTTCGCAGCTCTAGCTTCAGTGCTTTAACATGCAGTTTATAAATTTGCTGTGCTTAATCTGACACCGTTGGAACATGCAAGCCAAGGGGACAACTGTCCTGGAAAATGTTGCCGATATGGGAGGTGCTAACTTTAGGTCAGCTCTGAAACTCCTGCCAAAAGTAACACGAGGGGTCTTTGCTGTTCTTAAACTGAAACAAATAGGAAGTGCTGGAGCTCAGTGTAGTAAAAGACATATCCTCTGACCTGGAAGACCTTTCCCTAATTTCATATGGGGTTAATTGTGCTTAGTTAGTGATGAGGAAAATTCCTTTTGCACACAGCTAAATCTTGCAGTCCCAACTAACATGATACACGGGGCTCAGATTACAAGGCTTGGCACCTGGACTTAAAAGGAGTCTGGGGCCTGACTCTGGTACTTCCTGGAACTGAATTTCTGATTGTCCTAGTTGCAGTGGGCTTGCCACACTGACTCTGCTGGAGGATGCCATGTTCTTCATTATGCAGCTAAACCTATAGGACAGAGTTTTCCAAACTATTTCGCAACACATGAGTGTGTTGGCTGCAGTGTGTCACGCAAATGCTACCAGGACTGGAAAGGGGTTCATTTAACCTGCACTTCACTGGAGTATATTTCTGTCTTATTTTGTGCTCCCCACTTCCCCAAGCAGTAAGAAGCCCATGAGCAGCACTCCAGTGTTCAGGGTCCTTCGAGGAAGGTGGTGGGGAAAAGATAGCAAGCACACTGAAGACTCATACTGAAGTCTTTCGTGATATCTACATATTAACACATATAGAATCGAACCAATTGGATGTAAGCAGACTCCAAAAGCAGGCAGCACAACTGCTAATCCGGCATCAAATTCTGCAAAGCCAACTGCATCCTAAAATGCGTCATTTTGGAACTTTCCCCCATGTCTCTGCCCGAATTCAACCAACAAAAAAAATCTCTTCCCTCTGCTTCTCTAGCACACTGCAGGTGCTTGGCCGCAACAAGGTCATGTCTGCTAGCATGACCTCAGTGGCTGCACTTTCAACATTTATGACTGGCTACAGATGTGTTGGATCAGGAAACATAGCTAGCAGGGGCAGTCCTGCCTTCCTCTCCGTGTGTTCAGTGTATGCATTTGGGGCGGGAGTATCTGCACACTCCTCCTGCTCCTCACACAAATTATCATGGATATTGTTCCAAAAACTAGAGCATTTAGCCCTCTTCGTTGGATCGCTCATCTAGCTTGCCAGGCAAAAACTTCAGTGGTGTTTATCAGAGAAAAGCCAAAGTCATCATTTTGAAATATCTACCTAAAGGTAGCTTGCCATTCTATAGCAAGAGATCCCAGAGCACATTATGAATGTTCCAGATATGTTTTGGGGCTGGACATTGACTAAAACAGGTTGCAAGGTGACTCCTGGGGAGCCATGATGCCAGTGTGAATCAGAGGGGAATGCCTGCACCATAAGCATATATATTTTTGCTTTCTTTTATCTTACTTGCACAGCTGTGCTTAAAAAGCTTTAAAAACATAACCCCTTGATGAAAGAAGCTTAAATTCTGCAGTGAGAATAAAAGGGACAAATGGAAAACTGTCAGTCTCCACTATACATTAATATATTCAGTAGAGCACTTCCTGTGGGCATCTGAAATGAAGCAAGCCATTACCAGAGAGAAGGCCTTCTCGGTGGTGGTGCCTCAATTGCAGAACACTCAGCTTTATTGTCTTCTTGGTACCAAGCTTTTCAAATGAGAGCTGTGGTTTTTTTAAAAACAGTTCTTTCAAAGGGGTGCACCAGTGTTGCAGATAGGAAGTACAGCAGGTGCACCATCTTAAGTTGTCACATAGTGCAATGGGCACAGGAGAGTGGTTTGCCTGCAACTATTTACATGAAGCAGAAGCCAATTTGAGGTTTCTGTTGGAGAGAGAGGTTTGGAAGAGAGATTCCTACTCTCTCATAGCCGATTAAGCACAATAGTGATTGCTACCAAGCACATTAAAACTTGGTTAGATTTACATTTACCCTTATTCACCTTTAAGCAAACATTCTCCAAGAAAATACTTAGGCTAGAATAAATCACAGACACTTACGCTTTGCAAATATGGGAATGTTTTACTCACAAAGTTTCCAGAAGTTACAGCAAATAAGTCTCTATCTGCTGGCAGTAAAATGAAGATGAAACAGGTTCCAAATGACTTTAAAAGGAAAATAACTTTGTTTCATTTCAGAAAGCTCCTTGCAATATTGGGATTAGTGAATATGCAGGCTTTAAAATCTCCTTTTAGAAAGACTGAACTCACTTGCAGTGAGCCATGACTGCATGACTTCTTGATTGTCCCAGGAAGCAGAGAGAGAGAGAAAAGAAAGAATGGGAGGAAGGAAACAAAAGGCTGTAGGGAGGTTACTAGCTGCACCTCCACTGGCACCCTGAGCTCAGGTTAACCCTTTCTATACATGCAAGTGTGAGTCAGTAATTGTATATTACAACACTTACAATGGGTTGTGGGAAGTTGGGGAAATGCACTAAGGCAAGGGAAAGAATCCAGTCAAGAATTAAAGGGCTGTTTTTGGATATATTCAATATCAAACTGAAAGTAACACTTCCTATGGTTGCTTTCTTATATCTCATTTTAAGCAAATAGATAGATAGCAATTCTAAGGAATATCATGGTTTGAATCTCTCAGCAGAAGGGACTGAAGGGCACTTTTGTTAAGGTTCGTCCTTGATAAAATAGGGCAATTAAGGCGCAATTAAGAATAACTTGTGCAAGTTTTAGTGGCTAATTGCCAAACTATTGAATGCATTCTATTAAGTCAGCAACTAGTCTTCTGAGTATTTGATTTTCTTTTATTGAACGAACAAGTACCGTCTGCTTTGAAACCTTGGATCACAGCACAAATCTGCTTGAAGAAATTCTGGAGAAAGGTGAAAGCTTTCAAGTGTGTGACCTTCTACACTGACTGCCCTCCATTCCTTGAAGTTCACATATCAGGCTCAGGTTAAGAAATGTTGCTCTAGAAAAAGCAATTAAATTTGCTCCATGTTTGTGGCAGTCAACATTAGCTTGAAAGGTCAGTGATTAGCAGCAAGGGCCGCTTTTGAAATCTGTGCACAAAATTAAAATGGTGTGCTTTGTTTAGTCATCAGTGTTCTCTGTTAATTACTCCCACACAAAATCAGCTTCCTCATCTTTCGAATATGTCATGCATTGATCCCTCTTTTAATTCTCTTATAAAATGGAATCGGGGTGCCATAAATGCACTTAGCAGCTGTCTCTGTCCTAGATGATGTGAGTTTCTCCATTGCTGTAGTCAGACACCTTTTGGCATTTTATTGCTAAAAGACCAAGTCACCTTGACTACTATATTATTGGGGCAAGACAGTAACTCCCTGGCAAAGTGCATGCACGCACAAAACCCTGAGATCAATCCCTGGCATTTCCAGGTGGGCAAGTCTGTAAAGCACTACTTTCTGAAACCCAGGAGAAAGCCCAGTCAGAGTGGTAGGCAGCCCTCAGCTTGGTAGACCAATGACAATGCAATAAAGCAGCTTTCCATCTTCCTAGCCACAACTTGCTTCATCCTGGTTGCAAATGGAACTTTCACAACCTTTAACTATGACCCATTCAGAGACTCTTTGGGAAAGCTGAAGACTCTTGGATACGTGTTGCGTAAGGAATTTATTTATGAATGTGTCCGCCCCAGCCACCACATTATGTTTTAGGGAAACCCCAGAGCAGTTTATAATACAAGTATAAAACCCCAGATGAACCATATTAATATGGGTCCTCAGGGTTTTTTTGCAGGGGGAACTCACCGGAACTCAGTTCCAACACCTCTCATGTGGGTGCCATTGGCATTCTAAGAGAAAGAGGGAGGCATTCATGGTGAGTTCCAGCACCTCTTTTTCTAGAAAAATAGCACTGTAGGGTCCCTGTGAATTAGCTGAAAAGGCGGGAGACGTTCATATGCTGGGAGGACTCACCCAGATAGATCTTCCAGCTGTCCGTGATCAAAGAGGTCTAAGAAATAGTCCTCCAGCCAGAGTGGGATTGAACCATCTTCTAAAATAGGCAGCTTTATGGTGCAACTCTTTGCATCTCTCTGCAGAAGTAAGTTCTGTTGAGTTCAGTGGGCTGCATTCCCAGGTACAGGCCAGTACCCTCTGTGTCTGGCAGGACTCAACCCCACAGCATGACATCAGACAGGATTTCATTACTGTTGCTGCCAAGCTCCAGCCAAAGAAAGTTTCTTATAGGGAAACCAGCCAGACCAGCAAATGTGCCTCTTAATGGCACTGGTGCACAGTGGATCATGTCATACTGGCTGACTCCTATAAGAATTTCCAAGTCAGGCTTGTTCTGGTCAGAGCAATAACCAACAAGGCTGCTACATTTTCCTGTAAGAGACCACCTTTGCTCCTCTAACCTGACTGGAGCATCTGGTATTACCTTGTTTGGTAGAGCCATAACTTTGATAGATGTGCTAAGTTATCCATGCATCCCACAACTAGGTGAGAAGTCTAAATAAGATTGCCAGGTTCCAGGTTAGGGACAATAACATGATTTCAACCAGGGTTCTGCTTTCTCTGCTTGGATTCAGACTTGGAATATGGAAAGGAGGAAGGAAGCTATTATTGCATGGAATAATGTACAGAATTGCCTTGTCCTCAGCATCACGCTCACTGTGCTCTTGCTCAAATTCCTTGCATTCAGTGTTCCTCTGTGGGAAAAGGCTGCATGGAACGTGCAGGTTATACACATTAAGGGTCTCTCCATGTGTTCAGTGTACAAGTTCCCAGACTAAGTGAAAAGTGGCATGAGACATTTTCATACAGTAGGTCTTAATGTAAGGCTATCAGCTTGGTGGAAAATCAAGGGCAATATTTCCTTTCCAATTTCCCCTTCCAGATGCTAGGAGTATGAATAAAGACAAAGCTGTCAGTCTGAAAAAAATATGCCATTGAGACATTGGACATCGTTTTGTTATGTATTTGAGGCATTAGTGCTAGGATGACACATCATTGGCCTCTGCTGTAGGGCATCAGGATATGTCAGAGTAAAAGCAAACAGAACACATTCAATTCAGCAGTATTGTCTAGGCTGCTCTCCAAGAGTAATGGGATTTAATATAACAACTTCCACTTGCAGTAAAATAAAGCAGGGAAGTAATAAAGGCACCAGCAATGTGAGGAATTATATTGCAGATTCACATTGCACTCAGCGGCGGGGGGAAATACAGCACACACAGACACACAACTTTTCTGAAACCCAACTCTGACTACCAGGAAATAATTCCTGGGAAAAGTATAGAGGCTCAGAAGTAAAACAGAATTGCACTAGCCAAAGAGTTGTGGCTGACACCTGCAGCACCCTTAACTAACTGCAGTTCCCAGGATTCTTTGGGGGAAGCCGTGACTCTTTGAAGTGGCACTATACTGCTTCAAATGTGCATCGCCGATGAGGCTAGAGTATTATTGTGGCTCCATACTTCGAATTATAGAACTGTAGAGTTGGAAGGGACCATTAGGAATATTTTGCCTAATGTGGGGCTCAAACCCACGACCCAGAGATTAAAAGTCTTATGCTCTACCAACTGAGCTATCCCAGAACTGAGGAATGCATGCTCACTACAACACCTAAACAGAACCCTCATTGAATGGCGTTCTAATAGGTTGCAAAGTGGACCCATCATGCTGCTGCCCTCCCAATATGCATTCATTCTAGACACACACATACACAACATCTGCAACAGATATATGGCTGTGTGCATTCTAATGAAATAGTCATCAAAAGTATTGAAATTACCACATCTGAAAGGAACTTTAGAATCAACCCTGCATGTTTTGTTCCCCCCACTTACACCCCTTCGTTCCCCCGCCCTTCATTCCCCACAAGCTTGCCTACTCTCATCCTCCTTTGTGTTCTCCACCCACTCCTGTCGTTCTGTGCCTTCTGTTATGCATGCCTCACATATGGGAACATGTACTAATTTTAGATGCTAGTTAAGAGCCAAGGTTGATGAAACTAGCATAGGGGTGAGAGCAAAGGCAGCTCAGCTTGCTCCAGGATCAGGTGTTCTATCAGTTAATGTCACTGGAGGTTAAGGGCACATGGAATAAGCCACTGGGAAAAGAAGGACTGAAAGGGCTACCAGCTAGTAGCAATGTTTGAAAATCCAAGGCGTGTGAATTAGATTTACGCACAGCAGATAAATGTCTTAAATAAGACCACATCTGCAAGTGAATTTCAAAACCAGGTCATTGTAACACCAAATAACCTGAATAAGGGAATGAATCACACATTGTTTTCTAACACAGAAAAATCCCCCTCTATTGAATTTAACCATATCTTCAAATTACCTGGTGGAGTGTTGGTGTGAAATGGTTTCTGTGAACTAGAGTCTTTTCCATGTAAACCACATCTGGACACGGGGTGAGGGGGTACAGCAATGACACCCAGTAAGGCTTTTTACAAATAATGTGATCCTCTACCCTAACGTTCAGACTTTTAAAGCAAACATCTTGTTGATATCATTGAGGCTTTTGCCATTTCCACATTGCAATTTTCTGATCTATCCAGCTCATTGTATGAAAGGGCTTCAAGGTGTAAAAATAATAAGTCAGCCAGTCAATCAATCACTGCTAGTACAATGTACATGATGACTGTGTCACATTCCATTACTTTAAGGAATGGGTGGGATATGAAAACAACTTTTCATGCAGTGCCTCCTTGCCAACAGAAATGGCATGAGCTAGCTAAACATGACAGACCGTCTGATGCCATTAATGTTACCTGTGACTTGATGGAATATCCTACATTCAACAGGGGCAATGCACGGATTATTTTTATGAAGATCGTTGTCTTGTTCTATTTTCTTAATTTTGACAAATCACCAGTCTAAGAAAATACACTAGAAGGCACAATCCCTTGACAGAATAAAAATGCAATATATATCATTCAGAACGGAAGCAATTCCAGCAATTTCATACCCCTTGGTATGACAGTATTTCTTGACCCTCATGGTTACGGTATTTTGAAGTCACAAGAATTACTTCTATTAACTGCAGTAAGCATTTAGAGATGGGCTCCCCCAAGCTCAAAATGGCCTGAGATTTCAGTGAGCCTTTTGCTATGGAAAAGTGGACCTTAAAGGCTGTGTTCAATTAACTAATTTAATTTTGAATGTGAAACTAGACACTGGTGTCCTATCACCCTCTAGCATAAGCCCTTTGAACTTTATAAAGATGCATGTGTTCGATGGTGGGAAGCGGGTTTCTGCTTGCTCTAAAGCAGGCCTCAGGATATGAGCCTGAATATCCTCTTAAAAGGCTTTTATTTATCTACCACAGCAGTGGTTCTCAACCTGTGGGCTTCAGTCCCCCGGGGGCCTGCAGAAATATCCCAAGGGGTCCATGAAGCAGGTGACAGCAACCAGTGGCGGCAAGGGGGGCACCACCAGCAACTTCTGAGTAAATTCCCAATGGACACTCTCCCGTTGCCAAACTCTTGTTTTATCACAGTCCAGCAGGTGAAGGGCCATCACTTCTGCCTGGCCACAGCACCACCACAGACTCATGTACACACAGAGCAAAGGATCAGTTGAACTAAAAGTGAAGGATGGGCTCCTTCTTTCATTGCTAGCTGAGCTTATGCCCACCCACCTCAATACAGACATTCTCCGCCTCCTGAGAGATAAATGCAAGCCAGGCAATGCAGTATTATGCAGCGTACAACTGAACCCACATGCACGTTCAACACATGTATTCGGATGCTGCTTCAGACTGCAAGGTTACAAATATGCAGGAGCGATGCACTCACTAAGCCTGCACATACCTTAGATCTAAAGTGTAAAAGAGTCCCTAACTACCCAAAAGCAATGTGCCACAGACCAAGCAAAAAAGAGAGCAAAAGAAAAGAAAGGGGAGGCATATCTGACCAAAAAGCATAACACAAAGTCAAGGATCAGAGATCTCTGCCTTCTGCAAGAGCTAAGCGTTTCTCTTAAAAATCTTACACCAGCCAAGCAACCATCTCTTAAGTCTTTCCCATTCCTTAGCCCATGGTCCGGCAAAGCACAGGTCTGACCTTTCAGAACATTAAGGAGCAAAGAGATGTCCCATTGGAGCTTGTGGAATATCCAACTGTTGAAAATCTGGGGTTTAAGTACAGTTTGGAGCCAACTATTCTCTACTGAGAATGGAGGGGGATGCTGGTTGAGTGAATACTGTAATACCCTTATTCCTTTCAACAATTACTTATTTCCTGTATTTTTATCCTTTTGTTTACTCCAATAGGTTTGATGTTGAAGGGACATGAACCTAGTCAGAAATGACTAACTGGCGTTTGTTGTTGCAATGAATAAAAAGTGAATTCATTTAAAAGTGTCACTGAAGATCAGAGTAGTTTTTCCCCCTTATTATTTATCGTCTTAATGAATGGAGCCTAAAATTACAACAATTAGTGAGGGGTGTGTGTCCAAGAATTATTTCGAGGTTAAAAGGGGGTTGTTGTACTCCTGAAGTTTGGGAACCACTGGGCTATAGTAACTGGGTTTCTAAAATGGAGACCAGTCCTGAAAATTCAGGAATTAATTACTCCAGGTATGAAACATTTTATACCCCTCCCTCGAAGCACTATAAAACTAGGCTACAAGAGGACAGTTGCTTTTTGCTTCTCTCTTTCTTTGTATACTTTTATGGTTTAGGGACCATAGCCACTTATTTAGTAGTTGCTTCTGAGATAACTGTAGATCAGAAAAAAACCACAGTAGCTCAAAGCCATGAAAGAAAAAATTGAAGCATTAGGCTTGCTCCTGCTGCCTGTGTTTTGAGCCAAACATTTCTACTGAACTACAGGAATTATTGACGTGCTTCCTTTCCTTTGTTCAATAGGTCAGTGCTTCTTCTTAGTGATTAAACCCTGATATGTGAATGTGCATGTCTGGAATGCAGAGACGAGTTTTCAAATGATATTTGCACTGAGGACTAATGGAAACTGGCATTTGCCACTGCACAGACCTATACAACAAAAGAAAACCACTGATACTGAAACGTATTTCAACAAATTGGTAAATTAAAAAAAACTAACAGTGAGGGGAATCATAAAGGAGAAAGTGCTGAGATAGCCAGGACAGATCCTGCTAATTAAAAACCTTTAATGGACTGGGTCCTGGCTAACTTGGCACTGTCTTCTTTACAATCCCCGCCATTCCAATATTTAAGTTCAAAACCAACAACTTGAGTTGGGCTTGTAGAAGACAAGACTAGGTTTGAAACATCTGAGACTTCTGATAAATATCTGCCTGCCTCCATAAAACAATCAACCAGTTGGTCACATTGTCACCGTTCTCATATTATTACTTATGTACCTATTTCAGCTCTCATTGCAGATTTGTGTGCGTCTTCCAAAACTATTAGGTGACAAAAGATGGCCAGTACCTTCTCACGTCTCCTAGCTGGTCGAAGAACTGCAGTTCTCTTTGCAACAGTTAGTACTGGGGCGTTGACCACTGGATACCTGCTGAATAAGCAAAATGTGAAAGCTGGATCCTTTCACAGACAAAGACTGTTCCCTCCAAGGTAAATACTTTGATTCAAATCATTGATGAACAAATGTTGCTGCCTGTTGTTTGAAGGGCCTAAGTGTCTCCACTGAATACTATTTGGCAGTAAACAGAAAAACAAGGCTGTTGAGGAAGAGAGCTCAAGAAGCAAAGGTGTTGAGGAACAGCAGGTGAGAAGGTTGAAGAAGCAGGACAGAACTAGCAATGGACTTAGGTCACAGCTGCACCATACATTTAAGCAGTGCTTTTTTTCCTTTAAAAATGTTTAGGGCTACTCTCATTTTGACTCAAGAAAACCACCATTTTATAGTTCAAATCGGGGAAAATAAATACAGTAAATGGACAAAAGTATAAAGATTCACAAAATGTTTAGGGGTATGCATACGCCTGCATACCCCCAGAAAAAAGCACTGCATTTAAGGGACACAGGTATACCACCTTAACAGGCATGGCTCTTTCCCCTCCCCCAAGAATCCTGAAGATTGCAGTTTACTGCTCACAGAGCTACAGTTCCCAGCATCCTTAAGAAACTTCATTTCCCAAGATTCCTTGGGGGAAGCCATGTGCTTTAAATGTATGGCTCTGAGTTCTAGAAGACCTGCTCCCTGCCGTCTGGCATTTTCCCACTTGCCCAGGGAGCACGGGGCCCTGACTGACTCCAGCTACAAAAGATGCGTTTGCTGAAGTGGCCAGAGACCATCTTGGCTGTGTCAACCAGACCCTGGTTGTCGAGCCTGAGCTTCCACAGCCACAGCCCACAATGAACTACCATAGGTAGGATTTGCCGCAACAGCAGCTGATATGTTCTATGCTTGTGATAATATTTTATTCTCTTGTTAATTATACTGTTTAAATGTGCATTTTATATTTGACATGGGACTCAGCTAGATTGGGAAAGAAAATGCATTTTATATTATTTGTATGTGCATTTTAACACTGTGATACCAGATGGTGCTATGGAGTTCCATTTTTGCCAACCCGATTTCTCATACGAAGTTTACAACGCGTTTAACTGAAATGCTTCTTTAATGTGTCTAGATCAAGCCTTACTTTAGTAATGTTTTATTTTGATTTTTTTTAAGATAAAATTTTAGTTTTCAGGTAATTATGTTGCTTTGAATGTATACTTGATTTATTGAGTAATGTTTTATTTTGAACTGTTTTGTTTTATGTTTTTATGTATGTTGTAAAACACTTAGAGGTTTTCCCCTCTAAAAATATAAAGCAGTATAGAAATGAAAATTATTATTATTATTATTATTATTAAAGGATAAAGTGATCTGAATGGGGCAATAGAGGCTGAAATTCCCAAACTGATTTGCGTTTGAGGGGCACACAGAACACAGCAAGCTAGAGTCATAGTAAAAAGGTAAAGGTACCCCTGACCGTTAGGTCGAGTTGGGACGACTTTGGGGCTGCGGTGCTCATCTCACTCTATAGGCCGAGGGAGCCGGTGTTTGTCCTCATACAGCTTCCGGGTCATGTGGCCAGCATGACTAAGCTGCTTCTGGTGAACCAGAGCAGCACACGGAAACAGCGTTTACCTTCCCGCCGGAGCGGTACCTATTTATCTACTTGCACTTTGACATGCTTTTGAACTGCTAGGTGGGCAGGAGCTGGAACCAAACAACGGAAGCTCACCCCATCGCGGGGATTCGAACCGCCGATCTTCTGATTGGCAAGCCCTAGGGCTCTGTGGTTTAGACCACAGCGCCACCCACTGTTCCTTATAATAAGCAGGTGTCATTTTTAAAATCTCCATTCCACAGAGATTCCTGTGAAACTAATTATAATAAATCTCCCTCTTCCTTATGAATGATATTATTTACTTCATTTATCTCTCATTTTCCTTCCAATGAGCTCATGCCATTTTATAGGGAGGCTAGGCCACAAGTGGATGGCTGGCCCATGATCGCTTAATGAGCTTCATGGTTGACCAGGGACTTGAATGAGATTCTTCCCCAGCCCTGATCCAATAGGTCAACCCACCCTTCACCAATCTAGTACCCCTTCCCCCTGACTGTTTGAACTACAACTCCCATTGGCCTCAACTAGCAATGGTTGGGGATGATGGGAGTTATAGTCCAAAACATCTGGATGGCAATAAATTGACCAAGCTGCTCTAAACATTACAGTAAGCTGGTTCACTTCCGTAATATCTCTAACAAGTATCAAAACAGTAATGAAAAAGTTAGGTAAATGTTGTGAGCAGATACATTTCCAGGAATCCTAGTTGAGCTACATTGATTAATACCAGCTGCAGAGTCATCTCATTAAATTTACTTGCACTTTAATTTTGCAGATTAACACAAAAAATATAAATTCTGAAGGTCATTTGTTTCCTTTCCATCTGCCGAAGTGCTTCCGTCCACTACTGAAACTGTCTCTGTGGTTTCTGCTGGAAGCCAGCATTCCTCTGGGGAAGCACAGTATGCGTGCTTCCCCTACAGATTGTATAAGCCAACAAGCAGCCACACTTCCCAGTTCCCTGCCATTTTCTTCAAACCATAACATATTCACAGTGTGCTTCCTTTTTTCTTTTTCTTTTGCTAGAGGCATAAAAGCAGACAGGCAAGTAGGATGCCGATTCTGCCTACCTTCCCTGATATGAACTTGAAAATGTAACCAAAGATTGCCGATCAATATGAATGCTTTACATTCCTTTTCTTTTTTTATTCTTTTACCAGTGCAGACTTCCCTGATCTTCGTAAGCACAACAACTGCATGGCTGAATGCCTCACTCCAGCAATCTATGCCAAACTGAGGGACAAGATGACTCCCAATGGCTACACGCTGGATCAATGCATCCAAACTGGTGTTGACAATCCTGGCCACCCTTTCATCAAAACGGTCGGCATGGTTGCAGGAGATGAAGAATCTTATGAGGTGAAGATTTTCTATTATATGCTGCCATCCACTTGTTTAGTTTGTACATTTACTAGATGAAACAGTTAGATAAACACAGATTCTTCACGCAGGGTGTAGTTTTAAAGGAAAATAGGACACTACAGTGTACACAAAACACAAGGCATATGGATAATGATGGTAGTTGTTTCTCTTCCTTGTGGGATTGTTTCCCCCTAAGCGGGAAGTTCAGTGAAGAGAAAACACCATTAAAGGCACCCTCTGTATAATAATATCCAGGATAATAAATGCAGGCACAGAAGACAATATTTTATTTGCCTCCTGTAGCTGCCTTGTCTCTTGCTGGTAAATTCAGCTTGAGGTAAAAAAGTGGAACCGTTGTTCACTAAATTGAATGAAGCAGAAATTCTGCTGTAAAAATGTGTGTGCACGTACACACATTCCTATACATAGACAGCTATCAACATGGGCGTAACCAAGGAGGCGAAGAGGGACAGCTGCCCTCCCCAGATCAAGTAAAACAATAGAAATACAGTGGTACCTCTGGTTGCGAACGGGATCAGTTCTGAAGCCCCGTTCTCAACATGAGCAGAACACAATCGGCATCTGCGCGGGTTGCGATTCGCCACTTCTGCACATGCGCGTGATGTCATTTTGCGTGTCTGCGCATGTGCGAGTGGCAAAACCCGGAAGTAACCCTTTCCGGTACTTCCGGGTCGCCGCGGGACGTATCCTGAAAGAACATAACATGAAGAGGACGTAACAAGAGGTATGACTGTACTTAACTAACTGACCAATCAACTAACTAACTAACTACCCCCCCAACAAAAGTCCTGCCCCCCCCAAACAAAAATCCTGGCTATGCCCACAGCTATCAACAACAACAAAATTGACCTCATCAGGAAGCTAGCCTGGCTATTCCAGGAATTGAATCCAGGAACTAGAAGGGTCTCAGGCATACAGCGTACCTCCCCCCCCCAAAAAAATCAGCCAAATGAGCAAAACACAGGCGGGATTTTCTCCTTACATTTCTTATTTTTCCTCTTTCTATTTTAGGCTAGTTTCTAAGGGGCTTTAAAAACTATTTTAGAAGGGCATCCATGAAGTTCACAACAGTTTAGGATATGTCACCCTTGAAAACCGTCTCTTAACAATTGTCAGCACCCTTAACGAATGACGGTTCCCAAGATTCTTTGGAGGAAGTGGCAAAAGAGTGCTTTAAATGGGAATGGAGGCACAAAGCATCCAAATATCCTGTCACTTTAACAAAAATCTTCAAAATCTTGAGAGTATTGATCTGAAATGACCTAATTTCTTGCATCAAAATACAGCATGCTGATAACAGAATAAGTTGAATATTGTTATTGGGTGGGAAGTTTTGTGGTATATGGGGGAGAGGGGACCTGGGCATAATTCTGGGGCACAATACAGCTTTCTCCAGACTGTGACCGAACAGTCAGAGCAGATTTTAAACCCATAAAAGCAAACAATAAAGGTTCTGGAGAAAACAGAGGAGATGGAGGCTGTGTCAGGTGTTCCCTAATATTTAAACTGCCACTGCCAGACATACTGGCTAATTAGTATAATCAGAAGCAGAAGTTAGTGATAGGAGCTATAATTTTGTACAAGGCTGGAAAAGATTTGCCCCACTATAGTGATAACAGTCTCTAGAAACAATTATTAATTTCTTTCTCTCTTTACTTTTGATCTCAGCATTAGTGCTGTATATATTAAATGAAATTCAGGGTCTTTTTCTCTCTCTCACTCCCCCCCACTCCACGCACAAACAAGCTACCCTAGTTCTATTCTTCCCAGATTTGAAGAGCAAATAATCAGGCTAACAAGCCCAGAAGCCAATTGGAGATAGATAGATAGACAGATAGATAGATAGATGGATAGATAGATGGATAGATGGATAGATAGATGGATCTCATATTGAAAATGGATCACTCTTCAAGAGCAATGGTACTGGGAAGAATGGCTAAGTTACTGTCTAAGAGGGAGTGGAATTTAAAGTGCATGCATGGAAGTGATGTAGTTAGCCAACTCATTCAGTAACAGAAGAACGAGGGGTATTAATGCCTCTAAATTGTGTCGCATTGTATGTTAAGTATGTATCTTGCCTTTTTAAAAGACGACTAGCAATTAAAATAAAATCCTCCCAATGCAGTACCGTTAAAAAGAAAAAGCACAAAAATCAATTACAGAACAGCAACCTCTATTAAAACAATAAATTTAGTCTGGGATAAGGTTCACATCTCCCCAATGCCTGCCAGAACTATAGACCCTAAATAAGTGAATCTCCTGAATATCCCTATTTGGGAGTTTCATAAAAAGGATGCTACCACCACTAAGAATGCCATGCCCCTTGTGCCAGCCAAACTTTTTACTGGACAATGTTGGCACCCGATTTACTTGTCACAGTTTTTATTTCCTCGCGCTTGACACATAACATATCAAAGTTCTGCCTTTCTCCCCAATATTCCTTTCCCATCACTTCCTTTATTTCTTTGTCTCTGTGTAGCTCTTTCCCCTTAGATAGGAGGTCTGGTTTGTGGAATGGTTCAAAAAAGTGAGGAGAATTAAAACATATCAATTGCAAATACACAAAAGAGATGTAACCACCAAAGTGACTGGAATATAATAATAATAAATATATGTCATTGACTCTACAGGAATTTGCTGAAATTTTTGATCCAGTTATCAAATTAAGACACAATGGCTATGATCCAAAAGTAATGAAGCATCACACTGACCTGGACTCTTCCAAGGTAGGTACAATTTAGGACCAATGTAAGAAATCTTAACTTCAGAGAAAAGGGGCTGAGAATAATTATAAGAGTATATTGCCATGGATAGAATTAGCATTTGTGTACTTGTTTTCCAAGTAATATTTCTTACAACATATAGGACAGTGCTAGATTAACATTATCAGGTGTCTGCCTCAAATAGCTGATTTTGAGTTAATGCCAAAGAAAATTATTTATTTCATGTATTACTGTTGAATTTTTACTCCCAGGGAGAGGTGCTTGTGGGATTTTTCTGCCTCAGGTATCAAAAATCTTTGGTCAGTCTTGGGTACTTGACTTGGGGATGGGGAGCACCATTTGCTGTTCTCAGGCAGAACAATGTATTTTGGCCAGGCCTAGACAGCCCTTTCTGTGACACGAACTCCCTTTTGTGTGTGGATCAGATCACCCATGGGCAATTTGATGAACGCTACGTCTTATCATCCCGCGTACGCACTGGCCGCAGTATTCGGGGCCTGAGCCTACCGCCTGCCTGCTCCCGGGCAGAGAGGAGAGAAGTAGAGAACGTTGTAGTCACTGCTTTGGCTGGGCTGAAAGGAGATCTCTCTGGGAAGTATTATAGCCTGACCACAATGTCTGAGAAAGAACAGCAGCAACTTATTGATGTAAGTACAATGCCCAGCCTGGAGGTTTAAAGGTTTAAAGGGATGCCGCTTCCTTTTGCATACAGATGTTTTATGCACAGATAATAAGGCTATTGTTAATGTTGCATTTGAATCCTAAACACCTAAAAATAGGCTGGAAAAAGTCCGAGAGGGCCTGAAATATTGCAAAAGGCTTAGGTATATCAAAGGAAAATGCTCTGCTTTGTTTGAACGATTATATTTAAGATCAATTAAGACCACTATATAAATATAGTGACAGTCTACATTTTTTATTTATTTAGTGCCAGTCTAGATATGTAAATGTGAATTGTTTTCCTTGATTTTTAAAATAAAAAGCCTGAAGTGCAGTGGAATAGTGAGGTGGGAAAATAGTTTAGCCCTTTTCTCAATTCAAAAAACATTCTCTTGCTCCCCCCCCCCCCAGCATATAACCTTTCTCCTTGTAGGTCAAAAAGAAGCTTGGGCAGACAAATGGCAGGAAATGAAAGGGTTAAGCACCACCCTCAATCTTCCACTCACTTTTGAGATTGCCTTTTAGTCAAAACCCCAAATTGGGGGCGGGGGCTGGTTCTTTGGGGCAAATGGAGAAGTGCCTCACCAAACACAGTTTGCCCCCACTTGCCTGCCTTACCTCTTACAAGCAGTTCAGGGATGCCCTGGTCACCAGCTCCCTCCCCCTTAGTCTTTGTTTTGCCCTTGTAGAACACAGCAGGGAAGAGGATGAGGACAAAACAAATAGTTGGCTCTTCCTGTCACTGGCTCTGGCTCCACCTACTGTTGCCCTCTCTGCTTTCTGCCCCACCAATCCCAATGGGCACCAGGCACCATGTGTTTATGGGAGTGAAACCCCGGAGCTGTGTTGCATCTGGTATCTCCCTAGCCCAATGAATGATTTCCCTTCCAGAAAGTAAAAATGTAGATTTTGCAAAAAAATAGTTTTTGAGTTTTTTTAAAAAAAGGAAATTCGCCAAAATCTACATTAGCAACATGGGCCACCATACAGCCAGACTTCCCTGGACATTTCAGCAATTTTTGCCCAGGTGCTGATTACAATGGAAATTCCAGGCATATGACAACCCTATTAGATGGTGATGACTATATTCACCCATATTTGTAAGTAATAGGGATGCTTACAATATGATGATGTGCAAAGCAACCTTAAAAACCACATCCTTGGTACTATTATCGTTCTGGGTGATATTCAATGATGTCATACCCATTAAAAATAATGGACTTGCATTACTTAGAGTGACACTGGATCTCACCCATTATGTCCATAGTTCAGGGAATCAACAAGTGCATTGGTGTTGCATTGGACACCCTTACTTTGATTCCGAATAATCTGCATAGAAGTAGAAACTTGTGTTTGTGCAAACCATGACATTTTCATCTAGCTGTCCACATGCCTCTAACTGTGGTATTTTTATTTTAAAGGTGATGGTACTGTAAATCAGGGAATACTGTAAAAAAGCAGCACTGGATTTAATTTATACCTATTGTGTTCTCATGTACCTTGGTAACCTGTACAGTGAAAAAATATGCACACCTAAAACTGCATTAAAGGGTGTATGCATGAATGTCCTAATAAGCTCTAGACACACAAAACAAAAATATTAGATATTTAACTTGCTGGTGGACTCTGCAAACAAGATCCATTAGCTCATACCCCACAATCAATAAAGAAATTAAGTCTATAAATAAGGAACACTGCACAGTTGAGCTGGGATTTATGCACCTGTAAATGAAAATTTGTTGGGGGAATAAAGATGGGGGGGGGAATAATTCTGTTAAGAAATGAAGTTCTATCGGAGGCTTTATTTATGAGTAAAAACAAATGGGAACGAGGAACATAATTAATCACTAATACAAAAAGGTCAGATCAACCTGACCTTTAGACTGCTATCATGGATTTTGATTAGGTCTCATGTCTGAAAAACCTTATCTTTAAGATTTTATTAAAAATTAGACACTGCCTAAAAGCTTTTGGCATACAAGTTGAATAATTGGTATAAAAATTCACTTTAATCCTTATACGTATTGTACATTGTTCTGTACATTGTTTCTCCTTTATTTCTTTTTCCTCTGTGTGGTTACAACTCTCTAGAATCATTGCTTTTACAACAAAATAAAAACCTACCAAGTTATCTAGGGAAAGAATATTGTCATTTGCAGTGAAGAAGAATCCAGTGTGAATCTTTATTTGCTCAGTGGTGGTGCTTGCATGTTCTTCCTTGCAATGATGATTATGAGACCTAAAATTCACTTCTTTCTTTCTTTCCCTCTGCCTTGCATATGCTGGTCTGCAGGACCATTTCCTATTTGATAAACCAGTGTCCCCTTTGCTAACATGTGCCGGGATGGCCCGTGACTGGCCAGATGCCAGAGGAATCTGGTATGGAATATGAATTGTGCACGCTTAAGCTATGAACAAATGGCTTTATTAGTTCCTTCCTAACACAACAACAGCTGCTATTCCTAAAACCAAATGCATGCTTTTGCACACACACTCTCTCATCTTCTTCCACTAATTGATTTTTAGGAGAAGTGCAGTAGCATACATAAAAAAGAAAGACAGGTGCCTGAGTCTATTATTCTATATCACCAGTGACAAAAAGGTAGCATAAAACCCTAGTGACTGGATTTCTTTCTTCAGTTCATAAGGAGTTTGATTCATAGAGAAGTCTGTGGACAGGGTTCTTCTCCCTCAGCAGCTCTCTAAAAAGGCTCAAGGAGACCCTGCAGAAAGGGGTGCGCTTGAGGGGGGAAGGAATTATTCATAATAAATAATGGAGGCATTAACTATAATTATAGTACAGTGGTACCTTGGCTGCCAAACTTAATCCATTCCGGAAGTCCATTCCAAAACCACGGCGTGCTTGCCCATAGAAAGTAATGCAAAACGGATTAATCCGTTCCAGGCTTTTAAAAACAACCCTAAAACAGCAATGTAACATGAATTTTACTATCTAACGAGACCATTGATCCATAAAATGAAAGCAATAAACAATGTACTGCAGTCACACAATCAATCATTCAATCAATCAATCAGTAGCTGAACTGGGTTCCGCACAGTCACAGTCACAAAACAAAAAAGAGCCACAAAAACGAAAACGCAAAATAAATAGCAAAAACAGACAGACCTCAGTGTAACACTCAAAACGGAGCACGTGTGGCAAAAGTTACTTCTGGGTTTGCAGTGTTTGGGTTCCAAGTTGTTTGAATACCAAGGCGTTTGAGAACCAAGGTACCACTGTATATAAGTATGAGCTTCTTATTATACTAAAACAGTTTTGGATTGGTAGTATTATAGAAATTCAGTATAATAAAACCAATGTGGTTTATCAGTAAATAATTGGATGAAAAGGAAGAGAACGAGAGAGATCTCTAAATGATTTGAAGGAAATTTTAGTTCTGTCTCCCTGATATCCTGAATAAAGGCTAATCATTTGTGAAGATTTATGATGCTCTGAAGGAATTTCTGTTCCTTTGGAATCAGTGATGTCTTACTACTTTGATAATGAATGAATGCCTCAGGACTGAAATGTGTTAGGTACTTTACATGAACGTTCAAATGTGACAGTGTATTATTTTAATTCTCTTTGTTACTTTTTTTCAAAGGAGTTTATTGTTTTATCTTTGAATGTGTCAGCTGTTATTATGTATCAGTGTGGGCCAAAGTATATAAACAGAACTGAAACTTGCCCATGCGTTTGTATTTAAATATCTGCAATAAAAAGTTGCATGGGAATCTTAGCCTGGATACTTTGGTGAACGAAAATAATCTGAGGGCAAATGAGCGATAAAATAGCAAAATATCCATTTCTTGCAAGACCCAGGTTTCACACTCTGCATCTTCAGTTAAAGGATATCAGGTATTAGGACAGCTACAACTGTCAGAGTAAATTCCCCATAAAGCAACTCCTAACATCCTGAAATGTCAAGTGCTGTGCTACTTTATTAAGCAAGACTTGCAGTAGCATACAAAGGTGTTCGATGCAATGCAGAAACTGGTCAGGGAGCATCATGTATACAGCATGCCCACACACTGTCCTGAATGCTTTCCAGTCACCAAGAAGCTTAAATGAAAGTAGGCAACACAGAACACACTTGGCTCAGAAAGCATGCTGCTGTAGCTACACTGAGGTACCATTTGCAGTTCTGCATTTATGGGCTTATGGGCTGGGAAAGAGTTTCACTGAGCATATAATGAATTTTTGCATGCCTGTTCTGTTGTGGAATACTTGAAAAAATGAACTAATTTTAAAGCAAAGTTGAATACGATTTGGGCTTTAGACAGGATACACCTTCAAATGTTCCAGTCTCAAACTACCATAAACTAGAGAGGCAGATTCTCCTCTTTCCCAATTAAAAAGGATGTGCACACTTTCCCTTTCTCAGTTCCCATAGCAGCACATGCCTCACACTGCGCTCATTTCAGAGAACAAAACGTACTCTCTAGCGTAGCAGCAGTTGAGTACCAGTGGGATCAGGACTGAGCAGTGCTCTTTATATAACCCTAAAAATGGGAATGATTTTATCATTGGTACTTGTTCAGTGGAATGAAATGGCAGAAATCTTCACTAACCCTTGTCCTTAACCTTGCCACAGTAATAGCAGCGCACAACGCTCAATTCTGCCCACAACAGAGACAGATAAGAAAGGGGAGAGGTGAAACGAAACAATCAGGCGCCTGTGAGAATCGTTGTTGAAGGCTTGTGTGACAGTAATACCAATGCCTTGCTCGCTTCCAACCAGGCACAACAATGACAAAACATTTCTCGTCTGGATCAACGAAGAAGATCACACCAGGGTGATCTCCATGGAAAAGGGAGGCAACATGAAACGGGTCTTTGAAAGATTTTGCCGTGGATTACTAGAGGTGGGCATTTTGTTGTGTCATTTTAAAAAATGTTTCTGAGTTTTAAGCAGTGGTAGCTCTGGGGTTTGGGGGGCCCTGGGCATGACAGCCATTTGGGGCTCCTTAATGTTATGAGAGCAAATCAGGCATAAGCGTTTACATAACCCTGTACACGAAGCTGCAATGAAAGTCGTAATACATTCATTGTGGTCAGTTTTTATTACAACCCCTCACATGCTAATTGTTGTAATTTTAGGTTCCGTTCATTGATCTGCAGCCTCAGGAACTGCCCATCACCCTCAAAGGTGCCTAAGGGGTCCACATAGCTGATGTTACCTGTTTCCCTTCCTATACCTTTCTACCCTCAAAGGAAGAGTCCCTCTTTCCCTCACTGCCTAGAACAGGCATAGGCAAACTTGGCCCTCTGGATGTTTTGGGACTACAACTCCCATCATCCCTGACCACTAGTCCTGTTAGCTAGGGATTATGGGAGTTTTAGTCCCAAAACATCCAGAGGGCCAAGTTTGCCTATGCCTGGCCTAGAACAATATCTTTCAGGCACACCTGGAGCTCAAAGAAAAATGTTGCTACCTGCATCAGTCTGGTCAGTACAGCTCAAGTACCTAAGATGGATAATCTTCAGGTGCTGATACACAAAGCCTTCCCTCTCAAGAATGGCCAGCCAAATCTCCTGGCAAATGTTTTCCTCATAAGCAAATTTATCCTGTTTTAATTGATTGGCTGCATTTTAGTCAATTAATTAAGTAAAATTTCATTAACTGGGTTACAGAACTAGTTAGCATATGCAGGATATGCATGGTGGGGGAAGTCACATCCACACATATGTTTAAAGCACTTTTATACCACTTTAGCAATCATGGAGAATCCTAGAAACGGTAGTTTGTTAAGGGTGCTGACTTCACAGAGTTGCATTTGCCAGCAAAGTTGTATTTTTTAAAAAAAAACAGTTTTAATTCATTTAGAAATTTGTACATTGCTTTTCTATATAAACGAATACAACGCAGCTCACAAAGTTACTAAAACACATCAAAACAAAAATACAAAAAAATTAGTATGATATAAAAATTTCCCTAGCAAACCCAAATAGTAAAAGAGAAGTATTGAACAGCATTTCTCTTGGGTGTGAGTTCCATAACAGAGGCACCATGATAGAAAAGGCTTTCTCTCGTGTCCAGGGATGGGGGTGGAGATCAAATTACAAACATGCGCAAATATAAATATTCCACTTCCTCAATAAATTCTGAGGTACACTTCAGTTTCAAAATACAAAGTAGCAATTTTCACTCCAGTTGCCCAGAAGGAAGTCCCAATGAAAGTTAACAGGACTGTGTTTTCTTTAATACAAATACTATATACTAATATATGGAGAACCAATACAGCAATCAATCTAATCTCCCAAGTTGAAGCTTCAATTTAGAGATAATATTCTGTTCTTGCTTTCACTTGTGGAACACTATTGATGTCGGCGATCTTTACTACAAGTCTCTGATGCCAAAGATGGATCTCGTGCAATTATTATACAAGCTGCTAGGAACTGTATTTTAACAGAAAGCCAGCACTGTTAACAGATGGCACTATCTGTACCCAGCAGTTCATTGCCTTTTATTTCCTCTGTAGGTTGAAAGGTTAATTAAAGAACGAGGGTGGGAGTTTATGTGGAACGAACGCTTAGGATATGTATTGACCTGTCCTTCCAATCTGGGAACAGGATTGCGTGCAGGAGTCCACGTTAAGCTCACAAAGCTCAGCAAGGTGCGTAAACCAACTCAAATGGCTTTTAATCACCAATGTCGGTAAGAACAATCCTTACAAATTTGTAGTGCCTGCTTAGACACCTTTACACCTAGAAATGTAATGTGAAAATTAGGCAACCCTGCGTTTGCAAACATATACATCTTGAGGAGCAATCACTATTTAAGAAATGATATATTTCCTTTTATGGCAGGATCCTAGATTTGCAAAGATCCTGGAAAACTTGAGGCTTCAAAAGCGTGGCACCGGTGGAGTAGACACAGCTGCTGTAGCAGATATATACGATATCTCCAATCTAGACCGCATGGGTCGATCAGAGGTAAGATTCCCCCCTCCCATTTTAAATTGCAGCAAAACTTGGGGACAGCTTTCTTATGTAAGCTATAGATACTACGGAATATTTTCAAGCTGAACATTTAGTGTCTTCACATAAACGCAAGTATTGTTATCAGGAAACTCAGTGGCACCAACTTGCATTTACTTGGCAAGCAAGACAAGAACATGGAATGCACCTGATATGCCAAAAGTCATCTTCTTAAAAAACATTTGTATAAATTAGATTATTTAGACTCATGTACTTCAGCCCAGTGATCCCTTATGAGCAAAGGTAAAGAGACTTCCACCTATTGGAATCTGTTTTATACTGAGTCAGACCATTGGTCCATTTAGCTCAGTACTGTCCACACTGACTGGCAGCTGCTCCCCAGAGTTTCAGGTAGCGGACATTTCCAGCTCTACCTGGAGATGCCAGGGACAAAGCCTGGGACCATCTGCATCCAAAGCAAGTGTTCTACCACCAAGGTATGCCCCTTCAGTGCCTGCATGCAATCTTAAGACACAGAAGGCCATTCTCATTTGTTTTCAATGAATGCATTAAGACGGTTGGATGGCGTCTTGTACGCCCTCCTTCTGGAAACTCCTGCAGCCAAGCTGGTACCAAATGTATTGCTCTGGTTTAGTGAAGCTAAGGGGTGTGTGTGTGTCTTCTAATCTGGGCAGCCCAGGACCTCCCTACACTCTGCCCAGGCTTGGACCCTGGAGAGGTCACTTTGCTGCTGCTAACGCACCCCAGAGGTGCTAATACAGCAAAAACAATACAGGAGGCAACAGTTAAGAGTAACAGGTATCTGCAGCCACAGTGGTTGGACTTCACCCTTGGAGGCACAATACACTGTCTCTCGAGACAGACGGATGCCAACAACAACTCCTCTTGCAAATTGAAATGAACACAACAGACAACAAGTTATGGTGATATGAATCAGGACAATGACCTAATTGTATAAGCCTATGCCTATATGTATATTTTCAATGACTTCCTTGAGACCTGCATAAAAATCATGCCAGACTGGAATAGATCCTAAACTGGTATCTGATCAATCCCCTTATATTAAAGCATGACTTATTGGGCCTATGCCACCTTTATATTCTCATTTCAGTACTCAGATGACAAAGGATCAGTTACCTGAAGAGGGGAAAACCAATAAAGTCGATACATTCATTATCCCCAAAGTACTTTCAAACCAAGTAACTTAAGACACAGTCGCCCAAAAGGACTGCAAAGTTTCATTATTAGACATGTATCTTACAGTATATAACAAAATGATATTGTTCAGGGAGAATTCTTCTACCTAGTTTTACTGAACATGCGCATATGTTCTGTGGTAAATAATTATCCACAGAAAAACCAAGGTTTTTAAAACATAACCTCAGCAAGCTTTTCTTCTTGTTATTTAAGGTGGAACTTGTTCAGTTAGTCATTGATGGCGTCAATTACATGGTTGACTGTGAGAAGAAGTTGGAGAAAGGTCAAGACATCAAGATACCGCCACCCCTGCCACAGTTTGGAAAGAAGTGAAGCTGCTTCCAATGAGTATCAACTGACCTGCCATGAGTCTGTTGTGACAGACTTTTAACTCTGTATATTCAGTTCCTTAAATACTGTAACTTGTCAAACGGAAAAAAATAAAAATAAGACCCTGTCAACATGTTCGGTAAAATGCTACCTGGTGTCCCAGATATTGCACCCCTATTCGACTGCTCTTTGAAATGATGTGACCAATCCTGTGGTCCTGCTATGAGAATGTAAGGCCAGCATAACGTATCTGTGATGCCAGCAAAAGCAAAACAGTATAAGCAGAAATGAAAGCCAAGGTATCAATGCCTCCATACTATATCCCTGGGAACTCTTGCCACCTCCAACTGTTCACACTGCATGTCCCTGACACTCCCACAATGCCCATGCAGGTAGGCAGCAACCAATCTGCAGCAGCAGCTGGAATGATGTGATGAGCTCTCCTTGGCTATGAACCAGTCAAGCTTGATGCTGATACCAGGAAATTTTCTAGAACAGATAATTAAACATTTGGACTGTGAGAAGTAGGGCTGGGCAATATCCGGTTTTCAACATCGTCATATATCATCAGCTAAACATCACGATGTACTGATATATCCTGATGTCTGAAATAAGGATGGAACTATGTAGAGGCAAATGGGGTAATGTCCTGGCAACTTCTACCTAGAAAGAGAGAGGTGGGGAGATGGGGGCTGAAGGTGGTGGTGGCTTCTTTAAACTGCTCTGCTGAGGGGCGGGTGGGTGCACAGCTACCCCCACCTCAGCGGAACAGTTTAATGAAGCCCCCTTTGGGGCCTTGATCTGCTAAGGGGTGGGTGGGAGGCTGCCGGGCCTTCAGCTGATTGCCCAGCCCTACTCCATACCGCTCGTGGGAGCCAGATTGGAGGGCTTGCTCAGCTCAGTGAGCCCCCATACCGCTCTGGTTCATGCAAGCAGGAGCAGTGTGGGGTAGGGCTGGGCAGTTTCAGACATCATGATATATCGGCATATCAGAGAGTTTAGCTGCTGATATAACATGATGTTGAAAACCAGATACCACCTGTTGCTCTGCAGTGCAGTGGGAAGGAGCAGCATAATATAAAATCTTAGACTAGCAGCTCAGCCATATGTTTACTTGGACGTGATAGCTACTGATTTCAGTGGGATTAATTTCCAAGTACACTTAGGAACATAAGAGTTCTGTAGGATCAGAACAAAAGTTTCTCTAGTCTGGCACTCTGTTCTCCAGTGGCCAACCAGGTGTCACCCAGTTGGATGCTCGCAAGCATGATGTGAGCATGATCCCCAGCAATCTGTCTTCTGAAGTATACTGTCTCTGATACTGGAAGGTAATACAGACATTATGACTTAATAGCAATTGGTAGCTTTATCCTCCATGAATCTGCCTAAGGCCGAGCTCCTAGTCTTAGTAATGCTGTTGTTTTTGAGTAATGCAGACCTGAAGTTACATTCAGTGACTAACTAGTTACGTAAGTGTAACTGGAGGTGCTGCATTACGCACAACTGCACACAACAAGCCACCAACTATTTATACAGACATAATAATCAATATCACCTTCAGATGTCTTTTACATTTTATTTCTTGCCCGTACCCTTTCCCAAGTTTACTCTGCTTTCCATGGCATGCAAACATGGCCTTTCCAGGCATTATAATAAGCAAATCGGATAGAAATGCGAGAACTCAAATCCCTGTAGCTCTTCACTTGGCATATCCCAGCAACGCTATGCTTTGTTGTTTGTATCAGCCATTGGTGCCACAGTCCCTTCGGCTAGTTTTCAATGAAGCTGGCCGTGTTTCTACCCCAGCCAAGTACATCCTGTTTTTGGCTCCTGCTGTAAATCATTACTCGGAGTGCCACAAGGGTGACAGCTCAAGTGTTTTGCAGAGAAAAGAATCTGGTGAAAATGTGCAGCAGGAGACAAACAGCACAGAGAGCTTGCCAGAGATAAAAGGAGTGTGTTGATTATGATTTCATCCCCACTCGAGAGGGTGGGGGTGGGGGAGAGATTTTAAGCATTTTTAAATCCTCCAAAGTGTATGCCAATTTTGTATAATTTGCCTCTTTCGTTTATTCCAGTTTCAAATGTCCTACACACCAAGGACATCCTACACATCAGTAATGGGTTCATCTCAGTTTGTGAGGGGTTGGATTAAAACATATATCTGCAATAACAGGTGTGATTTCAACAGTAAATCACAACAGAGAGGATGCATCAGAGACAAACTGGCAGACGTGAATGTTTGTGGAAGCCTTCCATGACTTATCGAGTCCACTAAGGGAAATCAATATAATAGAAAAGCTGTTGGTGAAGAATAAAGGTTAGGAGAGTAGAGAGAGCAGAGAGGCAAGAGCAGAAGGCAAATGACTCAGATGCTGTCTGCAGTTAATCCATTGCTGCTCCTGTACAAGCCCCAGAGAAGAGGGGGAAACAGGCGCCTAGGCAGAGAGAAGAGTCTCCTGGATTGAATCTTATGCACAATGCATTTCACACCCAGTTATATCCACATTTAAAGAAGCATTTCCCAATCCTGGGTCTCCATATGTTGTTCGACTACAATTCCCATCATCTCTGACCATAGGTTGTGGAAGACTGGCTTAAAGCCCTCTTATAGCACTCTAACCATCATGGCTTCCCCAAAAGAATACTGGGAACTGTAGTTTGTTACAGGTGCTGAGAGTTAGTAAGGGACACTCTAAGAGAGCTACAGTTCCCAGCACCCTTAAATGATAGTTTCAAGTATCCTTTGGGGGAAGCCATGGCTGTTAAAATGATATACAAATGCTCTAAATGTATGGTATGGATATGACCAAAGTTATCCTACAGCCTCTTTGGGATAAAGGAGAACAAGGCCATGCATTTTCAGAAAGATTACATGTAAATGTAGCAAATGTAAGGAAGAAAGATTGCTAAAACTCCATCCACATGGTGAGAAAACTGAAATGTGATTAGGATGCTCAGCTAGAGACACAATCAGATTGCTGAATTAATACATGCAAACTCCATTGTCTAGTAACATATTATAATCACATTTTATAGAGAGAGAGCGTGCTATTGACCTTTCATTCAGATAAAACTAGTGCAGATAAAAGGTTATCAAAAGCTGTGGTGCTAGACTGATGAACAAAAGGAATATATATGCATTCTACCCTCACAAATGTGTGTGGAAGAAGATAATAAAAAACGCACAGTACCATTAAAAAAAAATCTTGAAATAAATGATCCAATTCATTTCCCTCTGCCATAGAATCACATTCTATTATTGATCATCTTGGTCGTCGTCCTCTGCACCACGCCTTTAGCAACACTGAAAGGTCACCTTGGTAATGCAAGGAATTGGTAACTCTTGAAACCTCTCATTTAATTTGCAACTGGGGAACTACTTGTGTTTTTTCAAACTTTCCCAAGAGTCTCCCAGCAGCAGGAAACCCCCTTGCTAACTTGCACCCCCCCCCAAAAAAAAACTTCTCCAATGCTAGAGAGGTTAAAAAACAAAACAAAACAGCAAGAAGAGACCAGGTACCGACTGATTCCCCTTCCCATTAAATCAGAATTGAACACAAGTAAATAAGTTTCAAACAAAAACCAAACACCGAGGAAAAGAGAGTTTAATCCTGTAAATTAACTGAGAAGTGATGAGACAAAAACTCATACCTAAGATATTTTCTGCCAAGCTCTGTCTAGTGATGTGAATGGAAGCAGCAGAATAGCAGCTTTCCTAGTATAGCAACTCAGGTATTTGTGAAGGGAGCAGAGATTCATGCCAGGCCATACAAATTCTCATCTGGATGCTTCACTCCATAGTTTATACCAATTCTAAGCATGTTTAATTGAAAGTTAGACCCTTTGGGTACAATGCTGTAATGCTCTAGAAGGGCTTTTTAGATCCACTCCCTAATGGAAAAGATGGAAAGACAATTTTTGCCCATTCCCCTTTCCCTCCATACCACTTTCTACCTTGTTCTGGAGGATCCTATAACTCTCTGGAGCCGATTTTCAGATGGGAACAGAATGGAGTGGGTATCCATTAGTGGATGCCTCCACTGGACCAGAAGCCTTTCCAAGAGCACAAGGCCACCATTCGCTTCTGAACTTGACTGCATTTATAGGTGATCCTACCCAATCCATGCTTTCAGAAACAAAACAAACAAAGCACAAACAAAAATACAGTCATCCTTCAAAATTTGCACTTTTGCAATACAGTCCTTCAGCTAAGCTATGTATACAAAAATGCATATATTAAAGCAAAAGTGTTCATAAAAAACACATACACATGAAAATAGCATACAGAAATTCATTATATAAAGGAAAATTGTTTTGCAAAAATGTGTATCTTAGACAAAATTACTTATAAAGATGTGTATGTTGGGGGGGGGGAATCTCACTAAAATGCTGCTGAATTTTCATGACGTTTTTTAAACATCCCACACTGATAAGGAAATATGGGAAACTGCCTTATACTGAATCAGACCATTGAGCAATCTAGCTCAGAATTATCTACTCACTCCCACTCCCATTCACAAAGTATCCAGTCTGCTCCTATTGCTGGTTTGGGTGCTGTGTACACACAGTTTGCCACTACAGTGTATTTATCTTGTAATTTCTTATGGCATATTGCATATTGATGCATTGTGCCCTGCAAAAAAACCCAACAGTTTCAATTTGAAGAGAATAATAATTACCTTGCTATGTTTCAGCTGGTAATACATACACAGTCTGACTAATCTTTCAGAAAGGGATATTCCCAGTCCTACCTGGAGATGTTGAAAATTGAACCTAGGACCTTCCAGAAGAACAGATGTCCTGCTGCTCAGTTTTGGCCCTTTGTCATCTTGGCTGTGAGTTCTGGAAGACTTGCTCCCTGCCTTGCAGGCCTTTCCCCACCTGGCCTGGGAGGGTGGGGCCCTGACTGACTCCAGCTGCAGAAGCTGAAACTGATGAAAGTCTATTGAGCTGGGGGTTTTGTTCAGGGGTTTTTTGTTGTTGTTGGGGGTGGGCTTGTTGCTGTTTTTGATATTAATTTTTTGTATCTTAATTTTAGATCTTATTATTATTTAATGTATGTGGAAACAGTTTAATTTGGTTTTGTACTTTTTGATGTTTTACTAATTGTTTATGGCTGTTTGTGTTATGCTTGTAACAAAATGTGTTTTTATGCTACAAGCCGCCTTGAGCATGGTTTAAATGATGGAAAGGCAGCATACAAATAAAATTATGTATGTATGTATCTCTTGCTTAGTCTGTAGGTTGATCTGAAAAGCATTAGAAATTCAAAGTGTTATTAAAAAGGAAAAATAGCTCTAATGAATCAGTGATAACTATAGTCAAATGGTTAGATTTTATCAATACAGTTATTGTTGGACTTACATCTGTAGGAAATACTGTTGTTGCAGTCAAATAGACATTTTATATACTTTACAGTTATTTCAGTGGGGCTTGGAGGAAAAATATCTGTATTGTACCCACACATGATTCATGCCACAGATAAGCTGCCGTGGAAACCAATTATTTCACTAAACTCTCAAGTACTGTGGCAAGAAGTCAGTATTTATTTTGCAGTTTATTAAAATCCATTTCAAAATGTCATTCATTGATTATTCTTTTCTCTATTAAATGCACTCTAATGATTTTTAAACCAAGGCCAGTTCTTTCTGTAGGGAAGGAAGCATTTAATAATAAAACAAACTGTTTCTTTGTACATATCTCCATCTACTGGTAAAACTCTGTAAAGCAGAAAGGAACATTTCAGCAAAGAGAAGGAAATATTATTGATAAGCTTGATAAGTTAATAATATTTTATCAGGAATTTTTAACAGGAAGTACAGTATTTGACTCAATAACAAGGACAGAGTATATCTTTTGCACAGGTGTATAACTAAGAAAAGCGGGTTATTAGTATGCACAGCAAATTGAACGAGGGTATATTACTCCATAGGTTGTTCCATTATATTAACTTTTGCCTTAAGGCCACATTAAATGATACCAACTTCCGAAAAAGAGAAGCAATAGCTAAACTTAGATTTATGAGGATGGAAACTGCAGGTTGGACATGTGCTCTGCCAGGGTTATTTTGAAGTGGTACAATGAATCTTATAAATATATACCATTTTATTGAAATCTTTATTATACAAAATTTAAGGGGGAAATAACTTCATGTTAATAAACATCAATTTTTACAGTGGTACCTCGGGTTAAGAACTTAATTCGTTCTGGAGGTCTGTTCTTAACCTGAAACTGTTCTTAACCTGAAGCACCACTTTAGCTAATGGGGCCTCCTTCTGCCGCCGCGCCGCCGCTGCATGATTTCTGTTCTCATCCTGAAGCAAAGTTCTTAACCCAAGGTACTATTTCTGGGTTAGCGGAGTCTGTAACCTGAAGCGTGTGTAACCTGAAGCGTATGTAACACGAGGTACTACTGTATTTTAAAGATTTTGTTTTAACATTTCATGTTGGAAATAATAAAACAAAGCAGAACGCAAAGCAAGTAAAATATGTAAATAAAGTAGGATTTCTTCAGGAAGAGAAATGAAAATATCAAAACAGAAGTCTTCCCCTACTTTCAAAAAAGTGGGAAGGAAATAGATCAGGAGTGATAATAAGTTCTCAATAAATATAAGATGGAATATTTAATGGGCCTGTGATCATACCTCAGTAAACTCCAGGAAATGAATATTTGCTTTTCATAAGTATTTAAGAGTTTTTATTTTTACAACAGATATGTGCCACTTAACCAGGGGTAGCAGGGAACCTGTGACCCTCCAGGTGTTACTGGATGACAACTCCCATCATCCTGGAGCACTTGGGCTGAAGGAAGGTGGAACTGACAACACCTGGAGGGCTACAGGTTCCTTGTCCCCTCCCCTCCCCTCCCATCTTAGGGAATGGAACTTCCACATTCCATGTGTGTGTGTGAATAAGTAGGCAGGAATGTTCATGAATAGCTTTTTTTATGAAATTATTTTAGTGTTTCTACAGATGCACTTGACACAACCTTGATGGCGGAAAGTGAGGAGGAATTAAAGAACCTTTTATTGAGGGTGAAAGAGGAGAGCGCAAAATATGGTCTGAAGCTCAACATCAAAAAAACAAAGATCATGGCCACTGGTCCCATCACCTCCTGGCAAATAGAAGGGGAAGAAATGGAGGCAGTGAGAGATTTTACTTTCTTGGGCTCCATGATCATTGCATATGGTGACAGCAGCCACGAAATTAAAAGACGCCTGCTTCTTGGGAGAAAAGCAATGATAAACCTAGACAGCACCTTAAAAAGTAGAGACATCACCTTGCCAACAAAGGTCCGTATAGTAAAAGTTATGGTTTTCCCAATAGTGATGTATGGAAGTGAGAGCTGGACCATAAAGAAGGCTGATCACCGAAGAATTGATGCTTTTGAATTATGTTGCTGGAGGAGACTCTTGAGAGTCCCATGGACTGCAAGAAGAACAAACCTATCCATTCTTAAGGAAATCAACCCTGAGTGCTCACTGGAAGGACAGATCGTGAAGCTGAGGCTCCAATATTTTGGCCACCTCATGAGAAGAGAAGACTCCCTGGAAAAGACCCTAACGTTGGGAAAGATGGAGGGCACAAGGAGAAGGGGACGACAGAGGATGAGATGGTTGGATAGTGTTCTCGAAGCTATCAGCATGAGTTTGACCAAACTGCGGGAGGCAGTGGAAGACAGAAGTGCCTGGCGTGCTCTGGTCCATGGGCACGAAGAGTCGGACACGACTAAACAACAACAACAACAGATGCACTCTTTCCACTGGTAACAGTTCTATCAATAATACCTGCCTCTCAACCAGTTTTGATGGAGCTGAGAATTAGGCACCAAACACTGTCTCAGTGTCGCCTAGTAACTTTCCTGCATTTCCAATGGCAGCTCCATAAGATACGTATATAGAAGTATGAGCAGCCTGGTCCTTTACAGAGTAAGAGAAATCTTAATCCACTGAAAATGAATATCACACTTAACCCTATACATAGAAGCAGACTATAAAGCTTAACTTTTGAAATTAGAAACTCCCAAACATTCACGTTACTGTACTTGTAAATAATAACTGTCAACTGTAGGAGCATGCTCCCTCTAGTGGAAAATTTAGTAATAGCTTCAAATAATTCATCAGCTGACCATCTGTCCTAAACATTTGAACCAGTGCCTAGGAGATTCCTGCGGCATCATTTTCTACAACCCTAACTTATGGGAATTTTTGTGATGTGGTCATTTTAGAACACAGCTGTGTATCCTATTGTAAGCAACTATTTTGGCACAGGCAATATGCTAACTTGGAACTAAAACTCATTGAGTTCACTTACTCCAAAGTAAATATAAATAAGAGTGAACTGGCCATATTCAGGCATTATACTATACCCTAGGTTAGTGTTATAAAGAATGTGCCATGTCAAGTCTTGGGCTTGTGTGCTCCCGCTTCCTTGTCCCACTTCCTCCAAATGTGAGGAGAGTTAAAAGTTTCCAATTTGATCTGGAACAAACCTCCTTTCCTATCTAAATACAAGAACTTGTGGTTTTTACCAATTAAATTTAGTCAACAAATCAGGATATCAAACCATGGTTTGATCCTGCTTGAATTATACAGTAATTTGTACAAACTGCAGTTTTCTACACTCAGATGAAAGCCTGCAACTGGGACTTTTAATTGTCACTCCATCCTATGTAAGGGAGGAGACAAGTGAAAGAAAAAAGGTGTGGCGCCTTTTCATCAGAGCAAATAATGGTTTATCGCAACATCTAAATGTGGCCACTGAGCCAGAGAATAAATATAAGAGTCGGATGCTATTTAGAAAGCACAAGTTAATTACTTTTTGTACAATATGGACTGCTATCATAGATTAACCAATCATAAACATAAGAAAAGAAATATTTTACCTTTGCGGAGTTTTTGAGGCTGTGGGTTTTGTTCGTTTTTTAGGGCATACATGCTCAGGAACTTCCCCATTTTCCCCAACAATAACCGTCTACCCACCTGGTAAATGACACTGACTGTTTTTGAGTTGCAGTTGTCCTAAGTACATACAACTCAACTCACAGTGAGATTAAACCTGCTATTCAACAATCTTGGATTTCAGCAGCCTTAAAACCTATATGGCCGGAAAGTGAGGTGTCAATGTCAAAATAAAAACAAGGCTGTTTACAGTCTGCCTCCCAACAATTCTGTTTAAGAAGCCAAAGCAGGGCAGGAGGGTGGGGTGAGGGATGGGTGGGGAGAGTGTGACAGACATCCTGGCATTGACTCTTGATGAGAACAAGGATGTTCCCGTAATTGCAAAAGTGCTCCTATTTCGTGTGTGAACTTCTGGCATCTACAGTCATGGGAAACAGAAAGTGCACCCTCTTTGAATTTTGTGGTTTTACATATCAGGACATAATAGCCATCATCTGTTCCTTAGCAGGTGTTAAAATTAGGTAAATATAATCTCAGATGAACAACAACACATGGCATAAGCAAATCAGTCTCTTAAGCTTAAGCTAAGAAATAGTACTCTCTATGAAATTGAATATCAATATACGTATCAAGGCTTTGAGATTAGACCACTGAAGAAGCCCGGAAAACTACCTTCGGAGTGTGCTACCTGTAAGCCCCTGTAAAAGGGCCCCATTGGGGGCGAACAGCGGCCTCTTGATTACTTGGACTGCCAGGGCAAAACAGGTGCAAAACGCTGGCACCCTGTCTACAACTTCATTAACATCCATTTACAACTTCACTAGCATCTCTCGGTATTGTGAACAACACCGAACTTACCTTTTGTTGGTCTCTTCATGAACTTACCTAAAAAGATAAAGAAAACAAAAGACTGAGTTAAGCATTTGAAAAATCTATTGAAATCAGACATTATAAGTTCATCTTAGACTGGGTAGTTTGCAAGTTTCTGTGGCTTTGCACAAGGTTTTGTATTTTTCTCAGAAGATTGATAAAGAATGTATAATTATTTTGGTAATTATTGTGTGTTTATTAGTCGCCAACGTGTTCCATAGGAATTCGTGGCTAAACAGCAGATAGAAGCTGCTAATCAGATGCCCTTGCAAGTGTGCCCACCTCTATAAAAGCCGAAGTTTTAGCAGTTTGCTGGTCTGGAGCATTCAGGTGTATTTTAACACAATGCCAAGGAGGAAAGATGACACAATGCTCTTAGAGTAGCAAGTGCTGTCACCCATGAAACTGGGAAGGGTTCTAAGGCCATTTCCAACTAATTTTAAGTCCATCATTCTACAGTGAAAAAGATTATGCAAAAGTGAAAAACTTTAAAAACAGTTGCCAGACTTCTCAGGAGTGGACGTCCCAGCAAATTCACCCCAAGGTCAGAACATGCAATGCTCAGAAAAATTGCAAAAAACGCTCTATAGGCCTCAGTTAGCATGTTAAATGTTAAAGTTCATGACTGTACAATTAGAAAAAGACTGAACAAGTATGGTTTGTTTGAAAGGGTTTCCAGGAGAAAGCCTCGTCTCTCTAAAAAGAACATGGCAGCTCGGCTTTGATTTGCAAAGTTGCAGCCGAACAAACCACAAGACTTCTGAACAATGTCCTTGGGACAGACAAGACCCAAGTGGAGATGTTTGGCCATAAGGCACAGCACCATGTTTAGCAAAAACCAAACACAGCATATCAGCACAAGCACCTCATACCAACTGTCTAGCAGCCACCGGTCCTGGGGACCTTGCAGTCATTGAGCTGACCATGAACTCCTCTGTATACCACAGTATTCTAGAGTCAAATGAGAGGCCATCTGCCCGACAGCTGAAACTTGGCTGAAATTGGGTCATGCAACAGGACAAGGATCCCAAGCACACCAGCAAATGTACAACAGAATTGCTGAAAAAGAACAGAACCAAGGTGTTGCAATGGCCCAGTCAAAACCCAGACGTCAATCCAATTGAAATACTGCGTGGGACCTTCAGAGAGCTGTGCATACAGAAATGCCAGCAAACCTCAATGAACGGAAGCAACACTGTGAAGGACGTGCCAAAATTCCTCCACAATGATGTGAGAGGCTAATAAAGTCCTGCAGAAAACAATTACTTCATGTTATCGCTGCTCAAGGTGGTTCTACAAGCTATTGAATCATAAGATGTACAAATGCTTTTTCACACACAGCTTTTCCATTTTGGCTTTATTTCTGTTAAATACATCAATGAGACGGTGTAATACATCGTGTGTTGCCCTTCATCTGAGGTTGTATTTAGCTAACTCTAAGACCTGCCAAGAAACAGATGAGTTCGTTATGACTTCACATGCAACACCACAGAATTCAAATTCTTTTTCCCATGACTGTATGCGCTTACTTACAGCTACATTAATAGGAAACCAAGAAATGAGGGAAACGCATGGTGGCTTTCTTTTGCTGCCGCCCACTCCGCCTAAACCTGCAATCCTATACAGAGCCCGGCTCTTTTCAGCCCACTGAGGCTCAGTGTGTTACGCGCGCCTAACCCAGCACAGCGCCAGGCTGAGCCAGCACGTAACCTCGCGCTTCCCGCCTGTTGCTTCAGCTTCCGCCCGCGCCTGGTCCCATGGCAACCGCTCCGCCTCCACCCACCCACCTACCTACAGGAAGTGCAGCAGTTCGGGCTCCGGACGTTTCCGGTGCCGCTCTCTCCCTCCCAGGCTGTGCGTTTCGTCTGCGCCGGAGGCTTTCCGTGGCGCTTCTCGCCTCCTGACCCCGGTGAGTGAGGAACCTCTTGCTCGGGAGGCGGGGAAGGCGAAGCGGCGCCTGGAGCCGCTGGACACTTGCTTCAGGAGACACCCGGAGCTCGGCTGCTGTCCCGGAAGGCCTGAGTGCCGGGGGCTCCTCCGTTCCCACGGTAGCTGCTCCGCACGTGTCCGCGGAAGTGAACATGCCCAGGTCGGGGTTGGGTGAGATCCCGGGCGGAGACCCTGCAGACTTCAGGCTTGTTGTCGGATCTATTTCGGGTTTATTATTATTATTACCCTGGGGTGTTTCTGAGCCTTTGCTGAGTCCCCGGAATTTTTGGTCAATGCCAGAACCAGGTTCGCAAGTCATAAATCATGGTGGTCGTTTCCCACCCTGTCGCTTTAAAGCAGTCTTATTTATAGTAGGGAGAAGGATGCTAAGCCACTGCTGCCTTGCAGCTATAACTCGTTCCTCGAGAAAACCCGAGGATAAATCTGTACCCGCTGTCTTGCAGGACATCTTTGGGAGAAGAGAAGGCTAAGGCTACACAAAACCCCAAATGGTGTCCCTAAGACAGTTGGATGGCGCTTTGTACTCCTCCTTATGGCAACTCCTGCAGCCAAGCTTGTGCCAAATGTATTGCTCTGCTTTCCTTTGGACCACATCAGTGAGGCCAAGAGGGGGATTTGTTGTCTGGGCAGCCAAGGACCTCCATACACATTGCCCAAGCTTGCGCCCTGGAGAGGTCAGTTCAGTGCTGCTAATGCAGCAAAAACAATGCGGGAGGCAGCCATAACAAGTTACCCGTCTCCACAGCCACAGTAGGCACTGTGATTCTCCAACTGTTGAACTTAAGCCTTGGAAATCCACTCCACTGTCTCTGGACAGACAGATGACAACAATTTAGGGAAGGATCTGTGGGTTAGCATTTTCTAGCTTATGGGTGGGCACTAGCAACCCTTGCCCATCTGTTTCAAGTCATCTAGATCTACTTGCCAGTAGATCGCACTCTTAATTTCTGCCCGTCACTTTGTCTCCAGTTGGTCTCCAGTTCCCCTCAGACTGGGAACTGAAAGGGTAAAGACTGGATCTGAGGCACTGCCCAGAGGGGAATAAAAGGAGGCCTGATTCTGTTCTCTGCTTATCCCCCCCCCCAATGTTGTGGACTACAACTCCTATCAGCCCCAGCTAGCACAGCTGTGCTGATCTAAACAAATAGAAATGCTTATTCAGTTCTGGGTCCACCTCATTAATCAAGGCTGAACCTAATCCAGTCATGTGAACGTAACATCTTTTAAATCTCATAGGAAGTCATGACCAGGTGGGCACGAGCAAATGTCACCCACAACAAGAAGGCTCTGGATGCAACACCATGGGAAAATATGAAAAATGATGCCACCGGAAGTGCAACAACAGATAGAAAGCAAAGCTCTTCAGACAACTTTTCCTTGAGAAGTACTCAAGGGAAGAAGAAAAATAAGAAGAAAAAAGACTATACGAATGAAGATGTCAACGGTTTTATGGAATATTTAAAACAGAACTCTCAGACATTGCATAAAGGAGAGGTGATCAACAGCCGTGAAGCAAAGGATGAAATAGCAACAGCTTTGAAAAAGGACCGGCGGCGAGAGGGGAGAAGAGTGAAAAGGCAGGAAATGAAAAAGAACACAATGGTAAGGTGATGTTCCATTGTTATTTCTTTCTTTTGGTGCCCGTTACTTTTTCTATTCATAGTGCAAATGACACTACTCAGTCACATAAGTGAGATCACAATAATTTGTCTCAGTCCAGATAACTATTAGTGAACACGTTTGTGTCTTGGCTTCCGTTTATTATGGAGCATGCTTTAGCACAGGGATGGGGAACTTATGGCCCTACAGATATAGTTGGACTCAAACTCCCATCAGCCTCAGCCCATCATCTGAAGGGCCACAGGTTCCCCACTTTAGTGAAAATAGGTTTTCTCCTCATGTTGCAGTCTTTTGTGTACACAGCACAACTTTATCTACTTGTAAAAAGCTTGTTTCTGAATTAGATTGGCGGTTTCTGGATCTGCATGTATGTTTAGTGCTCAGATGTTCTTTAATGTTTTAACAGACTTTGTTTTGCTTTGAATATTCAAAATTATTAAAGCTGAACTAGAAATTTATGTTTGTTCTGCTATAATTAAATGTTTTGTTATACTTACCGTATTTTTCGCTCCATAGGACGCACTTTTTCCCCTCCAAAAATGAAGGGGAAATGTGTGTGCGTCCTATGGAGCGAATGCAGGCTTTCGCTGAAGCCTGGAGAGCGAGAGGCATCGGTGCGCACCGACCCCTCTCGCTCTCCAGGCTTCAGGAAGCTATCCGCAAGCCTTGCACGCCCGGCAGGAGGTCCCGCCGAGCGCGGGAGGCTTGGGGCGGCAGCCTGTCGCCCGAAGCACAGGGAGCCCTCCGGAGGGCTCCCGTGCTTGGGCAGTGTCTGCAAGCCTTGCGCGCCCGGCAGGAGGCCCCGCCCAGCGCGCAAGGCTTGGGGTGGCAGCTTGTCGCCCGAAGCACGGGAGCCCTCCGGAGGGCTCCCTTGCTTCGGGCGAGTGTCTGCAAGCCTTGCGCGCCCGGCGGGAGGTCCCGCCCAGCGCGCAAGGCTTGGGGCTGCAGCTTGTCGCCCGAAGCACGGGGAGCCGACGGAGGGCTCCCCTTCCTTCGGGCGAGTGTCTGCAAGCCTTGCGCGCCCGGCGGGAGGTCCCGCCCAGCGCGCAAGGCTTGGGGCTGCAGCTTGTCGCCCGAGCACGGGGAGCCCTCCGGAGGGCTCCCTTGCTTGGGCGAGTGTCTGCAAGCCTTGCGCGCCCGGCGGGAGGTCCCGCCCAGCGCGCAAGGCTTGGGGCTGCAGCTTGTCGCCCGAAGCACGGGAGCCCTCCGGAGGGCTCCCTTGCTTCGGGCGAGTGTCTGCAAGCCTTGCGCGCCCGGCGGGAGGTCCCGCCCAGCGCGCAAGGCTTGGGGCTGCAGCTTGTCGCCCGAGCACGGGAGCCCTCCGGAGGGCTCCCGTGCTTCGGCGAGTGTCTGCAAGCCTTGCGCGCCCGGCGGGAGGTCCCGCCGGCGCGCAAGGCTGGGGCTGCAGCTTGTCGCCCGAAGCACGGGAGCCCTCCGGAGGGCTCCCCGTGCTTGGAGTGTCTGCAAGCCTCGCGCGCGAGCTTGGGGCGGTAGCCTGCAGCCCGGCGCACGCGAGGCTTGGGGCGGCAGCCGCGGGGGGATTTTTTATTCATTCCCCCAAAAAACGAGGTGCGTCCTATGGACCGGTGCGTCCTATAGAACGAAAAATACGGTAAATGTTCATGAGCTGAGGAAGTTTGTATTTCTATTACTGTAGTCAGCACTCTCAATTTTTGTTGTGTCTTTATTCTCTCTTTTATAGCAGAGTGATAATTCAGTCATCCTACAGATTGTAGGGATGGGAAATAAAATACTGATAAATGAAAGTTATGAGTTTTATGCACAATAGTAATGCTTTCTATAGCAGTTTTCATCTACAGATTACATTACAACTGATACAAATGCAGAATCAATTTATGCAGTTCAGATCACAGTAAGAGAGCTGTAAAAGCAGCTGTCTATAGAGAAAATCACTCATGAGGACTTTCAGAAGTCATGCACAGCAGGGAGAAACCAAATTCTTTATTTTATGTTTCTTTACAGCCCCTGTGTGTTAGGTTAGGTTTATAAAGAGTGATGGTACTTATAATCCAATAGTTTAGTTATGCTACTTCACTGGGCATGATTATATTCTGGAGCAATATCACCTTTCCAGAATTCACAAAGCATTTAGGGGATGATTATGATGTAGAATTTGGTACTCTTGACATCAGTTTATAGAGTCATTTAATGGGCACGTATACTTTGGCTACCCATTTCAGTGTAATTTTCTGGAGTGATAAATCCATAAGCTAGCTCCTACTCAAGGTTAAATAGATAAATGTGTGTAATTTGTTGTGCTTAAGTATGGTTTGTGGAACTGCTTTCAAATGGGGTTCCATGGGTGTCTCGGGTTATACTTAGTGCTAGAAAAAGGGTGATGTCATTGAATGTTTAGGATTCTCAGCAAGAAGGTGTGTGCCTTTGGCTTTTCTCTGGATAGGTTACTCAAATACCATTGTTAAATGAGAGGCTTGGTGAGAAGAATGGCTTTGCTCTTCAGGAATCTTAACTTCAGATGAATGCCCAAATTAGACATGGTGTTAAACATATAGTGCAGTTCTTTAAAAATCCAAATTCCATCAGTTTGGGTGGTGCCATTAACCTGCATGTTAAATGCAAATGTTAACCCTAAAACACTGGGGCTGTGTTACTCTAAACTATGCATCACTGGCTGCTACTTCATCAGATCTCATTGGTTGTGTGTGGGGGGGGGTAAGATTCATTTGAAATGTGGCTAGCAGAAAAAGAGATTGCTTTCAGTTCATATCTCTTTCTGCTCACTTAGTAATTCACCTTGTATCGCCAAAGGTGTGCTTCCACTGCAGAAAGCCAGGACATGGTGTGGCAGATTGCCCAGCTGTACTCGAAAGCCAAGATATGGGAACTGGAATTTGTTACCGCTGTGGATCTACAGAGCATGAAATCAACAAATGCAGAGCAAAAATAGATCCTGCTCTTGGTATGTGTAGTATCTACAACCCGATTGAATGTTGGGCATGGTAAAAGTTACATGCCTGTCTTAATATTTTTCAACAATTCACATAGTATTAATGATTCTAACCATTCTAGATTACAGTAATGCTGGCTCACTGCAGTGTCTTATATAATATTAGTGTGGATATTTCGATTGTAACATCATTGAATTCTTACAGGTGAATTTCCATATGCAAAATGCTTCATTTGTGGTGAGATGGGACATCTCTCAAGGTCATGTCCCGATAATCCTAAAGGACTCTATGCTGAAGGTGAGAGCAACTGTTGCAAACCCCCCCTCCCCTACCAAAAAGATAACTAAGTTGATGGACATGAGAGTACTCCCCCTTTCTTAGTTCTAGAAATTAAATGAGAGAGCTTTATCATTGGTGACCTTGTATGCTTCTCACCATTGTTTGGGAATTTTGGCTCATTGTCAAAGACATTGTTCACCCCTTATCACGAGTATTTTTGTACTGGTTACTTGAGAAGCAGTTCTAAAATTCCAAATGGATTCCCATATAGGTTTTTCAAAGTATTTACATTTAATGGGGAGGGGACCCACTTAATTTTAGAGATACAGCAGAGTAGTATTCCATTATTCTCTTTAAATGTCGGCCATATTGATCCTGATCCAGAAAACCCGTAACACACCTATCTGTGCATGTACATATAGCATAGATTGTTATCAATTCCCCACCACATGCACACAAATCATAGCAACTGCAGTATCACACGCTACATCATGAAATGCATTAAAAAATAACTTGCTAAGTTCTTGAATGTCAGTTCAATCAAGTGTTTATATAGCTGATCAATCAACAAAGTATAAAATATCAATATAATATATATCTGGAAAGCTTAAGATAACCAAAGCTACCATTTGCAAGAGCAGTAACCGGAAATATCAAAATAATGAATCATTGGGTTGTGATTCATAGAACAATAGGAACTCATTGTCTCAATAGAATCAAACTTCTTGATAGGATCTCATTTCGTTGCTAATCAAGAAATTTGATTCTGTTTGTTTTAGCTTAAATTGAAACAATGGACATTTGGACTCTCTGTGTATATTATATATATAACTGCCAACTGAAATAACATTTGTGCATAAAAGTGTATGCTACAACAAATCTTGTTAGCCTGTTGTAGCAAAACCCGTGAAGAACCTTGTGGTCCCTTAAAACTAACACAGCTGCCCATCTTAATCAGCCTTATAGTTTTGATGTGATGGAGCTCAAAAATACTAATAGTGAGTTTTGCTTCCTTGTGTTTATGAATTGTAAACTTGCTCTGTACACTTGACATCTGGCATTTGTTAATATAATTCATATACTGTGGTTAAATACTTCTTTTGTGTGGGTGTGTTTTATCTTCTACAGGAGGTGCTTGCAGGATCTGTGGATCTGTTGAGCACTTTAAAAAAGATTGTCCAGAGAATCAAAATGCAGGTGAGGGATAAAATAATTTCTGTTTATCCTAAAGCGTAGTTATATACCTGTGAACCATTCTATATAAATTGTGAACTTGACTACTGATTATGAGTTATAAAACGAGTGGTACAACCCTCAATTTCACCTTACTGACCACATCTTTAAACAGGCCATTAACTGGGGGTGTAATGCTAACTCTACATAGTGCATCGACTGTTGCAGGTAGAGATTGCATTCATTTTGATACACTTAATTTCTGTATGGCTGATACGAAGCAAGTGACATACAGAATTGAATAATCAGTTTCAGTGTTATACTGCATTGGAATTTGCAACTTGTTGCTGTCAGAAAGTCTTGTACAAAACCTCCATTGGTTTCATTGAGACTTATTTTGGAGTAAAGAGCATAAACTGCATAAACTGTAAAACTGCAATGCTGAATTACATATAAGTATTCCTCAGCATTTGGATCAGAAGGCTGATTTCTTAAGTATTCATTTATTTTTCCTTTCCTAGATCGAGTGGCAACTGTTGGTCGATGGCTCAAAGGAATGAGTGCAGATTACCAAGAGGTTTTAGACAGCCCTAAACCGCAAAAACCAAAACCAAAAATAGCTAAAGTTGTTAACTTCTGACAACTGCTGTCTGGCATCATTCTTTACAATTGTCAGTGTTTGGCTTAAAGTTATAGTACTAAAAATGGACTGTGAACTGTAGTTCCAGAATAAGCCATAACTGCACTTTCCTAAGTGATGATCACTTATAAAACCCTAACTTAAATGGAAGCTTCCTAGAGAAGAGAGGAAATGCTTTGTCAGAAGATAAATTGCAGCAAGTGACTGCATAACAGTATATCTCTGAACAGAAAGTTAATCTATGCAATTGCTGGTTTTCCAACCAGCGTGTCACTGGGTAATATAACATGTTACTCAGTGGAGAGTAGTGATACCAATAAACAAATGGGAAGGAAAGCTAATAGGTCAATCTGCTTTTCGTAAATGAAACTTGTGCGACGACAGAAGGTATCTCAAAATGAAACTGAGTCTTATTTTAGCGTTGAGGTTCTTGACCTCACCCTGAACACGGGAATGAGACCACAGACGAATAGCCAAAAGCAAAGTTAAAACATTGGTGGTAGCAGGGTTGATCTTGCAGACTGAACAACAATGAAATGATTGTATGTTTTTTTTTAGTTGAATTAAATACTTGATGAAGCCAGTTCCCTCCCCCACAAATAAACCAGTGTAATAAAACCACATGTATCAAGTTCTTGAGTTTTCTGAATAATTGTATTCTTTGCAGTGTTATAGTTTGCAATTTCATTTATGTTAACTACTTGCTGTCTGCTGTGACATCTGGATAATCACAGATTTAGTCTTTAACTACCATTCTCTCCTTACAAATTACTTACACTTCAACAGTTCCAAAGTGTATTTCCCGGATGATCTGTTAATGGCACTGCCCATGTGGCTTCTGGAAGAACTTTTCTCAGCGATATCAGTTTTCTTTTACTTTGGAGAAGCAGGAATGGTTAGCGAGTGGAGAGTGGCCATTTGCAAGATGCGCATAGCATTTTGAGAAACAGCTGTAGCTCAGGTTAGAGCACATATTTGCGTGCAAGATTCAGTGATAGAACAGCACTGAAGGAAGACTGTGCTTCTTGAAATGTTGTCTTCGGGCCCCCAATTCAGTTCCTACTAAAATCTACTGGAATTCTGTCTGTTTTAGTTATTCATTGCTTTTCTGAGAAGTTCAATAACAAAATACCATTTAAAACCCAATACAGGTTGATTTTAGTTATAATAAATAACGAGATGCTTATACAGCCATAAATCTAAATTAGCATAACACTCATAGTTTTAATTATTTAATTCAAGGGTGTATGTTGATATGACTAAAATGTATACACTAGCTCCTTTTGAAAGCAGTATCAAGTAGTTTAAAATAGCATAGGACACCTATATATTCACATGCTGCCCCATTGTGCAAGCAGGAAAACAACCTAGGCAGCCGCAGTAAATCATTATGGTTAATGGCTTCTAAACAAGTCAGGATCGATAAGCCAAGTTTTAACTATGGCATCCTACTCTTGTGCAGAGGGAAGAGCAAAGGAGCTGCATGAAAGCACATGGAGCTCATGCATGCCCTTACTAAGCCAGGACTTAATAGTTCAAATACAACCTTGGCCTACACACAGTACCTGTGTTTGCAACTACAAGAAACGGGAAACACAACCTGACATTCTCAGGATTCTGAAATCAGTGCTTATTACAGAGTGTCATGTGTGCATTATGTAACTGCAAAATCATGAATAACAAATACGGCTGTTAGGATAATTATTTACAATAGAAATTTAAATTTACTTACAATGAGATTTTTAAAATAAAAAATCAGTATTTTAAATTGTGTGCAGTAATATGTATTGCTTTGACAAGTTTTCTGAGGACTCCAAAAGAACAATGAAATGTTGGTGAAAGATGGCTTAACTTAGTTACTAAATTTATCATTAAATAGCTCCGTCGTATGATGATGTAGAACATTGTAATGATTTAGATATACAGGTCCTGAATATAAAAGTATGTAGGAACTGACTTGCCAGCTTGATAAATATTGGTGTTAATGACAGCTTGTGTACAAGATATAAAGAATGTTAAAGTACTTGACACAGTATTGCTTAACTAAGTGCAGTCCATTGTGCTGCTCTGTAACTCCAAGAAATGAATGCACCCAGAAGCTGTATCCTCAATTGATTTTGATGAGCCATCAAGAGTTGCAGCAACATAAGGCATAACACCAGGTGTTCCTTGGATGTAGTAGGAAACCTTTAAACATATAGAAGGTTAACATGAGTTATGTGAAATAACCACTAAAAACATCTAGTTCTACTTCATACTCAACAACTTGGGCTTCATTCTTAACACTATTTCAGTGTATCACTTCTTGCTGGTCAGAGCAGTATGAATATGCAAGAACGTTTCAATTGCTTTCTGTGTCGGCCTCCCAGATAGCATAGGAAAAACCTATGTTGGTGCTTCAAGCCACAACACAAGTGCAGATAGCACTGGCAGGCATGACTCTGTCATCTGGATTAACAGGGAAAGATTACTGAAGTGACCTTGCACCCAAAAGTAAGCCCTGAGGCCCTGTGGAAGCTAAGTAAGTCTGGGTCTCATTGGTGCCTGGGTGGTTGACTCACGGCAGCAATGGGAGGCAGTGGCAGTAGCGGCTTGCAAGGACTCACAGCAGTGATGGGAGTTGGTGGCAGCAACAGCAGCGGCCTGCAAGGCCGTGACAGGGAGTGATGGCAGCAGTAACGGCATTGGCCTGCGAGGTCTTACAGTGGCAACAAGATTCAGCAGCAGAAGCGGTGGTGGCCTGTGAGTCCTCATGGCAGAGGCCTGTGGGGACTCGCGGCAGTGACAGGAAGTGACGGCAGTAGCGGCATCCTGAAAGGCCTTGTGGTGGCAACAGAAAGTGGTAGCAATAGTAGTGGCAGCCTGCAAGGCCTCGTGGTGGCACAAGCAGTGGGGCTTGCGAGACCTCGCCGTGGTGGGAAGAAGTGGCCGCGGCCTGCAATTCCTGGCGGTGGTAGAAGCTGTGGCAGCCTGCTGAGGCCTGCTACTGCCGCCTAGCAGGCCTGCTGGCAGTCCCAGATTATTTGTATTCACTATGACTCATCACCATACTTTGGATTGTCCTGAGTACCACCATTTGGTAGCCAAGCCCAACCCTTAAGTAGTAGCAGTTGCCAGCGCATTGTCCTGTTCGCCTCTGCATCGTTCCTTCCTTTTTTCAGATACCATGATATATCAACATATTGCGATGTTTAGGTGGCGATATAGCACGATATTGAAAACCAGTTATCATGCAGCCCTACATATCACAAAGAAAGGCAGAGTAAAGGGAGTAAAGCACATAAAAGAACTGTATTTAATTACAATGCTGCTTACAAAAGAGGAGTTTCCATCAGGGTAGATCAGGAATCCCGCACACTGGATTTCACGCCTGCAGTAATTCTCAGAAGATGGAACAGAAGTCAAGGCAACTGACCTCACAGCTACTATGTAAGGGTCTCTAAATTTAATAAGAGTAGTGTTATCAACAAGCCACAACAAAAATCTAAGCTGTCTAAAATGCTCTTGTACAGCTACTGTACTGGTCACAAGACATTAGTTGCTCAGTTTTATATTTTTATGTGCAGGGGGAGGGTTGTTAAAACCTCGTGCCTTAACCCTGCACTGCATGGGAGGTTAATACATTTCTTTGTTTATGTAGCACACAATATAGTAACGAAGTAGTGATATGCAATGATTTATGGTGAGTGGAAGGGGCTGGGGAGAAGTAGGAAGATGGCTCTCTCCATCTGCCCCTTCACCCTTACCATTGTTTTTCTTCTCTCTGCTTCTACATGCCTTCCACAGTAGGACCCATTGTGAACTCGTTCCCAGAAGCAGTGGCAGACTTTGAGCTTTAAAATTTCAGTGGGCGCCCTGTGCAACACCAAATTCAGTCCCCCTTGTCTCTTGCCCTCAGTGGTTCATCATTGTTGCAGTGCCCCCTGCGGCGACCTGTCCGCTTGGCGCCCAGTGTGGGAGAACCAGTCGCGCTCCCCTAAATCCGCCTCTGCCTGAAAGTATCTAATTGCTGTTGCTGCAAAGACATTTGCTCTTGGGGCTCAGCAACCTTGCAGACAGGCAGCAACAACACCCTGTGTAAACCATCACCATGTAAATAGTTCACTGATCCACCCAATAGTGAAATTTCCCCTTTCAGGAGAATATCTGTGTCCCATCACAGAGAAAGTGGGACCAAAGAGAGAGAATTTTGGTGCTGCAGTACTATGCTAGCAAGCCCCACTGATCAGCTGATTCTCCACACAGGCAAAAGTGGGTTACTTGACAAGCTTGTGAAACTTAACTCAGAGACGGAGAGGCCAGTTCTTCACCCCCGGTGTAGGGGGTGTTGCACAAATGGCCTTTCACACATGTACCTTTGCCTTCAGTCTTTACAAAGCAGTTTTTGCTATTTCCAGAGTTTCTGTGTAATTAAGACACCCCACATTTTGCAAGAAATAATTATTTCATCCAAACTCACAGCATATAATTATTTTTGGGTGTGTGGGTCCTGTTACTTTATTGTAGAAAGCTTGAAATTTACCTGACACTAAATGGGCATGCTTTCAACTACTTACCCAGTCTTGCAAGGCTTTCTTTGAGACACGAGAATTAAAAAATCATCTGGCTTATTTCCATTAATTGATATGGATGTAATGTGATATATTTTGTCCTCTTGGGTCACATTCTGGATAATCTTACACGTTCTGTAAGAACATGAGCCATACATTAGTGAAGTTTAGTAGCTGAGGTATCATGTAAAACATGAATTAAAGGATATGTTCTTTATAATCTAAATTGTGACTAGGAATGTGCAGCTTTCGTTTCAGATTAAATAACTGTTACACATGACTTCATTTTTTTCAGTAAACATTTAAACCAAACAGAACGGCAAAAAGAAGCAACATGGGAAAAGTGATTGCTCACTCCAAGTTCAGCTTAAACCTGCATCTATTAAAACTGTATCTAACCAGCTCTGCCTCTTCTTCCTCCCTTGCTCCACTTTCAAGTGCCATGCTGACAAAACTTTTGAAGATAAAAATAACATGCTTTATTAATGCAGTAAAATGAGAAAGTCAATGTTAACCATTTCTGCCTACTAATTACATAATTCTTCACCTGTTTCCCAGTGCAGCTTGTTTAGGGCTGCAGCCCGTTACTTTTCAACATACAACACTATGCAAAATAGGAGCACATTTAATCATTTTGAAATCTAAGAGGTAGGATATATTTGGGCCAGTTCAACACTTTCACTGCTGACAAGGCATATCTTTATTAAAAAGCATATCTTTACAGAACTATTTCCTTGTCCAACTAACATGGTTAAAGTACCTTTTTCTAAAGACAATGGCCACATCTATACTATACATTTAGATCTATGATACCAGTTTAATAGTCATGTCTTCTCCAAAAGAGTTGTTAGGAGATGCCTATTCCCATCACAGAGCAACAATACCCAGAGTTCTCTGGGAAGAGGGACTGAGTGTTAAACCACTCTGAGAATGTCAAGCCATACTCCTCCCTAGTTGTTTTGCTGCTGGCCATGCTGAGCTAAACCGTCACTTGGCTTAGCACTATGGTTTCCAACGCAGGACACCCCCCCCCCACAGGGGGGCAATTTGATTTTTTGGGGGGGGGGGGCAATTCGAGAATGCGTTACATTGGTACCTCGGGTTAAGTACTTAATTCGTTCCGGAGGTCCGTACTTAACCTGAAACTGTTCTTAACCTGAAGCACTACTTTAGCTAATGGGGCCTCCTGCTGCCACCGCGCCGCCGGAGCACGATTTCTGTTCTTATCCTGAAGCAAAGTTCTTAACCTGAAGCACTATTTCTGGGTTAGCGGAGTCTGTAACCTGAAGCGTATGTAACCTGAAGGGTATGTAACCCGAGGTACCACTGTATTAAAGTTAATGGCCTTTTAGGCTTCTTCCACGTGAATAGGAGTGGAAGAAGCCTAAAAGGCCATTAACTTTAATACAGGAGAATTATATGTCATGGGGGGGGGGGATCAGGATTTTAAAGACACCCAGGTGGGGCATGGCCAAAAATGGTTGGGAACCCCCTGCTTAGCATGTCATCTGAATCCAGGCTCATGCTTTAGCTCTCTCCAGACTATCTATGAGTTGTAACAAACCTTGGCTACAAAAGCTTATAAAAGCCATTGTGTATTTTACTTGAAACTTCTTCATTGTCCTACTGAATATTAAGGAAATCATTTTGACAGATCGCTTTGGTCTATGAAGGCAAAATCTACTTCAACCAGATCATGAGAGTGGATATGGACTTTAAAAGGAAAATATATATATGCTTACGAATAGTGTTTAACCCAGTGCACATGATGTCTGAAGTCAGATAAGAGGGAGAATGCTAGTTCTGAAGATATCCGCACTTGCATTTCAACCTTGACTGACAAAGCATCTGTCTCCTCAAGAGTAAACATTTTTATCTAAAAAAAGTATTTTTTATTACATGGGGAGAGAGAGAGAATTATGGATGAAGATTAATAACATTGGTAGGTCCTTTAGCTTCCAAAATCAAATACGCAGGAAAGTATGGGTCATAACTTTAAACAGTATCAGCCATACAACATTATAAAAGTTTCTAGGAGAATCCTGCTTACTTTAATGGAATAGAACAGTGGTTCCCAATTAGCTATGTGCTGCAGTCCCCCCCGTTTTTCAAAATCCCATTCATGGACCCCTTACTTTAGAAAATATTGGTCTCTCTATGGTAGTTTTTGTTATGTGAATGGTGCCACAGACCCCCTGGGTGGATTACGCGGACCACCAATTGGGAACCACTGGAAGAGAACACTCTAAGAGAATATTGCTATAATTTTACAGTGCAATCCTACTCCCTCAATGTTGATGGCTGGAGGGGGTGGGGGCAGGATACTCCATAGGTGGAGAAGCATGTTGCTGGTGGGGGGGGTGTTCCTTCACAATGGAAGCCCCAGTGCACCCTGTAGGGTAGGAAACCAGTAAAAAGGTAAACGTAAAGGGACCCCTGACCATCAGGTCCAGTCGTGGCCAACTCTGGGGTTGCGGCGCGCATCTCGCTCTATAGGCTGAGGGAGCCGGCGTACAGCTTCTGGGTCATGTGGCCAGCATGACTAAGCCGCTTCTGGCAAACCAGAGCAGCGCACAGAAACGCCGTTTACCTTCCCACCATATTTATCTACTTGCACTTTGACATGCTTTCAAACTGCTAGGTTGGCAGGAGCAGGGACCAAGCAACGGGAGCTCACCCCGTCGCGGGGATTTGGACCGTCAACCTTCCGATTGGCAAGTCCTAGGCTCTGTGGTTTAACCCACAGTGCCACCCGCGTCCCAAAACGGACTGTTTTAGCACATATTGTTAGCAGTTTTTGATCAGATATGTTAACTCCAAAACCTCTTGGATCACATAAGAGGCCCAGCTGGAGATGGTGCAGCAATTTTTTTAGGAAAAACGGCCCCCCACCTTCTTCGCTGGCCAGTGTGAGCTGGCGGGGTTTCGGATGTGGTGATCCACTCCGATCCATTTTGCTTTTCGCGGGCTGGGGTTAGGATTGCTATGCCCGTTAAGTTTCAGCGATGAACAGAGTGGATATAGCTAGAGATATAAAGAATAAAAGCAAAGAGGAGCTAAATTATGCAAGGAAAAGAGACAAACTGGACTTAGGAGCTGTGACAGTAGATTTGATCTATCAGTTTTGCTGTAGGCAGAAGGAGCATAATAGTGGCCGGGCTATTGATATAAGTGGTTCTAGATATGATCATCTGAAGGAATATCTCAAAAATACTTTGACCCACATTAACCTGTTTGATCCTTGAGAAGCCTGTTCCGTGTTGCCCAGACATCTGAAGTATATAGATTGGGCATGGCAGACAGGACCTTTCCTCTGGGATAGGCAAAAAAAAAGCAAAAAAAAAAAGCAACATATCTGCCAAAGGAAGCCTGCCTGGCCCTACTACTGCTCACATTTTGACGAAAAATTAAAATGTTTTGTTTGTTTGTTTATTTGTTTGCAACAGGCTTTTTGGGGTACTGCTTCTTCTTTTTTTAATGACTGCTGGCTTAATTTATACAATGTTTGAAATATTTCTTGAATTGCTTTTTTGCTGCCTTGCTTTTTTTGTATAGTTGCAAGGAAATGCTGAAAGTATTGTTATTATTCATCTACTTGAAGAAGAAAAAATTGGGACTCATGTTTTATATCAATACTGTATACTGTTACTTCCAATTGATTCATAAAAATACTATATAATGTTTATCTATTCCAAACAGAGGTCAGACATCGGTTATCCAAAAGCACAAATCATTTCAGGTTAGTTTTACTGGGAAACTGTCACAACTGAGAATATGTGTTTCTTTCTCAACCGACCAGACTCAAAATCTTCAGCAGAAAAAAACCAATGTCACATGAATAGTCACATGATCCATGTGAACAATTTGACATTCAAAGCGTGTCTTCTAGCAGCATACTAATTAGCAGTCATAGAAAGGGGGAGAAGGGAGTTAGTTAAAAATGTACATTTTGATTTCGAAGAGGAAGCAGACAAATAATTTTAACAGTTTTAGAAAATACCTTAACAGCTGCAGCTTTTAAATTGCAGAAATGTAGAGGACAGTGTCTGAGATAAAATTAATGACACATAATTACTTTGTAGACTAAAAGGTCTCATTGTATTGGGACTTTCCATTCATATTAATTCTTTGAATTGGTAGGGAATTGTGTGTGTCTCCTGCACAATTGAGTACTTACGTAGTCCAGGCTAGTGCTAATCATTTCCCATCCAGGCTTTGCTGCCAGAACAGTCAATGCTGTAACATTGCTTTCGATTTTGTCTGCCTAAAACACAAAGCAAGGTAGTAACCAATGAGGGAAAATGTACAAGGCACAGAAATTCCTATAATTTCTGGAATTTGGTTGCAAAACAAATATTGTGTTCTCTCTCTCTCTCCTCTTGAAAAAGACAGTGTCTGAACTGAACCTTTTCAACAGTAGGAGTATAACTCTCATGATGATCAAGGTCATTCTGTTTAAAGGAGACTAATTTGTGGTTGTGTACACGTCATGTGTAAAAAGCATATGCCTTTTCTCAAAGAATTCTGGGAACTGTAGTTGGTTAATTCTGTGAGATTTAAACTACGGTTCCCAGAATTGTATGTGTGTGCTTTAAATGCATTGTGTGTATACAGCTATGTTTCACTGATCAATTAAACCAGGAGTAGACAGCCTATGATCCTTGCCCTAATTCCCATGTGTGGCAAGGAAAGGAAAGATGAGGAGGAAGGGTTGTGGTGGCAGGAAAAAAGAGGAAAAAGGAGTGGTCTGGTCCCACTTAATGCCAGTATATGGCCAAATTTCTGTGACTTGTTATAGGAAATATCCCAGATATTCTCCTACAATTATGATTATAATTAAATATCAGGAGACAGTAAACAAAGAAAAATACAATCATCTTACACCCAATTTTTGACAATCAGGGCCATACACTTAATCCCTTAATGTATATTATATATGCAAATGTTACTGATGTTACCTGATTGCCTCTGTCCCAGAAATCAAGTGTGCAATTGTTTGCCGGGTTCAAAAGAATGTATTTCCTGTAGTTGATACAATGCGGAAAGAAGGCCAAAAGTAAGCTTAGGAAATCCTCAGGGGGGGAATTCATTGTTGAGCGATTTGATTGTGCAGTCAGCGCAAGCATGCTGCAGCTAGCAAATGCTTAGTTCTTATAATTTGCAACAATCAGAACTAGGGTTGCCAGGTCCTTGTCTGGAGATTTGCCAGGTGTAGTTAACTAAAATTCAAAGATAACCATTGTGCGGATGACAGAGGGGATGGGAACAGGTTCACATAAACTAGCCCCGCCCTTGACCTTGTGATGGTTGGCTCTTTTGTACATATAAGCTATAAATGCATAGACTCCACATATGCAATCTGCGTCCTGCAAAACTAGGGTTGTATCAAATTTAATTATACTCGGACTCTTCTTCTTTGGCGATCACTCGTAGCTGAGTAAGCTTGTCTTCCATGAACACGGTCTTAACAGTGAGTCCAATTTTGGATCCTTCCACAGTGGGGGCATAGGTTTCCGGGTGAGAGTTGATCAAGGTGAGGATTTGCCAACTGTGCCATCCTCATAGGACGTTTTTCACTTTCATTCTGAGTTCAAGCGTCTTCAAAGTCCACGTTACAGGTAGGTAGCCGTGTTGGTCTGCTGTAGTTGAAACAAAATTAAAAAATTCCTTCCAGTAGCACCTTAGAGACCAACTAAGTTTGTTATTGGTATGAGCTTTCATGTGCATGCACACTTCTTCAGATACACTGAAACAGAAGTCACCAGACCATGACACCTTTGGTAAAGACTGTTCTCCAATTAGAACGCCCGCAGACCAATGTTTCCCAATTGTCGGTGTTTATACTACATTTTTTTAGATTTGCCTTGAGAAAGTCTATAAACCTCTTTGTTGACCACCAGAATTACGCTTTCCATTTTTAAGTTCAGAATAGAGTAGTTGCTTTGGAAGACTATAATCAGGCATCTGAACAACATGACCAGTCCAACGAAGTTGATGTTGAAGAATCATTGCTTTGACACGTGATCTTTGCTTCTTCCAGTACACTGACATTAGTTCACCTGTCTTCCCAAGTGATATGTATTTTTTTTTCCAGAGATGCCATTGATGGAATCTTTTGAGGAGATGGAGAAGGCGTTTTAAGTGGTCCATGTTTCACAAGCATACAGTAAGGTTGGTAGTGCAATAGCTTTGTTAACATGCATTTTGGTTTCCCTGCGAATGTCCCAATCAAACACTCTGCACTTCAGTCAGGAGAAAGCTGCACTTACAGAGCTCAGGCAATGCTGGATTTTGGCATCAGTGTCGGCTCTTGTGGAAAGATAACTGCCCAGGTAGGAGAAGTGATCAACAAATAGATCCACTGGAATTAATGGACTTAAATTGGCCATGAGTATGGTTGATGTTGGTTACAACCCTAGTTATCTACAAGGGGTTCTTAAATGCTCTAAGGCACTGAGATAGGACACAGGCACTTTACTTCCCAATTTTTCCTCCACCAGCATGGGAAAAAATTACCCAGCATAACACTTAAGGTAGGAGACAAGAGTTCCACCTGCTACTTTCTGTTATATTGCCTTGGAACATTAAAGCTGTCATCTCCAGACAAGGTGCAACAATCCTCCTCAAACATCAAATTGTTCATTAAAACAGACTTCTTTACCAGAGCTTATTAAACACAACATGTTATGGACATGCATGTCTGGAAAAAGTTAGGAAAAATCCTAACTATACCCTCACTCCCATAACAATCCCACATGGAGGAAGAGATTCCAGAATCTGTTGTGTTCAAAGCCGGATTTATATCCCATTACTGTACACCAAAATGATTTTGTGTACAATCTGTGAGGAACGTCTCATGCACTGATGTTTTCTGTTGACGTTTCACAAACCAAACATGATCAGCTCTACAATAGCAGCTGAGAAACAACATCAGCTGTACTGTTCATGGCATTTTAAACATTTATGCTGTCTTTGGGGCTTACTTACTGTACCTGGCTAATCTAATTTTCTTCCGTGCAATAGCTCCATGATATCGCCTTAAACCATCCTTTGCAATGAACAAAGCAAGAAAAAATAATAATTAGTTATAAATTTTACATTGTAGTTTTGCTAATTTTCAGAATAGCGGACAGATTGAATATAACAAGCTTTTTTTAAAGAGCATAACACAGACTTTACTGTGAAGCCAACCATCTAAATAAAATGTCTAAGTTAACTACAATACTGTCTGAAAAGTATCATTCTGGTTTTTCTTAGGATCACAAAACTACCACGAGTCCTTTTACCTGAGACTGGCAGAGTATTTCAGTCCTTGGCTATGAGTTCAATAATCGTCTTCTAGATGAAATATTAATCCAAAGCACTTTAGAATTAGTGCCCCTTATGGGACAAAAATGATTTATATATTTTTCATCTTACAAAACTCAAATAAATATTCACTTCTCCTACTGGTATACTATCCATTTCATAATTTCTAAATTAATAATCTGATTATCTTGTTTATGTATACAGTTGTTCTCTCACTATTTTTTTAAAGGTTCACCTTTGTAATAGATTTGACTCTGGGGAAGGTAATAAGTTCTCCATGTTCATTTACAGCATTAAAAATTAAAAAGGCACTGTTGATATGCCGAGCTTGGCCTTTGGCCCATTCCTCACAATTGAAGGCCTCAACACGAACTCCAACTTCAATGCTGAAAAAGAAGAGCTTTCAGTTAATTTAGCAGCTGGGGTGCGACAGATGCAGCATTGAATTACAGTATACAGAGAAGCTACAAGCTGGTTTTTTTTAAAGGAGGAAATAAATTATTATACCTGCCAGCTTATACAGGTGAGCCTAAGATCTATTGATCTAAATAGGGCATTTCTGTGCAGACATGCATGGGACTGGACTCTAAGGATCCAACCCTATGAATACTTTTATATTTCTTGATCTCTAAAGTACATCAGATGTTAGGCTCTCACACCAGATGTTATGACATGACATACAACTTCCTATTCTGTGATGAGATTTACTGATTTCCTTTTTTTTTTTTTTTTGGAAACCAACCAAAAAAGTTGGTTTCCAGGTGGAAAAATCAAAATTGGAAACAGAACTGTTAGATCCCAAAACTAAGAACTTGTCAAGAATGTATAACTTGCTGTTGAAATGGAATACTCAGGATGAAACGGTGAAATCAACTATGATTAAATGGGCACAAGATGTAGGACATAATATTATGATGGCTGACTGGGAACAGTTATGGACCACAGGTATGAAGTTTATGGCTTGTAATGCCCTAAGAGAGAATATAATGAAAATGATCTACAGGTGGTACATGACACCAGTCAAGCTTGCAAAAATATACCACTTGCCCGATAATAAATGTTGGAAATGTAAAGAGACTGAAGGCACATTTTTTCACCTTTGGTGGACGTGCCCAAGGATTAAGACATTCTGGGAGATGATTTACAATGAAATGAAAAAGGTATTTAAATATACCTTTCTGAAGAAACCAGAGGCCTTTCTCCTGGGCATGGTCGGCCAATTGGTGCCAAAAAAGGATAGAACTTTTTTTATGTATGCCACAACAGCAGCAAGAATACTCATCGCAAAGTATTGGAAGACACAAGATCTACCCACCCGGGAAGAATGGCAGATGAAGGTGATGGACTACATGGAACTGGTGGAAATGACTGGCAGAATCCGAGACCAGGGAGAAGAGTTGGTGGAAGAAGATTGGAAGAAATTTAAAGTTTATTTACAGAAACATTGCAAAATTAAGGAATGTTAGAAGGATGCTGGAATGAAATAATGCGGTTTTAGCAGAAATGCTATAAAGGATTAAGAAAAAATAGATTGCTAAATGGTGAAGGAGGGAAAGTAAAGTTACATTATATTAAGATAAAATAGAGGACAAAAACTGGAAAAGATGGAAAGGATTTGCTGAAATAGCTAATTGAACTAGAATACAAAAAAGGGAGGTGTGAGGAAGTCAAGGAAATAAGCAAATGAAAGATAAGTTATGGGAAGATTCATTGTATTTTTTCTTTTCTTTTCTTTTTTCTTTTTTTATTATTGTGATGTGATGTTTTGTATTTCTTTAATATGCTGTTTTTTTAATTTTTTCTTTTTGTAACCCTTTAAAATTCAATAAATATTATTTTTTTAAAAAAGAGATTTACTGATTTGCTTGGGTCTGTTACTACTGGGCTAGGATAACACATAATAACTGGTCAAAGGGAATGCGTATGAATAATGGAGCATACATACAAGAAACTACAATCTCCAGTTGTTGTACAATAAACAGAGGGGAAATATCTGAATATGAATTTTTAATACTTATGTTCTTGCTAGTGTAACACAGAATGGTATAATTTCAAACTACCAGGGCTTTTTTCCCCCACTTGGAACTCGCTGGAACTCAGTCTTGGCACCTCTCAGATGGGGACCATTGCCATTATAAGAGAACAAGTGAGGAGTTTGTGGTGACTTCTGGCACCTATTTTTTCTAGAAAAATAGCACTGCAGACTACATTTTAATTTTTATATTCTTTATGCAAATTGAAACTGAAGCATTTTAGACCACACAGTAGCATTAAGATAGAGACAAGCTTATTACCTTTTCTGAAAAGTATTGTTAACTATAGCATTGAAAACCAGGCGGTCACCAACTGTTGAAGGTCCCCGGAATTTAAACATATCTACAGATTTCAAAGTCGGATGCAGCCTACACAGGCGACTGAAGGAGGAAAAAGGAAAGCAAATTAAAATACATATATTATCGTGCTATTTCTTTTCATATCAATGCAACATTTCAGTATTTCTATGCAACAAACTAAGTCTATAAAATGGAAATTCCAAGTTTATAGCTTATACTGGTTTTAATAAAGGTTTGGGAGTAGAAACATTCTCTTCAGTTGGAACTTGAGCATTTGAGAATTGTGGTTTCCGGTATCTGTATCTATTATTTAAAGGGGGGGAGGGGGGACTGTTTGGCTTAGCTCTTCCATACATTAAGTGCTATTTTTCTTCATTCGTTCATTCATTTATTTGATGAATCATTTCCTATGAAACATCTCAAATCGCTTTACAGTATAATGAGGTATATAAGACAGTTACATATATAAAAACAGTTAAAAACAATTGAGTACAGAAACAATTTCTTTAAAAAATTATAAACACTGGTATTTCTTTGCCTGTTTTGTCTGCCTCTCAATATATTGCTGCCAAACACATCACGGGTGGAGGGATGAGGGTCTGTGCCAATGTTTGGGCACCAGGTGCCATTCTGAATCAAGGAGGCAGACCCAAATGTGACTTTGGTGTGACTGCACCCATTTGGGGGCATAGGTCTGGCCATCCCTCAAGGTATTGTTGCTGAACTCTGCGCAAAAGTTCTTGAGGTTAGTATATTCATTGAAGTTTGGACACTAAGTGCAATTTTGAATCGAGATGGTGAAATGAAACATGACTTTGTAGTGACTACACTTGATTTTTGATGTGATGGGTCCAAACTCAAAAAAAACTCCATTTTTTTCAAAAAACAAGGGTTTTTTTAGTTTCTAAAACAATCCCAGGCAGTGCTAGGCTCACTAGTCCCTATATATGAAAGGGGGGGAAATTAAGTCCTTGTGTGAGTTTATTTTAACAGCATGAATCTTTTAAAAAGAATATGCTGAGAATTAGGTATTGTTTTGTTGTGGTGGTGTTGTAGGGCTGAAATTTCTTCCTAACCTTTGCTTAGCTTAGAGATAATACTGTTTTGCACCATTATTTATCTTTAGCCTTAACTCAATTACCCTTTATAATGTACCAGAATTGTTAAGCGTGCACAATTATCTGTTTCTAATTAATTGAATTGTGCATCTTTATAATGCATTCAAATTACTTTGGTTTTCATTAGGAATAATTTGCTCCTCCTATTTAAATTGCTAAATATCTCATTTGCAATACAACAATAAAGATAGAAGCAGATTAATGTCAAGAACGGAGGTGTAAATGTGTAGATGAAGTTTGCAATCTTTTTTCACTGTTAGGCCTAAAAACCTGATATTATTTTGCTAGAAAGGTAAGCCCATATTTTTACAGACATGGTGTACCTGAAAGACCAAATCTCATTCTAGCAGATTGCTGTTGAGTTCAGCATCGACACTGCTTGGTTAGTATCACAGTATTTAAAGAGGATATATATATAAAAAACCCCGTCTGAGCATATATTCAGTTTGTTCTTTGAGTACTGCTTGCTTTTATAAACCTCATTCTCATTCCTTGTAAGCCTGTGGTCATAGCAACTCTAACTGGCACCTTCAAAGGTCAAATCTAATTGTAAGTTGTTTTACAAAAGCTTTGCAGCAAGGTCAGCTATTTGTCAAGCAAAATAGACAGGTCTCTGTCACTGTTTAGCACTGTTTCTCCTACATTTTGGCTCATCACTTTTAAGTGCAAAAAAGAAATATTTTCAGCGTCTGATGTGTTATTTTGCTGCAGCTAAACCCAACTTCCATTCTTCTGGACCAGATTTATTGCAGAGTTATTTGGGAACCATTTATAGATACAGATATATAAATGAGGTTGTGTGCTTACATATAAATGCCGCTCACTTGGGTCATTGGTGTTATGACCGTGTAAAACCTGTGACAGATTTGCAATTTTATTAAAATGAGCTGTTTATCCAGTAACAAAGGAAAGTCAGTTATTATTGGTATAACTTCAGGTTACAAATCAGAGCTACATGAATAATGAATGGGAATGACACATCCAGCACCCTGGCAATGAATCAGGCCCACTGGTGTGTGAAGGGAATTCTAATAGAAATTCTTGTCTCACACACACAAAGAGAGAGAGAGCTACATGCACCAAGCAACAGGGGGATGATGGAATTCTCTGCGTGATTAGACGAACATTAAACTAGTAGACAAAGAGAAAGAAAGAAACCTTGCATTTCTCACTAGGCCTGCCCAGTAACGTGTAACACGGAAGGATGCTGAATAAAAAAATGGTACCTTGCTGAAATAACGGCCACTGTCTCCATCCAAGCCATAATTTGGCCACCAAATGTATTTCCTTGATGATTGGCATGCGGAGGCAAGACAAGTTCAGTGCTCTGCACATGGGTGAGATCTGTGGAAATTTCACCTTCTTTTTGATTGCAAACTTGTTCTGAAATGTATGAAGTGAATAGCCAAGGATGTTAGTGAAATGACAGACCAGTCCAATTATACTGTGGCTGCCACTGCCCTATGTCTTAGGAATAAAGCAGCTTCAGTGAAATCAGCAGGGTGACTTTGTAAGGTATGTATCCCATAAGACAATTCCAAAAGAGTTTATGGCTGTTATGAGAGCATAGAATACAGGTAATGTCGGGCTAGTTGGTTGACCCTGTTCTCTAATACTGTCAGGCTAAAATTCATACTATGTGAGCTTATTAGAATTTGGATCATATAAATATATGTTTTAAAAGACAGAAATTGGACTACAGGTCTATTTAATACCCATAATTCAACAGGGGAAGGAGGAATCTGTCTTCCAGGGTGAAGAGCTCTCTAGCAAAGCAAGATCTTTATATTTCCAAAAAAATGCCAATCATGCTAATCTGTCACATGATCCCACTTGACCTGAATTAAGTGTTTGGCTTCTGCCCCACTTACATCTGTTTTATAACCCCTGTGTTGTAGCTTGGATTCATCTGAGCGCTTTGCACTTTGGACCTACTTATCAAGTTGTACAATTTGTATTTAGAAGACAAATTCCACCTTGCTTCGTGAACTTTGTGGATGTTTCATGGAAAGCAATCTTAGCACAAGATAATTTAACACTTTACTTTTTTTGCTCTTTATCACTGTTAAGCCAGTGCTGGCTATGGTAGTGTGTTTTAAGGAGAAAAACTGCTTTACGGTGTCACAGTGTGCTGCTGCTTCTTTTTTTAAAACATGAGCATGTGCAGTTCCATAGGTTGAAATGTCCTATATTGATTTCATCTGGTCCAGGGTTTTCCAATTTTGGGTCTCCAACTACTTTTGGACTACAGTTCCCATCATCCCTGACCACTGTTTCTGCTAGCTAGGTATGATGGGAGTTGTAGTCCCAAAACAGCTGGAGACCCAAGTTTGGGTACCCCTGATTTAGTCTAAGATAATTGCTAAAACTATGCATCCTGCCCAAAAGGACTTTGTAAGTTTTAAAGGTTATGAGTGCAAAACATTTTCCAACATGGATAGTTTAAGTTTATGGAAACAACACTACAGTATATGCAACCACGTTGGGCCATTAGCAAATTAGCATAATACCAAATGGACTCACCATTTATGCATTTCTGCCACACCCACCTCCCTGCTGCCCTACACCTCCTGCTACTAGTAAACAACAGTGACCCATGTACTGGGACGCTAGTGTTGCAGATCTACCCCACCTTCTGACCAAAGTGAGGGGGCAGATGGTAGGGGAGGGGTGTGAACAACAGAAGCAGACTGAGAATACACACAAACAAAAATGTGCGTATGAGTGATGAGCTCAAGGCACTTTGTATGCGTAGCTAACTTTTATTGGGATCTAATGTGGAATAGGAGATCTGTATGCTCTACTTTGTACTCTATTTGTCAATAAACCAAATATTATAAAATGCCTTAAGTTTCCAGAGATAGGAAACTCCATAGGAACCCAATCTGGATAATGCTTCCCTGAAACTCCTCACCACTTGGAAATGGGAAGAACACAGCAATGTTTTAGCTGTCCCCCATGTCATTATCTTCCAGGATCTAATTTAAGACATACTTGTTTGTTCCATTGGCACATAGCTGGACTGGTGTTCAATAGTCCAGGTGTTGCAGTCTGCTGCACTGTGTTTCATTGCTGATATTGGTTTGAATTATATGGTTTGAATTATATTTTATGCTGACTTCATTTTAATGGTTATTGTGAGGCCCCCTGGATACCTACGGGTGGAAGGGTAGGATACAAGAATAATAAAAAATTCTAATGACTAACCACTATTCATGCCACATTCTTCCACCAGGTTCTTACAGACGCGTTCATGATCCAGTCGGATTTTTCTTCTCTCAGCAGCCAGGGTGTGCTCGAGAGAATCCTGTGCAGTGACGAACTTCACTGGTTTTAAATCAACCTGAACAAATTAAGATTTTTTAAAAAGGATTGTAAAAGTAAATTCTACTTTTATTTTATTATTTTATTTTATTACCTACCCTTTACCCTAAGTTCTCGGGGTTATTTACAAGTGAAAATACAGCATTAAAAGCAGTTTTAAACTTACAATAAAAAATGCAACCACAAACAACAGTGTGGGTCCTGAAAATATCCTGAAAATACAGTATACATTTCAGGTGTCAAAGCCCTGGGTAAAGAGGTGCGTCTTCATTATCTGAACAACAGCAAAGTCTGCACCTCATTCTGCCACTTTTGTATTAAGCGGCATTAATAATTGGTAAGAAGAGATAACATACCAACAGTATCTTGACATGCATTTGCTCACATTCCGGATTTACCAAATGTTGGTTATTTATTTACACACTGGCGGAGGAAGAGGAGTGCGGGGGGAATGCACTGTCCCCGGCAGTGCAATCCCGGTGGGGTGCCATCGCGGATGTCCCCCGCCCACGCTGGGCACCATGCCCCCACAGGTGGTGTGCCACGCCCCCAGGACACACACCAGCCCCGCCCCCACCTGCTCTCCGCCCCCCGGTGCCAGAGTATTTACACACACAGATACACACGTCTTAAAATCAACCTAAACTAAAATTTGTCTCAGAAAACAGAACTAGAAATGCAATGCGTAGCAGGCACTGAATGCAATGAAATTGTGGCACTTCCCCTAGCTAGCCCACTGTCAAATTACCGCAGTAAAAGTTTCTGATGCATGTTTGCCCACTACAATTCTTCAGCGGTGCTACTACTCTGCTGTCAGACAAACAATATTAGTACAAATTATGTAAGGGTAAGCTGCCATGAATTTGCTTTACAGACCATTCTGGAATCCACGTTAAACAAAGGACCATTTTTGAATGAAATATATCACCTTGCCATTATGTACTGGTTTTGCCACGTATGTAGAGAAAGCCACACAAATCAGTTTTTGGAAGGTGGTAAGAGGATCTTGCAATGTAACTTTCACACCAACCTACATGCAAATGGAAACAACACCACCGGATTACTAGGAGTTATATAATTTAGAACTGGTTTATGTAATAATACTAGCACTCCCTTCATCTTAATAAAGAGCTGAGCTCACCAACTGGTTTCATAATTATGTTATTATCTCCATTGCTTCCCAAGTGTCTTAACAGTACAATCCTATGTTACATCTACTACTACTAATAATAATAATAAATTTATTATTTATACCCCACCCATCTGGCTGAGTTTCTCCAGCCACTCTGGGTGGCTTGGCTCCCAACAGAATATTCAAAACACAATAAAACATCAAACATTAAAAACTTCCCTAAACAGGGCTGCCTTCAGAGGTCTTCTAAAAGTCAGATAGTTGTTTACTTCCTTGACATCTGACAGGAGGGCATTCCACAGGGCGGGCGCCACTACTGAGACGGCCCTCTGCCTGGTTCCCTGTAACCTCACTTCTCACAGTGAGGGAACCGCCAGAAGGCCTTCAGAGCTGGACCTCAGTGTCCAGACTGAATGATGGGGGTCGAGACGCTCCTTCAGGTAAACTGGAGTTCAGTTTGGATGCTCAGAGATACTGACTGAGTTCAGCGGGACCTATTCTCTGCTAAGTGCGCGCAGTACTGTAAACCTAAGTAGAAGTGCTGATTCTATAAAATGTTGATGGGTGGCTAATTTTAAAGGGGGTGGGGTGCTGAAAGGAGGGAGGAAACACTTGGGCCATTTTCAGTCAATATTTATTGATTTATTAAATTTACGTCCTGCCTTTCCTCCAAGGAGCTGAAGAAGAATACAGTACATGGTTCTCCAGATTCTCACAGCATCCTGTGAGGTTGGTTAGACTGAGACTGGTGCAAGGTCTTCCAGAAAGCTTTGAATTGACTGAGGATTTGAATCAAGGTCTCTTCAGTCCTAGTCCAACCCTCTAAACATTACATCACACTGGCGCTCTTTATAGCTTTTATAGTCTTTGTCGTGCATGACTAAACCCCATAAAAACTAATATAGACTTGAGGGCACATTTTGAACTGATAAGCCTGCAGATGTTCTGTATTTATGAACTTTTTCATTCAGTTTCGGTGCTCAACTCTTTAACAAACTGTTGGAACAAAATGTTTTGAGAAAGAAGAATGTAAACTTTTAAAAATTAGCAGTGTACTGTGGCAGATACCGGTTCACTTGAAAGAGAAGCCAGAGGTAGTTCTGCATAAAGAGTACAAGTGTTTGGTGACCACAAAAGTTGTCAGAGAGCCTATTTTGCGAGAGTGGATCTACTGAAACAGTACCATGGACATAGCCTCTGAGAAAGTCAATAGCTCTGGGCAGCTAAGGGGCCCTGGGGTATGTTTTGGACCTGTAACCAGGGGGTAGAAGACAAGAGTCATGTTGTGGCAATAAATGATTATGAAATGTAGAGAAGGAGATAAAAACTAATGAGAGAGATTTGAGTCCCTGCTCAATACATCTATTGGCGGTGGCCATTTACTTAACATGAATTCATTCTTTCATTTGTTTCATTCTGCCTATATAGCACCATATATAATCTCAGCTTAAAAACACACCAAGACAAACAAATGCAGTCTCTTACCTCCATACTCGTAGTGAATGCCCGGTTTACCTTAGCATTAATGCTGATAATCTGTCCGACTCTATTAACAGAAAAAAGCACCATAATCTCATTATACAAAAACAGAATATTATAAGCTGTTCCAGGCCTTTACTGGCCCTGATCTAGCAATGGCAACATGACACTGCTGGCTACTGCATGGCCAGCCATCAATACCAGAGAGAGAGAGGGGTATTGGCAGAAATAAAGCATTTTGGCTCTGCAGGGCAATGGCAAGGAAGGTGACACTGCTTGGTCAGCCTCTGCCCACTGTCCACAGGCAAGCTGCTGAACACTTATCATAGAACCATAAGGTAAAGGTAAAGGGACCCCTGACCATTAGGTCCAGTCGTGGTCGACTCTGGGGTTGTGGCGCTCATCTCGCTTTATTGGCCGAGGGAGCCGGCGTACAGCTTCCGGGTCATGTGGCCAGCATGACTAAGCCGCTTCTGGCAAACCAGAGCAGCGCACGGAAACACCATTTACCTTCCCGCCAGAGCAGTACCTATTTATCTACTTGCACTTTGACGTGCTTTCGAACTGCTAGGTTGGCAGGAGCTGGGACCGAGCAATGGGAGCTCACCCCGTCGCGGGGATTCGAACCATAGAATCATAGAATCATAGAATCATAGAGTTGGAAGAGACCACAAGGGCCATCGAGTCCAACCCCCTGCCAAGCAGGAACACCATATAGAATCATAGAATCATAGAGTTGGAACCGCCAACCTTCTGATCGGCAAGCCCTAGGCTCTGTGGTTTAACCCACAGCGCCACCCACGTCCCTCACGACAGAAAGAGTAGCAGGTCTTAATTGGAGCCTATTTCAACATGGTACATAACCCTGGGCCTAGAATTTGGTTTTCATTGCCAGGATCCACACATGTGAAGTACCGACAAAGAAAGGCTATCTCAGCCTTGGATCAGGCACTCTCGCCTGACTGCAAATGGTAACAGGAAATTCCATTAGGTATGTGGGAGGTCCGGCGAATGAGAGGTTGAACATTCTGTCCTTCCTCTGCACCTAGCATGGAAACCGAGTGAGCTGTCCTGCTCTGGTTTGCTGTAGGAGGGGCAGGACTCTCTGTTCCTCCTCTAGCAGCACTTCATCATGCTAGTAGAATTTTTTTGCAGCTTAGAAACTTTTGTGGACATAAAAACATAAGAAGAGCCTGCCGGGTCAGGTCCATGGCCCATCTAGTCCAATATCCTATTCTGACAGTGGCCAGCAAGATGCCTATGGGGAACCAGCAAGCAGGACACAAACACAAGAGAGCCCTCCCCTCTTGCAGTTTCCCACAAAGAGCATTCAGAAGCATCACTGCCTCCAACTCTGCAGGGAGAGCAGAACCGTGATGGCTAGTAGCCTCCTCTTCCATTAGTTTACCTAATCCTCTTTTAAAGCTATCTGTTGCTGGCCATCACCGTGGCCAGTTTTAACTATGCGCTGCATAAAGAGGTGCTTTCATTTATCTTATTTTGCAAGGCTGGAGCCATTTCCACACATTATGTTGCTGGTGCTACGGTTGCTTTTCTTTTCGTTAGTCCCTTAGGAGCATAAGAAGCTATCTTACGCCAGGTAAATGTATTTATTTTGTCCAGTATTGTCTACTTCACCTAGCAGTGGTTCTATAGGGCCTCAGGTAGAGGTCTTTCATATCACTTGCTACCCATTTCTTTTAACTGGTGATGCCAGGGGCCAAACATGCTATCACCTCACCTTGAATTTCATACAACTATGTGGTTCTGGCTTATTCTTATATTTATGTCAGGGAAACCCTTTATTTTCAGAGTATCTCCCTGAAATGCTTAGAATCTAATCTTGTTCTCCAGAACCCAGAGCTCCTGAAGGCTGGCGTGTGAACACTATCTAAACATTCTTTAAAAAGTCATTGTAAGGCCAGGGGCATCCCATCTATGGTTAATAATTCTGTTTATATATATATATATAGGAAGTTCCGTTGTCACTGTTGAAAAGTACCCTGAAAGCCACTTGCTCTGAACAGAGGCTCTGGGAATTGGAATTCAGGGAACACTGCAGTGTCACAGACCATTGCATTCTCATTTGTAACTGATGGGGACCTTTTGAAGTGTAGCAGGCTGAATGCTCTCAGTAAGGGTACACAAAGAAAATGCAAAAAGAGAAGGAAATCTAAACTACAAACTTATGTAAAATAGTCACTGCTGATGAATTCACACGGTGTACAAACACAAACAACAATGTTTGTTCTTTAATGGGGGGGGAGCTGTTTTCCCTGTAGGCAGGTTAGGTGAGGGGGGCCATATATAAGTAGCAGATTTTACTCACACAGGATGGATATTCAAAAATTCCAACATCTCAACGACAAAGCAAGGAGCATAAAAACCTGGAACAGTTACAGTTTGTCTATGCAGGGAGGAGAGATACCTAAACCAGCTTGGGGGGCATTTGCAGGGAGAATTGGCGGGGAGGGAAGAGTTAAGGTTTCCCTTGCCTCCCAATTCTCCCCAGTGATTCCATCACATTCATCTTACAACAGAAACATGGGGTTGGGCACCTCCTATTTCTCTTTTGATTTCTAGTCTTTGGTGCTTTAGGAGTTGACAGGCCAAAACATAGTTGCAGGAGTAATAATTATACCAACTACTACTACTACTGTTCTGATTTGGAGTGCAAGAGCTGAAGGAATAAGATGCATTGCTCTTAATTCATTGTGCAAAAATCACATTGTTACAAGTAACTTTCTCCTATACTTCAGGAGCAGCCAACATGGCACACTCTGGATATTGTTGGAATCCAAAGCCAGCAGAGCCACCGGTCAGGAATTATGGGCGTTGGAATCCAACAACACATAGAGGCACCATGTTGGGTACTACTTCTATATTCCTTGTGGATTAAAGAAACACAGCTAATTTCTTGGGAAATGGGAATGTAGAAGACTTGGGGACATCTTGTTTTCGGCTTAGGAACAACATACAGTCCAAGCATATCCCAGAAATAAGCTCCACTGCATTCCATAGGACTTGGGCTGCGTGCATGCTTGTTTATTCAGCATCCAGTGCACTCCTCCATCTTGTCATTTCTTCTGAAATACTGTGTTTTGAGGCTTCCCTACCCCAATACCACGGGACGCAGGTGGCGCTGTGGGTTAAACCACAGAGCCTAGGACTTGCTGATCAGAAGGTCGGTGGTTCGAATTCCCACGGGGTGAGCTCCCGTTGCTCAGTCCCTGCTCCTGCCAACCTTGCAGTTTGAAAGCACATCAAAGTGCAAGTAGATAAATAGGTACCGCTCCAGTGAGAAGGTAAATGGTGTTTCCATGCGCTGCTCTGGTTCACCAGAAGCGGCTTAGTCATGCTGGCCACATGACCCGGAAGCTGTACACTGGCTCCCTCGGCCAATAAAGCGAGATGAGTGCCGCAACCCCAGAGTTGGTTGCAACTGGACCTAATGGTTCAGGGGTCTCTTTATCTTTACTCCAATACCAGCTTGAATTGAGAAAAAGAATGACCTAGCTGCATTTTAAGCCACTAATGAGTACACACGAAACTCAATGGGGGGGGGAGAGCTGTCTGAAAAGTGATTCACGCAACACTATAACTGGAGCATCACTGTAAATATATTATTGTTTCTTCATACCAGAGGTAACTGCTGCAATATGAACTTGCTGTGCATGGATATGGCACCTACATATGTATTTGTGCTCACAAAGTTGTGCCATTTAGAAAATACTGCATGAACCCATCAGGCCTTGCTCCTCAGGAAAACACAGACTTGTAGTCTAAAATCTCACAGAAGTTAATAATTGCATTTGCCATCATTCCGTACTTTTACAGCACAGCAGAAAGAAATGTTATCTTAGTTTTCAAAATTAATGAACATTAACATTAATTATAAATGCTTTTAAAGTTAATTAACACTCAGGTGGAAGGTTAACTTCATAAAACTGCCAGACTTCTCCCACATTAACAATCGAGACAAACAGTTGACTGGCAAAAATTGCTCGCTATTAGCTTCAGAGGGGAAACCCCCCCCCCCTTATTTCTGGAAGTTAAAAGCAAAATATATTTCTTGAGTTGCATGCACTTTTATGAATCCATTAAATGCATAATCTTTGAAAATGGGGGGGGGGGATGCCAATTTATGACTTCTTACGCATGAATGGCACTCATTGTCATATCAAGAAAAACATTGTAAGATTTTTTTTTAAGTGGTTTCCTTTCTCAGTAAATGGTTGTATTTGTAGACAAACTTGTATCCCTAGCAGGCACTCCTATCTGAACTCCCCGCTCCCCCAACTCACACACCCCTATCCTTGGGCTATGCCCCCCCCATGCCCTCCTTGAGTGTCCATGTTTATTTGAACTATGATCATAATACTTGCTTAGCTAAATGCAGAATTGAGGTGTGTGTGTGTTGGATTTCAACACGGCTGGAATGTAACCTACTGTACAAAGGTAAGAGCCTCATATGTTCCTCCACCTCCTCCTGCATCTGGCCCTTGTCCACTATTGTCATGAGGCCCATAGCTGTCAACTTACAGATTTGAAAATAAGGGACCAACAGCCTCGAAAATAAGGGCTCAGCAGCCAAAATAAGGGATTTTCAGCTTCTGAGCCCCTCCATGCCAAAGGCAGAAAGCCCAGCCAGCAGCCAAACGAAGCCTCAAGCGGTGGTTCTCACAGCGCAGCAACCCGGCAAAGGGGATGCAGCAAGGAAAACCACCGTCACCTCTCCGCTGGGAAGCGCTGAGCAAAGGCGACGCAGGCAACGCGGCCAATTTGATCGGCACAAGGCATGTGTCGTTCTTAGACTCCTTATTGGGTGAGCAACGCAGCCAAGCAACACAGTTGGGGCCTCCCTCCTCCCTGGCCGGCAGGGAGGGAGAGAGAGGAGCTGCTTCCTTTGAAACCCGGGAAATTTAAGGGACATCATCAATAAGGGACAGCAGCGGGACACAGCGCTGGGATAAGGGACTTTCCCACCAAATAAGGAACAACTGACAGCTATGATGAGGCCCCATGACAGAACATGGTCCTCAGGCTGAGAGAAGCTGCCCACCCTTAAGAGAATCATCTCCTATGTTCACTGGACCAATTTTTAATGTTCTGGTTAATCTCTGTTACACAGAAAATAAAAGAAGGCTGTGAAAAGTGTTGATAATAACTATTTGAAGGTATACCTGGCAGTTTCTTCAAACTGAATGTCATCCACCGATGCTGTCACACAGGGCATGCCAGCGTGTTTCTCAGCTTGAAAGAAAAGGCAATTATAAACATATAAGCAATTATAAGTTTTCTCTCAACATGCCTTTGCCCTTAAGCATGGTTAATTTGGTTGTCTTCTAAGGGCCACTTTACACATAGGATGCTTTCCTTCCAAAGATACACATTGTTAATCATAGAATTGTAGAGCTGGAAGGGACTCCCAGATGGTCATTCAACCTCTGCTTAAAAACCTCTAAGGAACGAGAGTCCACCACCTCCCTAGGGAGTCTGTTCCAATCTCCTTTCTTGTAGCTTGAATCCATTGGTTCAGTTCCTACCCTTCGGAGCAGGAGAAACCAAGCTTGTTCCATCCTCCATGTCACAGCCCTTTAGCTATTTGAAGATGGCTATCCTTTCTCCCCTCAGCCTCCTCTTTACCAGGCTAAATGTACCCAAATCCCTCAAGCATTCCTTATAAGGCTTGGTTTCCAGACACTTGATCATCTTGGTTGCCCTCCTCTGTACACATTCCAGCTTGTCAACATCCTTCTTAAATTGTGGTGTCCAGAACTGGACACAGTGCTCCAGGTGTGGTCTGACCAAAACAGAACAGAGTGGTACCATTTCTTCCCTTCATCGGGACACTATACTTCTGTTGATGCAGCCTAAAATAGCATTTGCTTTTTTTGTTGCTGCATCACACTGGTGACTTACATTATGCTTTTGGTCCATTAACTCTGCTAGATCCTTTTCACATGTACTACTGGCAATCTAGGTGTCCTCCATCTTATATTTGTGCTTCTGGTTCTTCCTGCCTAAGTGCAGAACCTTACATTTGTCCCTATTGAAATTCATCTTCTTAGTTGGGCCCAGTTAAGGTCATATTGAATCCAGATTTTGTCTTCCGTGGTACTGGCTACCCCATCTGGTTTTGTTATCCTGCATCTATTTTATCGCATTTACCAGTTCCAACTGCAGCTTCACAACAAGCATACATGTTTTCTCCCCGCCCCCCACCAAAATCTATAAATTCTATTCATTTGTTAAGATTTATAGATTGCTTCATGACAACACTCTCTAAATGGCTTACATAGCAAGATTATCAATAAAACACAACTGAAATCCACAAAACTGTTTTCTTAAAAATTATACGTAAGGATATTAGTCCAGCAGCCCAATTACTGTGGTCAACTGGAGGCCTGTGGGAAGCCCACAAGCAGCTCCTGAATGCAACAGCACCCTCCCCACTTGCGATTCCTTGCAAATGATATTCAGAGGCAGTATATGCCTCCGACAACTGAAGCAGAACACTGTCATGATCTTTAACAGCCAGAGAGCCAGAATTTGTCTAATCATCTTTTAAACCCAATGAGAACACGAAACTGGGCAATCTGTGAACTAGATATAAGGGTACTGGTGAGATAGTGCTTGAAATAATTTACAGCCTCTTGAGTAATGCTTAACTTCCGAAGGAAAAGATGGCAAACTCCCCCCCCCCCATTTATCTTTTAACATTTGTAGCCTACTGTTCCTCCAAGGACTTTAGGATATTTATAGAATATTCTCCATTTCATCCTCATAATAACCCTGTGAGGTTCATCAGGGTAGCCAGGCTTCAGATTTCTCAGAAGCCTGTTTTTTAATTATTTGAACCCTAAGATCTACCAGGTAGAGTCAGGTGCAAAAGGCATGCAGGATGCCTCTGAGCCTAGGGATTTTGTTTTCAGTATCAGAACTGAACTCAGGTCACATCCACACCATACATTTTAAGCATATGGCTTCTTCCCCCAAGAATTCTGGAAGTTGCAGTTTGCTAATCCGAACTGTAGCACTCTCTGTGGGGAACAGGCAGTACAGATGCTAATCCTGCATTGGGTTTCCCAATATAGAGCACCTGCACCATCTCTCGTTTTTAGCCAGCTCACTTTCAATACTCCCCACTTTCTCCCATGAGTATCTTAGATTCAAATAGCCTTTTCTGTTACACACACTCTCTGGCACAACAGTGGTATCGGATCTAACCTCACTGGCAAACTGGTCATTCAGGAAAACATTTCCAGACCTATGTTACACCGAGAGAACACCAACCAATCATTCCTGACTATTAGCAAGCAATTGGCTTAACTAAGGAATGTCATCCAACAACTGTAACCATATACCAATCTTCATGGAGAGAGAAACTGACCTGGTGGATAGAGTGCATGTGTTCAGTAGCTGTCTTGTGCAAGTTCAAAGAAAACAGTACAGGCAAATGCAGGATGCAGAACATGGGTTTCTGGTGAATGCTGTTTAATTCTACTGCTGGCGTTGTATACAAATGTGTGAAAAATATGGCTTGCTCACTGTGGTGCCCATAGCCACAATAGCAGTCTTGAGGACTTTTCCTGGTGCCCAAGAAGCCCCTGAGTATTCTTTCTGGATCCTCATAATTTTTACAAGAGATACCCTCAAAACAACGAACAATTCAAAAGTCACCTCTCTATCTACAGAGGGTGTTCTGTGATTTGTTGGTGGGTTGTTGTCATCTTTAGTAAAAATTATGAAGATCCTTTAGGATCTCTGCCGTATGTGTGTGTGTGTTGGCAAGCACTGGATATGTGCTGTTGGATGTGAAATATACCACTGTAAGATGGGGGGGGGGTCCTTTGTAAAATCATACAAGTTCAAGAGACTGCATTTTAATTCTACTGCTTCTAACTTCTGTCCAGAGGCCATAAAGGCGCGCGCGCACACACACACACACACACACACACACACAGATTCTCTTTTTGTCTTTTGTGGGGAATGGCCCAGGGCAGAGAACCTACTTGAAGGGTGGTGCACATGGCACTCTCTCAAAATTCCAAATTTGTCCATGGTGACCCCCTAGCTTAATAACTCTTTCCTACCTCATTGGAGAGTTGTGACAAAAAAGATAAAATCATTCAGTAACTGGGGTTATATAAAAGAGAATAATGAACCTGTTTTAATTTTTAAAGCTGTGAAATCTCTAAATTCTTTACCGACAAAATGAGTATTGTAATTAAGCTAGTTTGCATTACAAATGCTTCAGTGTACCTCACAGCCTTATTGAAGGAAGAAAAAACCTCTGGAAGTTGCAAGTGCCAGCATAATAATCATATAATTCTAGAATGATACCATACTGAGAGAGGGAGAAATACAACTTTACTAATATTTTTTGTGCTTCTTAGTATCTGCTAATGAGCACAATTGGATTTATGCTGGCACTATGCAATCCTAAACCCACCCACCTGGAAGTAAACCTCCATGAATTCAATAGGACTTACCTCTGAGTAGATATACTTAGGATTGCAATGTAAGGAGCTGCCAGCACCAATCTACCCATGTCTCCTCAGAAATAAGTCCCATTGAGTTCAACAGGGTTTCCTCCCAGGAGAAATTGGCACCTGGCCTTACCTGACACTGCAAATCCTCGCTTCCCAAACTGAGGATACTGTGCAAAGGAGGTAGTTACAGCATCATGAAGATGAGGATTGGGCTTGCTGTCTCTTATTACTTGCGAGACAAGTAAAAAAATCCATCGTTTGCGCCCTATCTCCACCTGTTAAGTGGATAAGAGCTGCACCAATAGGCTTTCTGCCTGTGCCATGCAACTCTTAGAAGGCCTGGAAGAGGTGGTGAACAGCCAGGCACCGTCGCTGTCTTGGACCTCGCCAGAGACGAAGGGGCCAGAAGTACCCGCTGCTGCGCGTCCGTCCCCGCCCCCCCCCCGGCCCTGAGGGTCACCCTGAATGCCTGCAGCAGGTGGGTGGGAGAAGGGGGCGCTCGCGCTTACCCGCCAGGCAGGCCGTGGTGTCGATCCATTTGAGCAGCTGCCCCGCGCCCAACTCCCCGCGGTAGTTCGTGTGCGCGGGAAAGATGGTCTGGCACATGTGCACTTGCGCGGCCGCCATGGAGCCCGCGGTGCTGCCGCCTCCTGCGCCTCGCTCGCTAGCGTCTGTGGCGGCGCCTGCAGATGCAGCTGGGAGCTTCGCATGCCCGCCCGCGCGCCCTGCTTCCCGCTGCCGGGCTAATGTGTAATTAGGCGCAAGGCTCGCTTTCCTGGGCGTCGAAGGGAAACTGGCGGTGCCCTTATTTTGGCGGCGAACCAGCTCCCTCCTTCGGCGGCCCACGCGGGGCAGGTTCCTCGAAGCTGGTTAGCAGATAAGGAACGAGCGAACCTCGCCTTCTCGCCCTCGCCGGGTTGCTGCGTGCTTCCCGTCCTTTCTGCCTTCTTCTAGCTGCTACGGAAAATAAAATTTAAACGCGTGCGATAATAACAAAAGGCGCCACATTTTGATATATCATGCATTATTAAAACTCAGCTCGCGGGAGACACCGATTAAGGCAGTGGGACGGACCAGAAAGTGGGCATGTTGAGCAGGCGTTGCGCAGCGCGAGAGCCGACCTCCATAAAAGTGTTAAGGGGTCGCCCTTTGTCATAAGCGACCATTATCTTTCCTCAGACTTAAACAGATATAATTAGTCGTCTTGCTAAGCAGTTTCACGCTGAAACTTCTCTGTCAGGGAGAATGGCAGCAGTGGAGGCCTCTGGGAAATCGAAATGACCCTTTGATTAGGGGGTTGCATATTTCACAAGTTCTCAACAGTTGAGTTGCTGGGTTGTTTTGTTTTTTTTATCTATTACCTTTGCAAAAACTACTTATCAAAAGGAATGAAGGAAGTGAACCTCCAATTGCACAATAATTTTAAAATTATTATTTGAGCCCATCATATTATTATTGGAGCCCAGGCTTGACCCCACCAACACCATCCTCAAATAAGAATTCTGCTGAAATCACGTTCTGTCCAGTCACCCCCCCTTTTTTCTGCAATTGGTTGCCTTCCCATTTTTTCTAATTGTAAATTTAATGCTATACCTGCTGGGGATCCATGCAGGGTCAGCCCACCCATGAGGCCAGGTGAGGAAACTGCTTCAGGTGGCAGGATCTACAGGGGCAGCAAATCACAATGTAGATCTTTCCCCCCCACCCCACTTGTTCCTGATGTAAAACGGATTGCCTCTGCATCCATGCTTACTGAAGAATAAATGGCATCATTTCTTAAAAAAAGTTTTATTTGCCAGATCTCTGTGCAAAGTAAATTAGAAGAACAGGCTTATAGTAAGGGAACACTGGTCTGCAGAGTTGGGAAAAGTTGAGACGGTTAAGCTGACAGGTGTCTTGCCTAGAGGTTCCCCATATGACATCTTGTGGTAGTATCTGGGAAGTACAACTTTTTCAACAGTAAGGAGGCAATAAGATGATGGGGCAGGTGGGTGAGGGGTTACAAAATTCTCATGGAGATCTAGCAAATTCACATTTCGGCCTCTCTGGGATTTTTCTCACAGGTAGCAGTGTATTATATAGCATTCACTGCCTCATTTGTCCTTGGGTCTTCCAACAGCATGTAGAGGATTTAATAGGAAGAACCTGCAATGTCAAAGCTATGTGGAAAGTAAATAAATTGAATTGCTCAGTAGTTGTGCTTTATACCTGGTGGAAAAAGGAGGTGTCAGACTCAGGGCCATAGCTAGGGGGTGGTGAGGTGGGCCCCCGTCAGGGGCGCAGGCGAGGGGTGTGTGTGCAAAATTGGCTAAAAATATGTCCATAAATATAAATATTGCCACCGAAGAAATGGTTTTAAATAGAGGATGAATTGAATGGGGGGGGGGGGGTCGGAGGAGAGACAGAAAGAAGAGCTAATTTGTCCGTGGCTAGGGGGCGCAATCTGGATGGTTCTGCCAGGGGTGCAAAATCACCTAGCTATGGCTCTGGTCAGATTGGAGACATTTCTGAAGGGAGTGGATTCAGACTCAGAAAGATATAGGGAACAAAGCTAGTGTGTTTGAATCTGGATGACATGGCTATGCTGACCTTAGAAGTGTAAATCATGGCATGTAAGCTTACAGTGGAATTGCAGAGCCTAAGTGATTCTTGCATTACGATCCAATGTGAACCAGTCTTACAAGCAGGGTGTAAACATCTCCACAGGAAGAATGTGAGGTAGGGGCTGAGAAATAAGCAGTGCCATGGCAACAGGGTTGCATCTTATAAAAGAATATGGTGGTGTATCTTTTAAAATTATATGAGTAGGTGGGATAAAAAAAAAAAACAACCCAGCCAGAGTAGCAGGAAAAGGAAGGTAAACCTCGTTCTCCAAAGAACAAGCTAACCACATGTCTGTTGCTGTTACTACTTGATGCTTTTAATGTTTTGTGGTATTATAAATTATTTATGCTATCTTTTCTGAGTGTTCCTATATTTTAATATGTATGTATTCTCTTGTCCTGGGGCCTTTGGGTGAAGGGCGAATTATTTGTTAAATAAAAATAAGTAAGATTTATTGAGGGGGTGTCTAACAACCCTTTCCCCCCATGGTTTACAGCCATACAAATTCTAATTCCCCTCCCCCTCTGTGTCCTGTTCAACAGAATAAACACCTTATTGTCCCTAGGATTTTTCTCAGGCTCACTTCTTTTTTCTACTCTGTTACTCAGTCACCCATATAATTTTCTCAAGGGAGCTGCTTCTTAGCTTCTTAGCTGCCTGTCTTGCTTCTTTCTGGTTCCTAGCCATCCTTCTTGACTGTCCATTATCTTTGCCTTTCCATTCACTCCCTTCCTGCCAGAAACATACTGTTGCACGCCACCCCAATCTCTGAGTGGTGCAAGATTCCAGGGAGTGAGGCAGAGTGGTGTCCCGCACATTACATGGTTTATTTACACACATATACAACCTGAGCCTGCGTTGGAGGGTTTTGCAGCATTAACACCCTGAAAGAGTATTGTTCATCCCATAGACACAACCTTGTTATTCCAGCAGAAATCATCCTTGGCTTGCTCTCTCTCTCTCTCTCTCTCTCTCTCTCTCTCTCTCTCTCTCTCTCTCTGCCTTTCCATCCTTTCATCTTTTTGCATCCAGCTTCTAGCTCACACAACACAACTCTCAACTCTGGCCTTTTGTCTTTCTGATTAACAGAGTTGGGGAACAGAGACCCAGCTGTTTACCCTCTGGCACAGAGCCACCGCTTTGTTTTCCTTAATGGCCCATTACCCACATTGGCCTGGCTATTCCAGCACTTGAATCCACGCTGGATCCAGGAATTAGAAGCCAGACAGTCAGCCAACTCCATCCCACAAAAACTGATCACATAACACACTTCCTGCAAGCTTCTTATACAACCTCCTTTTTCTCAAGAGGGGTATCTCCATCTTCTCTTCCCTGAGATTTCAACTTCTTTGCCTTCTGCCCAGCCCTCTCGCTTCCTCTCGAGGTATACATACATTCATACATACATACATAATTTCATTTGTATGCCGCTTTTCCAAAGTTCAAACAAAGTAGCTTACAACATGAAGAATTATGCAACTACATAACAAAAGTAGTTATAAACAATAAATAAAACATTTAGAAATACACAAACAGCCTGAACAATTTCTACACCAATCACAAAATATATAAATGTGCAAAAAAAATCCAACAGCAACAAACTTCCCAACAACAACACCCCAGTTGCAATCCTAACCCCATTTACCTGGGAGTCAGCCCTATTTAAGTCAATAGGATTTACTTTTGACTAGTTATAGTAAGGATTTTTAGTCCTCAGTCTTTCTACTCACTTGCACACATCTTCTTGTCTCTAGGGGCATGTGTGAGCTTTGAATTCTGGTCAACCTGACCTTCTACTTCCAGGAGAGAAGCTGGACAGTAATGAAACATTCTGTTGTTCAGTTTGAGCTCCACAGCAAGCAGAATGTTTGCACACTTATATATCGGAGCTTCTGCTAAGCCTTGCCAGAAGATTTGGTGTTTTAAAATATCAATGTTCCTTGGGTTACAATGTATGTATTCTATGCAAAGTTTTGTTCTTAGTCGTATTTAAAAGCTGTTTTGAGTGGTTTTGTAGTTGGACTATGGTCTATACATTTTTGACCTAATTATCTCCAGCTGAATTTCCCTCCAAATTAGGATATTTATATTTTGGCAGGACTTAAAACTATTGTTTTGAAAGCAAAGTGTGAAGTAACCATGCCAATCAATTTTCCCTTTGGAACACCTGATACAAAATATCATTTCTCATATAATCCAGCATTGCAGATGCATAGGTGTGTTTACAAATCATTAGGCAGAACCCAACACTGAGTTTATTTCCATTGCCTGTTGTTTTTAAGAGTGATGTTTACACTCAATTATCATTGGCAGGTGTTCATCAGTGAGGAATCTTGAAATCTCTGATCAGGAAAACTGGCTCCAGCAGCTTTAGAAATTGCTGTATAATAATGTGTGTATAAACTAAGCGTAGTGACCATTATTTTCTCCTCCTTGCCTGTTCCATAGTCTATAGACTCTCTTCTCTATGAATGTTCGTCACTCAAAAAAGAAGCTCTAACCTCAACAAAACACTGGTATATTTTCAAAGCTAAACATGTTCAAATTTGGCTTCAGTCACTAAATTTGGGTCCAAATGTACAGTGTCATATTTGAATTGCTTAGGTTTTCACAAAAAATGCTCTTTTAAATAAACTCTTATGTTCAAGACTCATCTAAGCTGAGTTTGACCCAGCTGACCAGAGTTTCTGCCCATAGTGTATCTGTTGTTTGCTGTAAGATTAGGAACTGCAAAGCTGTTGGCATCCCAGAGCAATGCAAAGTCTAAATCTGCTCACGTATAAGCCTTCTTGAATTCCCTGGAGCTGTCTGTGCTCAGCCTGGATAATGAGATCTCTTTTAGGCAGCATAGAGGGATTCTGGAATTAAAAAGAAAGCGGGTGAAGGGGGAGCAGCCCTTCTAGTTACTGCAGAGAGGGAAGGCTGCTATTTTAAACTTCTCTGCAATAACTAGTTTCTAAGGAGGAGATTGTGCAGCTAAATTGTGAGGGGGGGAAATCAAGAGTCCATTTCAAGGTTATACAGACCAACTTCAAGATCTGTGCTGCATGTATGCTTAGCTGCTAAATATTTCGTATATTTATACAAAGGAAAAATATATAATCTGAAGGGATATGTAATGAGAGGATGACAGAAAGGGAGAACTGCTAGAATCCAAGCTAATGTGTTAAAACATCTAAGTATGTGTTTTTTCACCAATAAAGAGCCACTCTGAACGTGGATACCAATGAATACATTAATGTGTGAATATGTACTATATGTGCAAGTTTCTTCTTCGCAAACTGTGCATTTTAGGATTCTGTACAATGGCAGAATACACAGCTGAAGAAAACCATTCTAGCTTTGTCCTCTCCCACCCCCACTATTGAGTTCTTCAAGGACAATACTGAGACTGAGGAGGAGGCTGACAAGATAGTGCCACCCCCTGGACTGGATGTATGGAAGCAGGTAGGTGGTGGCTGGGCGAAGGCAGACTGTTATTGGTGGGGCATTGACCAAGGGCATACCTAGGAGTTGGCCAGGTTGGCCCAGGGGGTGAAAAAGAGTGCCTCTCCAAGGGTGCATGGGACGGGAGGATGCCAATACAGCTCCTTGTTGTATTGGGTGCAAGCCTAGGTACGCCTCTGGCAGTGATTCCACTGCCCACTTTTCTGGCCTCCTGCAGCACATTTTCTTTTGCTTCTAGGCATTGCATGAGAACTACACTCACCCTCTCTTTCTAGGTAGCAGATCTCCCAATTTCAAACATTTGTGTTAAGCCTTCCCCCACAGTTCTTGAATATTCTGTAAAGCAGCAGCAACTTGACCATGGAGAGGAGGGGAGAGAAACCACAATAAACAGGCAGTAGCTAGTTAAATTCTTTGACTAAGATTAATGCATGGCAAGTCTTCAGCTGGTGTACTCTGGGGTGTTTCTAATTAACAATATGTAGGATGTTTGAAATAAATGCAAATAAAGTTTTATAACATGCAGTTGCAACTTAAGAAAATCTCAAAAGCCAAAGCAGATAGCAAAATCTTCAAGTAATTTGATGTTCACACACGCAATATAAATCCATTCTAGAATAGTTTTGTTTAATAACAAGGATCCTCTGTTGTTGTTTTAAGTAGTAATATATGTGCGCATTCACACACATACTGTACCTGAATTGGCTTTTCCTGAAGGTTGTTTTGCTCCGTGTTGTTAATAACTCTAGACAGTGAATCTTGACAAGGGGTTAATTCTACATTGTCTTCTCTCTGGGTGTACACATACACATAGCACATGGTACATCAGGCAGCTAACTAAAAAGGATGAGCAAAACCCTGGTCAGCTGAATGTGTGATTTTTTGCAGCTCCATAGGGGCCCTTCCTGATCTCATTTCAGAAGTCAGAGGTCAGCATGACACAAAGTCTTTCTTGTGTTTTTCAGACAGGTACTTGGGCCACATGGCAAAACTCATTTAAAAACAGAGAGGACTTTCCAAAACAGTTGGATACAGTATGGAATGGTTCAGAAGAAAGGAAGGAAAGACATAACTCACTAAACATGTCAGAAACCTTAGATGCACCTAGAGTACTTCTATGGATTCCAGCCAGAATGTTTAAATTACTCATCCATCTTGGAATAGTTCTAGGAATAACAAGTGGAGTTATCAAGGGCAATTCCTGGATCATGATAACGACATAGCTTTTAAAGTACAACTTATTTTTGTAAAATGAAACTTTATTCTAAAATGTATCCAAAATTGCAAGACACAACACCATTAAAACAGATAAATACATATTTATGTACAGAGAGCATCAAAACACAAAACAATTGTTAATATAATTTTATACCATTTTAATGAGTTTCCATCAACAAAATTTTACAATTTAAAGAAGACTTTTCAGTTGCAAAACAGTTTTTAAATCATATGTATAAATTATGTCTACTACAACTCCAATACAGGTAAAGTAAAATACAAAAATAACCAATACTGAAATTCAAATACAAAACCCCAAAAAATGTTGCACAGGTACATATGTACACTTGATGAATTCATGCAGTTACACAGTGCAACAAAATTAACTGCTTTAGTTTAAAACTATCACAAAATGGAACAACCATATCTGCAAGCAGAAGAAAATATATTTTTGTAATAAATCATAGTGCATTTAGAAGTTAAACTTTATAAAATGATTGCTGAGTGATTTATTTCTAAAACTCCCCAGTTTGTTCTGACATTCCACTTAATTCTAAATTATACTTCCACTAAATAAAATTTTTGAACAGTTTAAAAAGATTTGATGCCAAAACAGTCCTGCCTGTTCAGTTCTTGGTCTTCAGTTTTGATATCAAATCTACTAAGCAAGGTATTTGTATCACTTATTTTCAAAGAAAATGTTTGTGTTTTTTTTTATTTAAAAAGTGTCTAGTTTCTAGAGCACAGTAGGTGGAATTCAAAGAGATACCTCGCTTCAAAAAAGACACCAGACTTACTGTTATCTGCGTATATGTGCACCCAAGCACTCATACACACAAACTGTATATGGAGAGCCATCTTTACACCTAAGGCGTCAAACCCAACTGCCTTGATTGCACAAACACAAAATATCTCAAAGGAATTTATGGCTTGAATGACATTTCAGACAATTAGGTGGGCAGGTGCAAAGTAGGCTATTCACTCGTTTGGTTGCTTTGCACAAAGTGCAGGTCACTTTGTAGAAAGTTCACGTTCAACGAACTGCAATAAAATATTGAATATGCTAAAATTGTTAAATGGCCGAAATACCCCAACCAATCTCATTTAAAAAAGTATTTGTTATAGTTTTCTCCACCTGTTACTTTTCAGGCTAGCTGCTGTTTGGTTTACCAAAATCCAAGTGTGTAGATTCCACTGGGATTCAGGTTTCATAAAATATCAGATGAAACTTTGATAAGATGCATCTACACAGTATGATATTTCCATCTTGGAATTCTGTCGAAGTGCCAAGCATACACAGTGTTTTCCATTAAAGTCAGTGAAACACTACCTGTCTTTCATAGTGGAAAATACATACAATGTGCTGATAAAGCGTGATAAGGAAGGAAGCTTTCTAACAGTTGACACTAATGCATGAACCAGAATGTGTATATGAATACATTGCATTCTGAATAATGTTTCCTATTCTGTACATGAGGTCACTTGGACAAAAATTACTAGGAAAATTAGGCCTGTGTTTTTGTGTGTGTGTGTGTACTTTATAATCTTATGGCACTTTAAAAAGGGAATCGGCTACCCATGATGGGATATAGAATGAGATGTCAGCTGTACCCATAGTCAATAAAGTTTTTTGAAGAAAAGAAAGCAGGGAACTACTACTAAAAATCCATTGTTTTGGTTATCAACATACACTAAGAGACACAGGAAGGGAAGACAATGAAAGGTAAACAGTGTAAATTGTAAATAATGTTGGGTACAGTTACATTAGCTGTCCCAAACTCCCCTAAACCAATTATAAAAAATGTATAGGTGCACTGAAAAGTATCATAAAAACAAATAGATGCTAGATAACTTATTCACAACATTTGCACCGCTGAGCAAACTATTACTACTCTCTCTCGTTGGATAGTAAAGCACTTAATGAAATCTCGTGTGTGTTTTCTGAAAGAGTTGTTATTCTTGAGTTAAAAGGTCATAATAGGGCTTTGGTGTTGCTAAAATGTATTCCGGTATTACTATGGTAAATTCTCCAAATTGCAACTTGCTACTCTCCCAAAAAGGAACTATCTATGAGTAAAAGAAATTCAAGATTTGAGATAGCTGGTGCCGAAGTACAAGGCATATATCAGAAGCATGGGGCAAGTTTAGAACCTTTGCTACTCCTTGGCCCCAACTAACATTATCAGCCTAGCATTTGCAGCGGGCATGGTGATTTCCATGCTGTGGAGAAACAGATGGCCTGGAGTAAGTGAAACTCCTCCTCCATGGTTCAAAGTTTTCACTTTAACATGTGAATATGTGAAGTAGTAGCAGTGATCCCTAAGTACCAGGCCCCCGTGTCTAAGTAAGTCGCCAGGTAGGTTAACAGTAAGAAATATGGTCAACAGTGGTGCAGTTCATATGGTAGAATGAAGGTGGCAAGATCAGTGCACATCTATCATCTTCCTATAGCTACTTTATATGTGAAACATGAGGTTAAACTGAAGTGAGGGTATCAATGGTATTTTAGAATGGCTATCCATCAAGCTCACTTTAGCGGCTTTAGGGTGTTCAAATTTGTGCCCCATAATATCATAATATCTAGGGGGGAAATAAATCTCAGACAGACATAAATTGCTTAATGGAGATGAATATGTAAACAGAATATTTTCAATTTACTAAACCATAGTAAGCACTAATATAAGAGTCAGCATTGTCAAAAACATCTGTATTTGGAAGCACATTCTACTTAAGTCATAAGACAGTTAAATAAAGGTTCTTTAGAATCAGGATATAAATTCTACGTATTGTAAGTAATGCATTGTCTAAGCTTTTTTGTTAAAATGTTTTTACGCAGTTAAGATTCACAAAGATTAGTAAATAGTATAATATTTGCTATGTTAATGCAGTGAATGTTTACTATATAAATTATTCAAATGTACAGTACAGTAGAATTTCAACCCAACATAGTCTTAATTTAATGAAACCCCACTGGTATACAAATGGGTTTAGGAGTGTATCGTCAAATAATCTGGATAAAATTATGTTTTGGTATCCGTACAACACAACACTCAACCAACATACATGATAGCTTACTACAAAGGGACTCTGGCTGACTTTGATTATTTATCAAGTCAGTGGAATCCATTTGTGCTTGGCTATCTGGTGCACAAAATTAGACCCTCATTGATTCTAGAGGTCTATCAAACAGTGATCCAGGTCTCTCAGTTTTAAACCAAAGGATGCTGCTGTTGATGAGTGTGTGTGCTTTCTAATGTATCTACTATTTTAAGTCCTTGAAATATTACTTGATAATTAAAAACTGATTTGCACAGCAAGTAAAGAACAGCACCTTGATAGGCATACGCATAGCTGCAGAATTTCTGATAACAACAGATTGCCCTGCTTCCTTAATTACTTAAGAGGTTACTCTTAGATACTCTCATTAAGAAGCTGGGTTGGGGAGAAAGTATGATGTTGATGCTGAACCCGTATTTTAGAACGGCCTTCCAAACACAGATATCTAGGAGACTAATTTTGGGAAGTTTTGTATTATGAGAAACACCAAGGTGGAAGAGAGTGCTCATATTTACTATGTGTCAGTATTTAGGATTAAATACTGTTGGATTAGGTCAATTATGCCTGAAGCATGTTACATTTTAATTTAATTTTAAAAATAAAAAAATTGTCCAGCAGCACCTTAAGCTTTCATGTGCCAAGAACAAACTTAGTTGGTCTCTAAGGTGCTACTGGACAATTTTTTAATTTTTTTATATATTTTGACTGCGTCAGACCAACATGGCTACCTACCTGAATTTAATTTAATTGTCATTTTATAGCATTTTGACAAGGTTTGCTATACTGCATTCTATTTCAGTATTGCTTTTTGATGTTTTATTTAAGCACATTTAGATCCTGTATACAGGGCTACACAGAAGCCGCAAGAATAAACTTGCTAGGTTTTCTAGATGATCTGGAAGGGGCTTTGAAAAATATGGGACTTCTTTTTTTGATACTGCTATTAAAATTCTAAATGGATTGTCTCCCTGAAAGCTGTTTGTGTGGATTTTTTCACCTGACAGTCTAAATTCTAGGTCTACCAGTCTCTATACCTTAACTTCAATAGCTAGTTTTCCACTAGATTCATACATGCCCCAAACAAACATATTGTAGGCTGCAATCCTGTACACATTTACTTGGGAGTACAGTATGTCTCACTGAACTCTGTGAAACTTACTTCTGAGTAAGCAGGCAGAAGATTGCACTGAAATAAGCTACAATGCAGTTGAATTGCACTAGAGTCTGCAAGCTACTCCTATAACTTACATGAAGTGGACTGGTTGTACTATTACATTAGAATTTTATGTTGTCAGTGATTGCTGCATGGGCTATATGAAATAAAATGAGAAACTACTAAGCATGCTTAATAAATGTTTAACAATATAGGAAAGGGAGGTTTTGATGACAGAACAGGTATATAAGACATATGGCTATACAATCAAAAACCAAGAATTGACAGTAGTAATGTGGTGAAAGGTTTTCTTACACAAAACCTACAATAATTTACAGCATATCCATAGTTATGGATGTTTATAATGCCAGTCTTAAACAAAAAGTAAATTGTCTACATAGAATAACTTGTGCAAATGTTAGCAAATTGACGTTTACTGATGCATTAGACAGCTGAAACAGACCTAACCCCAGATGTCCCTTTTCCTTTAAAAGAAACACTTTCAAGGCAGAAAACAACGATCTGTGTAACAAAAGATTTTGTCTTTTAACAGTAGGCACTATAAAAAAACAGATGCCACAATAAATTATTTTCAAGGGAATAATCACAAGAAATAAAAATTAGTTAACTAAAATGTACCTAATTATCCCTTTTAAGAAATATGTTTTGGTAAAGATCTCATATTTTCTGAAATAAAAGATATTACTGAATCATAGTCTGCAGAGAAGACTTTATTCCTTGTGGGTTTTACCATTATTTAAAGCCAATACTCTGGTTTTGATTCCTAATCTTTTACTAAATAAATTAAAACACAATTTAAAATGGGTCATTACATTTTTACGAGCATCTTTTGTTAGGAGGGAGGGACCATTATCTGTTTTGAATGTTTTAAAATACAATGATAGTCATGGTAATGTATGGGTTTCTGCATTGCATTTTTAAATCTTTCCATCCCATCTGTAGATCCACTTCCCCCCTGTTAAACTAGCATTAAACTAGTATTAAGCAGATCTCTGGGTTACAGTTCCTCTGAATAGCTTCTGGATGGAAGGATTTTGTATTCTTGCAGCACTCTATTGAACCCATGACAGAGACTATTTATACATGGAATTGCATTTCTGTATGTGGATCACCCCTGTAGATTCAAAGTTCTGTCTAAAGTCAAGAGCAGTCAGAAGCTTTATTGGTTACAAATCTTATAATGCAGGGATTTTCCACAGAAAGATCCTTCTACTAGCACATATCAGCTCAACAACTGCACTTCTAAATCAATGGCATCATCTTGGATTATTAGCTTGTTGGTGTCTGTTTCAGTGTGAACCAGCTTTCGTATTGACAATGTTGACTTTCTGTGTATATTCAATGGACAGTTTCATTTTTGAACATGTGTAATTTTCTTTATGCCAAACAGCAATATTCATACTGCTGCCTGCTTGAATGGATGCTGTTTTGCACATCGTTAAATGCTCTACTCTCTTGTAAACTTCACACTGTACAAGATGAAACCCCAATAGGCTGATGAATTCATGGCTACAGCTGAAAATACATTTTAACTGCCTACAGCATGAGGCAAACTTCTATTGTGAATTATAATACTAGGAAAACATATACAGCAACGGAAAAAGGGGTCATTACTTACTAAATCATATGTTTATGCACTAATATGCATAATTTACAACATGAGTTAGCTTTTCTGTATTACAGACCCTTGGGAAGCTCCACGCCTGTGTTTCTTGCATGAAACAAAGTGTGGGATGACAAGATCTATTTGAAAGTGTATCTTTAAGTCCACACTTCACAAGCTTGCTGCACAAAACATTGAGGTACATAAAGCAAACACGTTTGTCTTGCTTACTATGGCCTAAGAAATATGGGGTTTAATGCACAAATGTATCGTAACCCCCTGCACTTTATCCTTTGTTTGATGCACATACACATATATGTATGTATCTTCAGTAATGTATGGTGCTATTTGCCATGCATTAAGGAGTGATGGACTGAAAAAAGGCTTGATGTGGAGATACCTATATTACCAATTCCACCTTGATTTAAAAAAAAAAAAATCTGGCTAGATGTGCATTCCAGTGGAGAAGAAAAGGAAACGGACAGCCACCACAGAATTTAAAAAGCCACCATCACAAAAACCCTAAACCAGCAGCTCACAAACTTGTGCTGGGCAGGGATGGAGAACCTCTGTCCTTCAGGTGTTGATGGACTCTCATTAGCTCCAGCATGGTCAACAGTCAGGGAGGATCAGAGTTGTTGCAGTCCAACAACATCTGGAGTAAAACATGTTCTTCATTCCTGCATTAGGGAGTGAGAACAGAACTGTGTTGCTTATTACTAAATTATCTCACAAAGCTGTTCAGTAGCTATCTGGCACTCACACCACCACATTCCTCCACAACAATAATGAATGCGCTACCTAGGGTAAGAAGTGCATATTCTGAGGACAAAATATTGTGCTTTGAATGCTAGGAATTGCAATCCTGAGGTAAGATGTGTAGAATAGAGTATGTCTTGCAAACAAGAAATAAACTGCACAATAAACTAAGCTCATTAACGAGATACCAAAATATAAGAAATTCAGCTTTGCTGAAAAATGTTTAGGAGTTTGATTTTCTGTGAGGGATGAAGGATTAGCTAAAGGAAAAACGGGTGGAAAGACAAGGTAGATGTTATGCCCATCTGTGAGCCTTGGTAAGCCATTGGTAAGTATTACAACAAAAGTGAATGGAGAAGGATTTGCAGAACAGGATGATGGATCTGGCAAGGAAGGGTTGAAAGGAACTAGGAGTGAAGGTTATACATATGTAAAGAAGTGCTTGAGAACGGTGCAAGAAGTAACAGAAAAAGAGAGGAAAGGTGCCTAGGATGAAATGGATGAACTACACTGGGTGCGGTTTACAAAATGATGAGTTGAGATGACTCGCGCTCAGGGAAATTGGAACTTGGGGTGGGCAAAGGAAGCTGAAGAAGTAAAGAGAGGGGAAATGGTTGGACAACTGCTTTATTGTGAGATACTCCAATCACAGGCAAAGGCTTTTGCTATAAATAACTTTTTCACTCTATGTATGCAATTTCTGCCATAAGAAATGGTGATGGCCACTAACTTGGATGCATTTAGAAGATTATAATAACCCCTAGCTTAAATGGTTGAAAATATGACATCATAAAAGGTATCCATTTACTTTTATTAGCCATTATTAATTAATGGAACATTGACATTAACTGAAGCAGCATACCTCTGAATGCCAGATGTTGGGAAAACATCATGGGGAAAGAGGTTGCCTTCATGCTTGTGCACGTTTTGGAAGCACATAACAGCCACTACTGGAAAAAGAATGATGGGCTGGGTGGAATCTTGGTCTTATCCAAAAGGGTCCTGATTCTCTAAACTTTGGAGCCTGCTAAGAACAGCCCTCATATATTATCTGGGAAGTATGAGTGTAGAAATGCAGAGAGTGGCGGTTTCCAACATACCGTATTTTTCGCCCCATAGGGCACACCGGCACATAGGGTGCACCTAGTTTTTTTTGGGGGGGGAAATAAAGGGGGGAATTATTTCCCCCCCCCCAGGCGCAGGGCTGGGGCGGGGGAAGCCCGAGCTTCCCCCGACCCCAGCCCCCAGAACAGGCTGCTCTCCGCAAGCCGTGGGAGGGCTCCTGCGGCTTGCGCAGAGCTCCCTGAAGCCCGGGTGCGACTGCTCAGCACACCCAGGCTTCGGGATAGAGGCAGCTCTGCGCAAGCCGTGGGAGGGCTCCAGCGGCTTGCGCAGAGCTACCCGAAGCCCAGGCACGACTGCTCAGCGAGCCCAGGCTTCGGGGTGCAGGCAGCTCTCCGCAAGCCGTGGGAGCCCGGTGGGAACTCCTGCGGGCTCCCAAGGCTTGCGGATAGCTTCCTGAAGCCTGAAGAGCGAGAGGGGTTGGTGCGCACCGACCCCTCTCGCTCTCCAGGCTTCAGCGAAAGCCTGCATTCACCTCATAGGACGCACACACATTTCCCCTTCATTTTTGGAGGGGAAAAAGTGCGTCCTATAAGGCGAAAAATACGGTAATTTGAAATTCTTCACTTTCTGTGACTGGCATAACTCTTGTGTTGTTTGGACAGGAAAGCCCAAGAATTCAAAATATGCCATTTCTGTGGACGACTGTATGAATTGGATTATTTTTGTTGATAGTAGTTTGCTCCATAAAAAGTAATTAGAACCATTACACTACTCATGTAAACAGGGCATGCATTGGCTTCCATGCAAGATTTTGCCAATGATTTTTGTGTAAACTACTTATAAAAATATTTTTTATTGCGGTTGTCTCGATGCTGTTTATTCAGTAATAATAAAAAAGCCAAAATGATACAAGGACTGTGAAAATACAGAACCTTTAATAAAAGTTTCTGCATTTCATGTGAGGAACTGCTGGACTATAGAATAGGTGTTAGAATCTTCCCCCAGAGGGAAAGTGAAATTCTATTAACTTTTTGGTCTATAAACAACAAGAAGGAATTTGTGTTTTATATATATATATGTGTGTGTGTGTAGAGGAATTGATCAGCAGGCAGCATCTATCTCATAATTCATTAGATATATACATCTACAACTTGGAGAATACTACATGCATATCATGTCCATATTCGCCGGTCCAGGTCCAAAGTTAAGCACTTCTATGTCCCATTCATTTTAATGAGAGAAATTCAAACATGTGATCAATTATCTCATGGAAGCTGTGGTATTTAAAAGTGTGCAACATGGGCTGAATCATCCTCATTCTAATTATTGTCTGTGGTATAATCTAGAACGAACAGGATTATTCACTGAAAATTCAATATACTAAGCCTAAGCAAGGACTTCAGAAGTCCCAGTTGCATAAGGAAAGCACTCTTCTCCATAGCTACAACTCCCACACCATATAATACACCATTCTGAAGAGTCTTCAGAACCTCAGCAGCAGCAGCAGCAGCAGCTGAGAAGACTGGAAATGCCCTAGTACAGGCACACAACTCTGGATGCAACCCTTTAGATTATGGACCAAACATAATGATGCTAAAGTAGAAAAAAAGTGACAATGAATTCCATTGTTTCTGACTACCAGCTTACATGTTTGATTTTAGGCATAATAATTTTTGAAAGTAAGAGAGCAATGTCCAATTTAATAATGCAAAGCAAACATGCTGAGGATGTCTTCCTACCACCAAATCATTGTAAAGTATCTGACTGTTGTGAATTTTGAAAAGTTTTTTAAAAAACCCCCAAAACACCCCACAAATGTGTCTAGAAAATGGATGGTATCAAGTTATAAATAAAGCTTCCATGTTGGTCAAAAGTAGTATAACAAAAGGGGACATACATCTGTCAACATCAATGGCAAATTCTCTCATTGCATGAGAAGCTTCCTTGCATATCTTACATTTAAATAACAAAAATAAATCTGGATAAAAGTTATTTTGGTGATAAAATATGACTATGTATTCATATGAATACATACCTTAAGCACTAAGTAAGTAAAAAATGTTTCAGATAGGACTACTCAAAGTGGGATGGGAGGGAACCAAATTCTTTCCAAGAAACTATTTATATATAGGCATAGGTTCATACAGACATAGGTTTCTGTATTATTATTATTTTAAAAAAGCATGGGGCACTGTTGTGCAAAGGCTCAAAATACCAATGTTGAGAGTATTTGTGTGCCTCACAACTGACTCAAGTTGTTCATCTGAACTGAACAAGTTTATTTATGCTCAGAACTCTAGTTCTTTGAAATCAAATTGAGACACTTTATAAAATTTGATCTGTGTATATTTGCCCCGAATTTCAGCTTATTTAAAGGAAAGTGATATATTATACCACAAGACTCTGCATAATACTTAGCATTTGAGGGGGTGGCGCTGTGGTCTAAACCACTGATCCTCTTGGGCTTGCCAATCAGAAGGTCGGCAAAAAATCCACATGACAGGGTGAGCTCCTGTTGCTCTGTCCCAGCTTCTGCCAACCTAGCAGTTCGAACGCACACCAGTGCAAGTAGATAAATAGGTACTGCTATGGCGGGAAGATAAACAGTATTTCTGTGCACTCTGGGTTCTGTCACGGTGTTCTGTTGTGCCAGAAGCGGTTTAGTCATGCTGGCCACATGATTCGGAAAGCTGTCTGTGGACAAACGCCGGCTCCCTCGGCCTGAAAAGCTAGATGAGCACCGCACCCCATAGTCACCTTTGACTGGACCTTTACCTTTTACCCAGTATTTATCAAAGTAACCCTTAGCAATTCAGACTATATTTAAGCTGCTGCTGAAATTGTATTGTGACTTTCAATGAATTAAATCAAGACAGCTTTCTGAAGCATTAAGCATGAGCTTGGTGGTATTCTTGAACGTTGCATGCCAAATCCCCTCATAAACATTTGTGTATTTCTTGAAAATAGCAGTCAGGGTACAAACTGACAATACTTGAATTATTTAAAGGACTCAGGAAGAGTCAGTGCAATAGTTACTGGCTAAAACTTAGGATACCAAGGCGAAATGAGGGCACAAATGAAAGGTACAACTTAACAGTAACTACTCCCCTCATCAAATCCATCTAAGTCCATAGCCTCACTTACATCCAACATGTTGGCAGATAATCACAGTGATGATAGACTTTTAACCAACTTCTCTTTCTGATGCAAAGATTCTAGGTTGTTATCCATAAGGATACAAAACACCCAATTTGATCTTACAAATAGCCGCAATCTTGCTATAGTCAACAACTAATTTAATCCCCGTTGCTTTCAATGGGGTCATTTCACACGCAACACCAAACATGGTTTGATGTTTCTGTGCTTACTCCTCCCTCTCTGCCTTCTTCTGCATGTTCTGCTTGATGAGTTATTTCCTGGTTTGCAGGAAACCATAGCTGGCCATTACATTCAAACTGGCAGACTATGGTTTGCCAACCAGAATTGTACATGAAGGGTTGAAGGGGGTGCTGAGCATAAGGCTCATTCCCAAAGTGTCAAACCATTATTTGATGTTTGGTGTCCTTAATGACCAACTGTAGGGGGATTTTGATCCATAAGTTTAAATTAGTGTTAAATTATTTTCCTTTTATTTTATTTTTTTTTAAAAACTCAACTGGCAAATGCTGTGTCCATTATGGATGTTAAATGACATCTAAATAAGGTGCCTATAGGATGCCAGTTATGCTGGCAACAATACTTTCAACTAGGACCCAATGTATAGATGAGAAGGAATTTGGGGTATGTACCAAATCAGCCAGGAAAGTAGGAAGAAAATGTTCAGCTGATAACCATGAAAAGAAAAAGGGGGGAAAAAACAGATGAAAATGAATAGGCTTCCTGATATAAGTTTGGCAAATGTGACACAGAAACAAAAGCTTGAAGGAACTGTGCTAGGGGTTTACTCTTATGCAACCGTTTATCCAGATTTGGCTGAGACATATTACTTGGCAAGTGCTGGCAGAAGAAGCATTGTAAATTACAACAACTCATTTTATGAACATTAAAGATAGTTCAGCAGGAGATGGGGGGAAGGGGAGAGAGAATGTTCACCTTCAGACCATCCTCATGCCAATTACAAAGAAAATATTTTAAACTCATTTTCAACAGTTTATATACATAGAGCCCACCCAAAATGATTCACTTGTCTACTTCAGTTATTCTGTCTCCATTACCTGATACTCTGTCTGCATCTGGCATTTTAAAAGCCTGCAAATAATTAAGATCTGGATTAGAAAAAGCTCTGTATTAAACATTTATCGCTGTTTTCAAAAGGTAGACTATATTTGTAGCTAGAACTCTACAGCTTTTTTTGAAGGATACCTAGAGAGGCACAGACATGAATTCATATGAGTTTATTCAGGAACAATTTACAAGTATAAGCAGGATGAAAAAAAGGAAGGTGCTCTTTTAACTACCCACCTTCCTCTTTTAAAAAAAAATCCATATGATTGATCAGTTACTGTGTGAAAAATTTCCATATGCAGACCTGTCCTAAAACAATTCTATCGGCATTCCCACAGAAGAAAGTATTCGTGTCTTAATTAGCCTAAACATACATTTCTTTCTCTGGGGCAAAGGCAGGGTGGGGGCTTGGCTTTAAGGCTTGCATATGACTATAAGACACAGTATAACTGGATGCCTAGAATGTTAGAAAGAAACCAATATTTGGAAAACAATTTCCTATTTCAATTTTGTCTTCTATATTACCAGCCTCTATAAAGACTTAATAGGGAGTAGAAAACAATTCAGACAAAAACACAAATTTATAGATAGCAGTGTCTTTAGATGTTGTATACAACATTATTAGCTCTTAATTTATGTGTTTTACTGGGGAAGTGTGCAAACAGAAGTGGAAAAATTAGGCACAGAGTAGATGAAAACATGACGTACTTGGGATCTATGTTCTCCTTCCATTCATG